GTAAAATATATTTGTTTCAGTAATATTTTTCTTGTGATAGCTTTCAACTGCATTGGTATAAATACAATCAGAATTTATTCCAATAAGACGTTTACAAGACACTGGTTGTACAGATCATATAAAGGATATAATAAAGGTCTTATATGCTCGTGTTCTTTTTTCCTATTTTCATTTAATTGTAATCATGGTTTGTTTAACCAAAATAATACCTCAGTCTAGGCTGTACCATTTACTAATAATTTTACTAATTTTACTAATTACTAATTTTTTCTTGATTTGCCCTACTGAAATTGGGGTGCGTCTCGTATGCTGTCAAATACGGTAGTTTAGAAATAAATAAAATTCACATTTTATTCAAATGAATGATGAAAAGTTGTTGCTTTTTGTGAGGGTAAATTCTAAATAGAAAGTATCTTTACTCTAGGGATATCTCATTTTAGTTTGCAATAAATTTACAAATGGCATTCTGAAGGGAAACATTGGAAATACTTTTTCCTGGTTAGTGCTCAGATTTCAGTTAAATTTTAAATTTTCATAACTAAAGGTTTCCAAAAAGTGTCATGAAACTATCATGGGTAACTGGTTAAATTATTACAAAAGCTTTTTTTTTTTTTTTTTTTTTATACTTGTTCTAGCATTAAATGATTACATTGATTTGTGTTTCAAAAGAAAAATAAAATTAGTAAGTCATAAGAGTGAGTGATATACAGTTGCCTAATATGGAAAAGTTTTAAGTGAGAAATTGGTTAACCTGGTCTTGATTTTGATGGGAGTGAACAGAATTCCTATAGAGTAAAAGAAAGTGAGAACTGACAAAACATTAATTGCAAGAAGACAATGCATGATTGTTAGCAAAAGGAACAGGCTAACATGTAAATTACAAATTGGAAATACTGAAATCAATAGTGCAATAATTTAAATATCTGGGAAATGTTTTAACATAGGACGGAAAATGTGACATCAACATCCAAAGGCACATTGAGATAGTGAAAGTTGCCTTCCAAAAGCTAAGAAATACTAAGAAACAGGAAAATTTTATTAAAAACAAAGAACATAATACTTAACTCTTATGTAAAATCAGTCCAGCTTTCACTGCCATATGGCAGTGAAAGCTGGACATTCTCCTCACAGATGAAGAGTTTTGAAGCAGTAGAAATGTAGGTCTATAGAAGGATGCTGAGAATACCATGGACTGAACATGTGAGCAACAAGGAAGTTTTAGAGAAAATAGATTTAAGGGCACTTATACTTACTATCAGAAAAAGATAATTGAAATTTCTAAGGCATACAATGAGGAAAGAGGGCTTAGAAAATTTGATGCTCACAGATTGAAGACAGGAAAACAATGTATAACTTGTGTAGTGAACTTGAGTAAATGGATGGCTGAATAGGGTTTAGGAGATAGCAATAATTAGAAAGAAACATTTGTTCTTTGACAGAAGCTTGTACTACTGTCTGTTGTAATTTATAAAATCTTTCTATTAAAACAATTTTTTTTCAGGATAATAAGTTTCTCATCTTGTCTACAGACACTTTCTCACAGACGCGTTGTCGCCTCTCTCTGTCTGTTTTACAAATACTTTCATGGCAATTGCTCCGAGGAGCTGCATTCGTTGGTTCCCAGACTTCATGAGTTCAAGCGCCCCACGAGGCTGGCATCCCACTCTCACCCCTTCACTGTCGAAACTCCTAAATGTAGCCGTCTCTTCTACTCTAATAGCTTCATGTCTTGCACCTCTTGCCTGTGGAACTCCCTTCCCTATTCTAGTTTCCCTGAGAGCTATAATCTCCAGCTATTCAAATGTAATGTCAATCGACATCTCCAGTTGCCTTGATCTATCCACTACCCTTCTCCTCATCCTTTCTTCTATCACTCCTATCTGATCTTGCTCCAAATTTTCTGTAACCCCTTGTGTCCTAGTGGCTTCCCGCCTTGCTTGGGGTGAAACGCTTAAAAAAAAAAAAAAAAAAGAAAAGTCCAGTAGCTGTTATCATTCTTGTTCATATTAATGAGGGTTTTCTTCCTAACCTTTTATTTGAAGTAGTGTTGAACATGAACATCTTGATGTTCATTATATTCCCTTCAAGTTACATGTGGCATCCATTTTAAATATTGCTGCAGCTGTTGAAATTCCTCAAGTAAGGTGGTTCCTGTTATCTGGTCGACTTCTTTGTGATTATGTAGCACCAGTTCACAAGGTTTGAAGAAGTGTGGTCTTCCCCAAGACTGACACACTTCATTTGCTCAAAGCCATTTTTAACCAATGATCTTAGAAAGTAGTTGTATACAGCTGACAGTTTAGATATTTCTGAACTGGTTTGGTGCCATGCATGGCATCCATGTGAAAGTCTTGATCTGGTGAGGCTATTTAAGAACATATGGACTCTATTACACCATATATAGAGTTCATGATGTAAAAAGAGGGAAACAACATTTTTTCCCATCTCTTGTAAGTCATAAACTAGATACAGCATTAACATAAACAAGAGAAACTATTTGAATTTTGATTCAAGTTGTTCTGTTTGTTCATTTGTTGCCTTCAACACTGGCCAATGATCCCGTGAGACCAAAGAAAAAAAAAAAAAAATTAATGGACATTATTAGCAAATTCCAAAGAAAAAAATATTCCACTTGTATCTGAGGTGGGAGGATAGTTGGTGTCTCTGTGATAGCTTCAATGAGTATATTATCAACTGAACTGATTCAAAGATGTTAAAACAGTTATTTTTTATTTTTTTACTTTTATTTTTTTAATTTACCAGTAGTGGCACACTAATTAAGAATATTGTTACTAGAGCTCTCTCTTCCTTTTTTGTCAAAAGATTGCTTTTATAATATCCCTCTCCCTGCAAATGTAGAAAAGTGGGAGAGTAACCAGCTGTTTTTACTCATAAAAAAGCCATATATAAAGGAGAGGTGTGTATGTTTTAATGCTAGCGAGAACACATAGTAGACAATATAGAAAGAGAAGGTACACATTAATATATATATTAATTACTAGCTTTAAAGCCACCCTATCAGGCAGCATTTAAGCTAGTTCCTGTGGAAGGCTCTTGATTGGGCCTTTATCACAATAGGTTGGGAGGAGTAGATATGATAGGGAACAATAAACTACGGAAGAACTCAAATTGATTGCTGCATTTAATTATTGCATTAATATTTAAGATTACCTTTTAAAAGTTCAACAATAATTCATCTGCCACCACTTAATTTAAAAACGGTTTGATGTACGTAAGTCCTTACTTTCCATACAAACAATTATTTGTATTTCATAGGTGACTTTTACTGGACTTTGCAATTAATTTTGATTATTTCCAAATTTATTTTCAAGGCATAAAAATTATCGTATATATATATATAAAAAAAAAAAAAAAAAAATAATCCCAAATCACATGCAAACTTGCCAAAAACAATCACAGTAATGAAAATTTGGGAATCCAAAATTTAGGATTGTTGGTTCGGATCTGGCCCAGAATGTTTTTAATTTGCTTACAGAGTTGACCTGATTCCAAAATGGTATACGTTGGGCTGCGGCCTCTCGGAGTAAGTTGAGAAAGTGTGACACCCTGGTATTCGCTTTTAATATATAGATTTCATTGATGTGTTAATTTAATACTCCCTGATATCTATACACATGAGAAAATAGATGAACATGAAATTTAACAGAACAATTAGAAAATTAGTTTGTAATAAAAACAAATCCTTTTCTAAGGGCTACAAAGGACAGGAAGTTGTGGAGTCATGATCACCCATGTCCTGAAGGAACATGACACATAGACTAATAATATAGATTGGACTTTGTGAAGAGTTGGAGATTAATGCTAAGCAACTTGAATTGGATGGCTGATGGTCTTATTGCATGAAAAAATAGAGCAGATTTAGTTTTATTTAATTACTTATCAAATGATGCATTTACTGTATATACTTGTGTATAAGCTGACTTCATGTATAGTGTGATCCTTGAATTTCTTGGCATGATTTTTAACCTCTCCAAAAAAATTACCTGTGCATAGTGTGATCCCCTATTTTTGGCATAAAAAGAACTGATTGGAAAATCTCGCACTATACTCAAGTATATACAATAAATATTTTAGAAACTTTGTTGCTCTATTCAAATATGGCTTACATTTGTTTACCTAAAATCCTAAATTTGGGCAAAAAGGATAATGAAGCTACTACAAGCAGAATATTAATTATGAAAATTGGTGATTCTTTTTATGATCGTTAGTGGAGTTTAATTATTCTAGGAATTTGGAAGGAATCTAATATTGTGCTGGATTTGGCTTAGTAAATGTGCTTGACTTAAATGACTCCTGAAAATGTCACTTTAAAAAGACTGGATATGATCTTCGATGCACTGTACCACTTTAGGATATTTGCGATCATGGCTCTCCACAATTTCTTGTCCCTTGTAGCTCCTAATAAATTGTCTTTTTTTGTTATCTCTCCTAAACTCTATTCTCCTATCTATTTCCTTAAGCTCGGGTGGTAGGGTATGTATTGTTTTCCTCTATCTCTCTTACCTTCCTGTGAGTGTTAAACTTTCTAAGCCTGCTTTCTTTATTATATACCTTAGAAATTTCAGCTATATTTTCCTGATGTTAAGTCCTTTTTGTTTTCATTTTCTCTAGAACTTTATTGTTGGTGGCATATTTGGTCCATGATATTTTTCAGCATTCACTGCCATATAGGAGAGCTGATATTACATAACAGCTCAATAGTCTTTTCTTTGTTTCTAATGAAATTTTTCCATTTCTTAATACTTTGCTTAGCTTTTGGAAGGCAACTTTGGTTTTCCTAATACTTCAGATTTCAGTGTCACATTTTCCATCCTCTGTTAAAACACTTCCCAGATATTTAAACTGATGTTTGATTTTTGGTATTTCCAATTTGCATGTTGGGCTGTTCTTTTTGCTAGTGGAGAGATGGAAACTGAGTGTACTATAATAAGTTTCAATAAAGCTTGATGAAAACTCAAGATATTTTTGTTCTCTTTCAGTTTGGGAAAATCTGTTTACCAGAGCTGTTGGTGGATAGCTGAGGCACTTCTGATTCTCCTGAGCTTGCTATTTAATGGTTACTTGATAGGCTGGAACCAAACTTTGGTGATTGAGGAACCTGTTCGTCTGGCACAAGAGGCTCTAGTGAAAATAAGGGGTATGTACACTTCCCCACTTCCATTTATGTTTTACCTAGTGTTCATGATTATTTGGTTAAATGCCTTATGAAAAGTTACTTTTAACTTTAAAGAATTTCACGAAGAACAATATTGCTTGTTAAATGTAAATTTACTTTGCTTTTTTTTTTTTTTTTTTTTTTTCTCTTGTATTACTTTAAATCCTACATTTTGTAAATTTTCTAGGTTCTTTTGTCATTGAGTTATATAAATATTCTGGTACAATTAAGTATCAATGGAGGGTAGACAACTGTAAATTTATATTCGTTTCCAGTTCCCATAAAATCATCAGTTAAACAATGTTAAACTTGGTCAGTACCCTAGATGGGTGACTGCTTGGAATATCAGGTGCTTTAAGCCTGGAGGTGTGGGTGGTGTAATGGATAATTGCTTGCTGTTAATCAGAGCTGAACTTCAATTTATGTTCACTTACATGCTAATACCCTTGGGGAAATGTATGAATCAACCTCTTCTCCCCCACTCCCACCTATTAGTAGTACTTGTAGTACTAAACCATTATCTCCAAAAAATAAATTCTTAAAATCTAAATATTTTTTGCCTTTAAATAACCTGCAATGGGTTAATCTGTAGAAAAAAAATAAAAATAAAAATGAAAAAAAAAATAAAAAATTTGTTTTTTAAGCTATGTTGGGAAAACTTAATTTTCTATGAAGAAAGTTCACCAATATTTAAAAAAAAAAAAAAGTGTCAAAAAGAATAGTATTTCCTTGAGCTTGCTATTACTGTATATACTTTTAATTCCCTCAGCATTGTTTTTAAAAAGTGATTATAATTTTAATAAAACCTAAACTTAAGAAAATGGATTTATAAATTTTCTTTATTGTTGAACTGACAATGAATAAAAAAAACTTGTTTTCATAGTTATTTTGTGAAATGGTAAATAAATATTGCATTGCATTTGGTTTACATATTTTGATCACTTTTTAATTTATAAATTTTTGAAAAATAATATTCAAATTCATATCTTTATAAAATGGTAAATAAATTTTTATAAACAGTAAATAATAAATATTGCATTGCAATATCTTCTAAAATATTGCTGAGGGAGTCAAAAGTGTATACAGTAATAATGGTGTCAAGGGAATAACCATCCTTTTGACATATTGTTTTTTTTTTGCAGACATGAAGCTTAAACATGACTGAAAGTTCTTTATTAGAAAAAAATACTGTCCTTCACAAGTCTTAATAAATAGATGAAACTGCTTCAATCTCATTTTTCCTGCTATTAGATTAAAGAACATTTACTGTCTGGATTTTTGACTATTGTCCACATCTTTGTTGTTATATTTTGTCCATTGTACCATCTGCTGTTGGTTTATGAATTTGACATAATTGTGAGTTCAATCTTTGGGCCAGGCAATGAGTGGTTGAACTTTGTGGAAACGGGGTGATCATTAACTGAGCAGCACAAAAGATATCTTTAATATTGGTCAGTGGAATGAGAAGTCTGTCTGTTGATTAAATAAAGGCTTTATTTTGAAGTTCCCTGTACGTTACCTGATGAAAGCCAGAGGGTATAATGGCCGAAACTTTGTGATAACAACAAAGATGAGGTGGATAATAGGCCAGATGCAAATAGTGTAAGAAAGAATATTTATTAAATAAGAGAATTAGTTATAGAATGAATGTGCATGTTTCTTTCTTCATAATGTAATTTCTTTTAATTAGTATTCATTGCTCTTAAGTCTCAGTTAAGATGATGTTTTTGTTTTGACTGTCTTGTGTCAGTATTGTTTTTAGACAAACTAAAGGATTTTGAAGCTTAATAATTTCAGAATTTGCTTCACTTTTCTGTAAAAAGTGAAAACTATATTTTTTCTCTTTGTTAATTTTTATCAGCAAAATGTCATGTTGGAGTGCCTGTCATAACACTTAAACTGGGTGCTTCATTGTGGCTCTGTGCCAGACAGTTTCATTGTTGTCATACACTCAGTACTAATTGCATTTGATGTTATTTGTACTATTCATAAGAGACAGGCTAGGTACTCCCCTTTGCCTCTGAATTTACTATTTTCTCTTGGATGCTGTAGGCTCCTCATAGAGCATAGGGTTTCTATGTCATACAATGTATAAATAGGGATTTGTAACAGTTTCTAGTCTCATATCCAATCATTTGTTCTTTCCATAGATTTACTGCTCAAGGCCAGTCTATCCTGCTATTTTCCTTATAGTTGGTAGAAGTAAGACTCATGTCTTTATCAAGGACATCATTGCAAAGTGAATGCATTCAACCTTGCCTAGCATTTGAACTTTGCTTCACAATGTAATTTTCTGTGCTCTTATCTGACAAACTGCTGACACTTCCTGTATTTACTTTCATTTTATTTTGTGCATCTTTATTAACCTTTATTACTCTATGTAACTTCATTTGTTATGCAAAAAGTTTATCCTACCACTGAAGGTGACTCTGCTGAATTTGAATTTTATAGTTGTTTTGTCATATCCAGCTATAGCAACAGAAAACACCTTTGAGTGAAATTAACTAAGGTTACTGCAATTGAGAAGCCTTGAAAAAGAATGCAGTGGAAAGGGAAGAAATATTAATAATGCAGAGTGCTAAAGGTTGAACATCACTGACACAATTGGTCCCCCACTTAAATTGACTTAGTACATCAAAATAAAGCAAAGTGGGTGCTAAATGACTTTATATGGGCCAGGTTTTATGATGGTGTTAACAGTAAAGTATACAAAAAGATCTTCAAAATGGCCACTCACTGTTCACAAGTAAAGTGAAACTGATAAAATCTTTCAGGATAAAATGCCACTTGGCTGAGAGTTAGGAATTCTGTATATAGGCTTATATATGTAGGATGACAGTAAGTCAGTCCCAAGCCACCTGTTAATGGATGACAGGTCATTGGTGGAGATCTATAGAGTTAGTCTAAAAAGCTACATGTAAGATAGACAAATGGGTGGTAGGTGAGTTTTTGTTGGCCAAAGAAGATCTTATCTATTGTAAGAGAAGCCAGGAGCAGTGAAGATGTTCCCCAGACTGTGCAAAGAAAATCTCTGAATAAATAACTAAATATATTGGAAACAAGATTCATATTTTCATTCTTTGCTATGGTGTTGTTCCATCTTTCATTCATTTGTGTATCTACACTAAGCCTTTCCTCGTTTTGTGTTTGCAAACTGAATTGAAACAAAACATGGATTGATTTGTCTGGTAGGTGAAAACTGAAGGAGGTCCCTGATTGCATGTTTACATCACCTTTTAATGGTGATTTGGATAACTAAGCATGCTACTAATAGTCTTCAGTTCTTTTGCATTTTATAGATTCTATAACGGATCAGTGCAGGTTAGCCTATTACAAATTGTGTTTGCAATATTGAAAACTGAGGTGAAGGAGAAAAAATATGAAGAAACTTTTATATAATTTTTCTTTTTTGAAATTGTGACTAGTTTTCTGTTTATCTTTTAAGAATTTCAAGTATTTGTTCTTTGAATTTTTCAGAAAACTTGGTTGATGGAGTATGGAATCCCAAAGACTATCTCAACCTCAACAGTCCCCAGTCTCCTTGTATATCCACACAGTGGACATATCGGGATGGTGAATTGGTAGACTTGCCGACTGTGTTAATGGTTAAAGGAGATGTTATTTTGTTACGGCCTGGCCATGCTGTTCCAGTTCAGTGTCAAGAGTTAATGGTCAGTTCTCCTTTTCTTTATTTCATTCAGTCTATTATAATAACTGGCAACTGAAGTTTTTCTCATTAGTGCGACACATCCCCCCCCCCAAATCACTTTCTTTTAATGCATTTTACCTGGAAGCATGTTAAAGTACATTGACATTTTATGATATACAAATATAAAATCACATTCTACATTTTTGGTCATAAAATCCCTTAATACAATAGATTAAGGCATTTAATGCATCATATTGTTCTTCCTCTTTTTAATTAACCGGAAATAACTTTCCAGTAGGCATTAAATGTAATTCCTTTTGATATTCCTTATCCAAACAACTAGTAACATTTTGCTTTTGTCTTTTACTATCTCTGAGAAAGTGATTTTTTGTTTTAGATAGCCTACACACTAATCCTATCTCTAAACTCTAGCTATAGATTTGTAAATTGCATCATTCTCGTTAATTAAAGTCTCTTTGGCTTGCCTGTTAACTATCTAACAGCACTCTTGATATTAAACTGCCTAGTTGCAAATTATTAAACCTGCTAGAAAATTGTTACACTAAAAATAAAAAAAAATACTCCTGAAAAGAGGTAGTTGTTTGTTTCAAAGCCATCTATTTTAATGTCAAGCAAACTTCAATTAAGTAGTTAATGGTAGGATTAAAACCAGCCGTTCTACTCTATAAATGTTCCTATACCATCTGAACTGCATTGACTCAATTTTATAACTCTTAACTGTTTCTAATAAACCCTGGATGTATTATGTCATCTGATGTAGCTAAGAGTTAGAATTGATTATCTGAGTTTGTTTATATTTTATGTAAGAGTGCCTCTGACTTAACAATATAGTTTTAATATGAAGTAAACTTATGTCAACATCTGAAGTACTGACATGATTGACAATTATTAATTTAGTATTTCTCTGCCCTTTATCATCTCAATGTTAAGATTCCTACAACATTATATTATTTAGTGAAAATGACTTGTATTTCTTTCTACAGAGATTGTCTAAAAGATTATTTATTTCATCTAGAATACATGTCAGAAGTAAGATTTCATCTTTTTGTATTTGTGATGCTTACAATACTGGATGAGTATTTACAATTGTTATCAGTTACAGGGTTGACTATCTCTAATTCAGTAACCTGCATTCTGTTGTGATTTGTGCATATTTACAGCTGAAGTAATATCTGATATTCTAGATTACTGCTCTGCCAACCTGCCACATATTCTACTTGCTGGTTGGTATGCTGACCTTAAAATAAGGAAGCTTTTCTCTTCTCTTCTTTCACACTTATTATTGAAACCTGCTTTTATTTATATTTAGTCGTAAGAAAAGGAAGTGTTCTTGTTGCTGTGATTTTTGTTTGCATCTTATGAAAACTTGACTTGATGTTGTCATTTAACTTTTTAATTAGCAAAGACTCTAAAGGTAGTATGTACTTACCCAATGGTATTTATCTGACAAAATTAAGTACCTTAAAAATTTTTGCATTTTATAGGTTCTATAATAACTGATCTGTGCAGATCAGCCTATTACAAATTGTATTTGCAATATATACCGAATCACATTTTGGATCACAAGTTATCAAGAGATTTAAAAAAAAAAAAAAAAAAAAAAAGATTGTGACCAAATTCAATGTGGTGAAAAACCTATTTTACCCAAGTACATTCATAACTGTAAACATACTTCACCCTTATGTGTTCATTCTGATTTGCATCAAGGTGCACAAAAAATGAAAAGTGAAATCCACACTACACAAAGAAATGAAAATTCAACTCCAGTTTCCAATATATTTGGTTATTTATTCAGATTCACTTTGTACAGTTTAGGAGTAAATAGGTGACGTTTGAGACATTTATCTTTTTCAACAAACTAACAGATAGCTCTTCTCTTTGGTCAATGAGAGCTTTAGCCCTCTGCTACCACTTGTATGCCCATCTCTGCATAATGATACATGGCTTGTAACTCCCTAACACTCTTTGGAACTACTCATAATTCTATCTGTGACATTACTTATATAAGCTTGTTACTGGAACTTACCTAAATTCCAGCCAAGTGGCACTTGATCCTAAAAGTTTTCATATATTTATTTTTTCTATTTCCTTTTAGTCAGTGGGTGGTTTGAAGATCTTTGGATTTTATTGTTTCTACACAATTATAAGAATTTGCTGCTTGCCTCTGCTTATGCTTTTGAATTTTACTGCAAGTGTTAAATTCTTCAATCCTTTCTTCATTTAAGCTGTATCTAAGTGTTATTAACAGTTTCTTTGTAGTTCTCCAAACTTCTTTGAAACACCAGTTTTCATACTATCACGATAGTTAAGAAATGTCAAATCTGGTCAGAACTTAGATGGGTGACTGCTTGTGAATACCACATGCTGTAAGCTTGGATGTGCAGGTGGTGTAATGGATAATGGCCTTGTACTAATTTGAATTTACATTGTTTGGGTGGCTTATACCTTTAGATAAATATTTAATTGCACTATAATCTTGAATTTGAATTTAAGCTCAAACTTACATTTAAGAGTGAAAATAATTTAGAATTTCTAATTTTAATTGTCTAACTTTCTATAAAAACAGATGCTATTATTAAAATAAGTTTAAGGATAAAGGGGTATCTCTTGTTTTTGCTTAAAAAACAGTGATAAATTAAAGATTTTTTAGTGATAAAATGATAATAAAAGTAAGATAAATAGTATTATGATGATGACACTGACGAGGATGACAAAAATAAGATGAAAATAAAAATGATTATATAGTAAAAATAGGTAATAAATACATCAAAACCAGTATCTGTGGCATTTGAGACTGGGAAAACTGTTAATCTGGGTCAATGTTCTTGAGTAGAAATTTGCTTTTGTGTAAGCAGGTGCTCATTAACTTGCTTCTTTTGTTTAACATATTGGGGTTCCTCATGTACTGTTGGTGTGTATATTTATTAATAGATACTTAATAGTTCTGTTATTTTGCATTAAACACCATTTTTCTTACACCAAAGGATATATATATGAACACTTACACACATAAATTTATATATATATATATATATATATATATAATTTTTATTTTTTCATTTCACTCCAAGCAAGTTAACAAAGCCATTAGCATGCAGGGGGTTACTGAGTGTGAAAGAATATAAGAAAAACATTAAGGAGTGAGAACAATAAATTGAATTAAGAAGACAAGATAATGATTGGATTGACATTGGATTTAAGTTTTTGAAAATCAAAGTTGACTAGAAAGCAAGAAGCTTAGAGTTCCACAAGTGAGAAGTACAAGAAAAGAAACTGTCAGCATTGAAATTATGGCTACATCTACATTTCAAATATTGTCAATCTAATATTATGCTGAAATTCATAAAGTCTAGGTACCATAGTGAAAAGTTCATTCAGAAAATTACCATGAAAGTATTTACAGCAAAGGCACAGGGAAACTACATTATGGCAGTGCGAAAGGGACTAGAGCTGAGATACCCAGTAAGGACTAATGACATTGCAGATTCTTCTTTTGGATTTTATCTAGAATCACTAAATATATAGCAGAAGCAATAGACCAGATGTGGTAGCAATATTTGAAGCATAGATGAATGGTAGATTTGTAAATATAAGATAGATTTGAGCGAGAATAAATGTCTAGCAGCAGACCTAGCAATTTTATTCAATATAATCTTTCCACTTCATATCAGTGTCAAACAGCCTGAGAAGATGCAACGAGTCACTCTCCTGGAGGCTAGCATTAAGTATGCTGCTGGAAGGTAGAAAGTGTTCTCTCATTGTAATATGATTTCTACATTCCTTTCTGTGTAGGAAAAGTGAAGTAAATTTATTGGCTGTAATTTTAATTTGAATGTATATTTCATGGAGACATTAATTAGTTCATTTTGGAATGAGTTTTAATAGTTGATAACTTTAATCTTTTTATTTAATCATTTCATATCTCTGATTGCATGCATGTAATTTCAATTAAGCAAACAAAATATACTTTTTTTTTTTTTTTTTTTTTTTTTTTTTACAAACCTCCCATACTTTTAGAAATTGAGGAAATTAGAAAGTTATTTATTTTTCTCTCCTCTATGCACCATGTCCCTTCAAGACAGGCAGTCATGACTCTCCACAGTTTCCTGTCCCTTGTAGTACTTAAATTTTTTTTGTTATCTCTCTTAAACCTTGTTCTGCCATCAAACTTGCTAGGTAGTTTAAGCATTGTTTTCCTGTTTTCCTTCAAACTTTTCCAAGCCTTCTTTCTTCATTATGTGTCCTAGAAATTTCAACTCTTTCAGATTCTGCATATAAGCTTCCTTTTTGTTTACATTTTCTCTAAAACTTTGTTACACTCGCAGTTTTTTTTTTGAACATGACTGATATAGGACTGACAAATATATTGCTCACTGCTTGGGTGTTTTTTAAAAAAAAAAAAAAAAATGAATCCATATTTTTCTGTTTACAGACTGAAGAAAACCAAACAGGTATGATCCTGTGTGAAGGAGATGTCTACACCCCAAACTTGGAGCACTCTGTAGAGCAGTTTGGGTTACCTCAGGGACGAGTGCCACTTCAGCCCAAGAAATTTACTGTGTTGAAAACTCCTTTTGTTGAAAACCTTAGGTAGTATTTAATTTCCTTTTGAAAACATTGGTATTAAAAAAAAAAAAAAAAAAAAAATGAATTTAATGAACACTATATTATTCTATAAAAATCAAGTCTTATAAATCTTAGAACTTCCCATGGGCTTCATATTGATGGATCATAAAACCAATCTTGTATAAACTTGCACCTAGAATTATCTTACTAAAAGTTTTCTTAATTCTGACTCAAAGAAGCTGCTTTAAAACTGACATTATTAGCATCTGGTGAGATAATATTCCAGCTTTTAAGAAGCAAATAAACAAACATCTCTACTTTCTTCAAGCTGCTACAGATCATTGATTTTAATGTTATTTTTATGTTAAATACTGGTTCATTTTGTTTCTGAGCTGCTGTAACATTGATAAAAAATCAATTTCAAGAAATACAGGCTTGTGCCATTTTAGAAGATTTTCCTTGTGAGACAAAAAAAAATGCATGTTTTCATAACTTTTTTTTTTTCTATGGAAACACTAAATTGTTTAATCTTCTTGGATGTCAGGATTGCTCATGTGTGGTGAATCCTGCTGATTACCTTTTTATAACAGGCTTTGTTTTTATTTATCCATTTTCTTTTTTATTCAAGACTTTGGACCACAGTAACTTCAGACAAATTTCTAACCTTTTACTTATCTCATTGAAGCTTGCAATATCCTGTAGCAACACCTATATCATCTTGGCTATTAAAGTATTTGACGATCAGTTATTGTCCCTGTCACCATGTTCTTAGTACTATTCCACTGTATTGACCACTACCATCAGTCACGGTAGAAGTAGTTTTACTGTATTATATATTTTATGCTCTTGAATCCTGACTTAAATTGTTTTTTCTCTTTTCTAATTTACCCAGTACATGGCTTGAGATCCACTCAAAATAGAGGGTGACTGTTACAATGGTCATAATGAATTAGGTGTGTGTTATATGAAAGAAAGAGAATGTGGGAAGTGAAACTTATAAGGAGACAAAATAACAATTGACTCTAAAGTAGTGTTCAGGGAAGCCTCCATGAAGGAGTAGCAGTTCTTGGAGAAAAAGCTGTTTGAGCAGAACTTTCTTCTTACATTAGGAATATGGAAGAAATGAGACTGATTCAACTTTGGCAGGAGCATGTCTTAGCTGTAAAAGTCTGAACTAGTGAACTAAAGAATGAAGCTCATCTGACTATTTGCCAAGGAAATAGTAATAGTAGTAATATCGGCTTGCAATGTTGCATCTGTGAGGACAGGCTACAGTGTAGAAAATGAGATTGCATAAACTCTGTCAAAGCAGGACAGTAAAGATTGGGTAGCTTTAACCCAGATATGGCAATAATACTCCATCATGCCAGAATGTTAGGTACTTTCAGGAGTGGCTGAATGTGCTGATTCTTTTTCTCAGAATTTTTGCAATGCATAGGAGTTTTTTTTTCTAAAGTTTGAGGTGAACTAGAATTCCAACAGATGTTCAAGCATGGAGCATTGTTCAATGTGCAACAGTTCATCATGCCTGAAAAAAGTTTCTGATTGGTGATGATATATAGGTTTTTATTTTATTTTTTTTTACTTATTGAATGTTACAAACCACTTTTCTCATTAACACACACACAGAGATTTTGTAGATATATCTCTCCCTGACAATCACAAGTGCATGAAACTTAAGTAGCAACTCAAGTTGTGAAGTATTTTTTACTCTGTCTGTATAGCCTATGCATTGAGCACTGTTAGTTACTACTTAGGTATGTGTTTGCTTTTTTTTGTTTTTTTTTTTTTGTCAAAGCTGGAATGTCAGGATTGATCAGTTCTAGCCCAGATATGGCTGCAATACTCCATTTTTGGTCTAAACTAACTCTTGTAAAGATAAAGCATTTCAGGAGTTCAGTACTTCCTGGAGCCAATCATTTTTCTTTAGCAATGGATATGAGTTTTACTTGAGGTCTGAAGTGCACTTGAGACCCAGTAGATGTTCAAAGCATGTAGCCTCATTGGGAGTGCAACTGTTCATCATGATTGGAGGAAACTCCTGATATGATTACTAAGGATGAAATGACAATAGTTTTTTTTTTTTTTTTTTTTTTTCATACCTCCCCCCCCTTCCCCAATGTACTATAAGAGCTAGGTCACAGGGGATTATATTATATGTAAAGAAAAGTACTTTTCAACATGGGAGCATGCCTCCAATATCTTGCCTATATATTTATCAAGGGTACTAAGAGTTAAGCAATTCATCAATTCAAAAGGAAATTACAGCTACTAGTATATGATTCTTGAAGCTGTGCATATTCCAGAAACATTTTCTAGGTTTTAAAAAATTTTTCTTGTTTTATTTCATCTTAATACAATGAATGTCTGCTTATAAATATTTTTTCTATTATTTAAGTTTCAAGTGATTTTAATTTTGACTTTCTTCTAGAAACCTTTTGGATAAAACTGGTGACCATCCTGCTAGCATTGTTGATTCAATAAGGTACCAAATTCATAGTGTTTTACTAGAGAAAACCTTACTGCCTGTAGTTTTGGTAAGTATGCAGAATTTATTATGCATGTTAGGATAAAGCAAAATTTGTTTTGATTTTATTTATCCCCACCTTTCAAGACAGTTGAAGTAAATCTAACTTCTGTGTGCTATGTCCCTTCAAGGCATGGGTAATCATGGCTCTCCACAATTTTCTGTCCTTTGTAGTTCTTTTACTCTCTCTCAGTCCCTGTTCTGCCGGCCATTTGCACAAGCTTCTTAGATATGTTATGCACTGCTTTCCTCTGTCCCTTGTTTCCTGTGAGTTAAATTTTCTAAGCCCTCTTTCTTCATTATCCACCCTATGACATTTTCAAACAAGATACTGAAAATTGTGATTTGATTTTCATTTATTCAGTTACAAAGCAAATGAACCAAGAAAACAAAATATTACAAGAGTTCATATAGAAGAACCATTGAAGATCTAACTTGCCATCAATTCAATATGCTTTCTTTATGGACCTTGGTTTTTCAAAATGCGATTAGTAGCAGCTACTCTTTCAGACATAGAACTTCTTTGGTAGACAGTTGTAGCCAAGCATTTTTAAAATCAAAACTATTGAATAATTTCATAGTAATTTATCATGTAAACTAATTTTTCTCCATTTTCATCCTTCAGTTTCATTTTAATAGCTAATATATTTTTTAATATAATTTTTGACATGCACACCTTGGAGGACAACACATTATACTCAAATGTGCATGTTCAATTGATTACATGCATGTATTTCTACGCATAAGGTCCTCCAGTTTTTTCTCACAAATTTGCATTAAGTTTTTTTTTTTATACTAAGAGTTCACCCAATAAGACACAAGGTTCCCACAATGTAAAGATTTACTAATATTGTAAGAGAGGGAGAAGTAAAAGTATTTTGAGGATGAGTAGGATATATATTTGTTATCTGGACTTAAAGATTGTAGTTGTCAGGAAAGTATTCTCTGGGGAGTTTGTTCCACAAAATAAGTTCTGGGGAAAAAGCTGTAAGAGCTGAAACTATTTTATCAAAGGAACACAATGAGGATGGGTTGCCACCATGAACACAGCATGGTGGATCTTGGTTATGAAGGTCTGACCTGTTGGCACAAAGGAATGCTACTTGTCTGACTGTCATAGTAATAGTGATATAGTAGTGAAAGGCTGACAATGTTTTGTCTGTGAGATAAGGGCTGCAGTATGAAGAATAATTCATCACCTACAAGGCCACATAAGCTGGACAGTGAGGATTTGGTAGCACCAGCCCAGATATGCTAGCAATACTCCATTCCTAGTCTGATCTGACTTCTATAAAGATAGAACATGGTAGCAGGTGTTACATATTTTCTAGAGCGATACATCTTCTTTTGTGTTTGCACGAAATGCAGTATTGTTTTGTAACTTGAGAAGATAAACAAAATTATATGGATGCATTGTGTTTCTGCAAATTTCATGCAATATATCCATGTTTTTTTTTTTTTTTTTTTTTTACTATCCTGGCATGATCATAAAGAAATATGTATGAACTGTAACTCTCAAATTGTTTCAACTACACTCTACCTTGAGTGGCACTTGAGCCTTGTATTGAATGAACAATAGTATAAAAACCATTTTTGAAAAAAATGGTAATGTTTCCACCAAAAAGATTTGTAAGCGAAACTATTGTTATCCTTTTGTGCTAAGCTCATGTTGCCAACATATGATAAGCTAAGATATTATCTAACAATATGTCAGATCCAATTATCAGTAGAGCTGTAATAAATGCCAGAACATATCTTGTTATAAATGTGTATTTGTGCAAAGATAACTAGTTTATAAAAATACTAATAAAACTAGGTATCTTGTAATGCAGTAATAAATTTCATTATGACCATTAGTCTTTTAATTAGGTATGCTTTATGTACTAGGTTTGTATATTCATAAAGATTTTTATATATTTATATATATATATATATATATATATATATATATATAAAATACATGCAACAAGCAAGAAAATTTGTATTTTGCTCAGTCATGTCACATAACCAATCATATGCAGTGTAGCCATAGCAGCAGTGGGCAAGATAAGTTGATGGAATCCATTTCTCTTCAGGCTGGGTTTGAACACTGTTGTTCTAGACTAGTTGCCTTACCAAGGCTAGAGAGCCCAGTCTATCCTATTATTTACAAAGGTTTGAATTCAGTTTTCCTTTTCATAGACTGGTTGCCACCCAAGGCAAAGTGTTTGGTCTACTCTGCTATTTAAACCATATCTGGAGGAAGATGGTGTTGTGGTTTTTTCCAAGGTCATGTATGTAAAGTGAACAAAAACAGGTTTGGTCAGAATTTGACTATGCTAATTTCACATTTCACTACTTTCATATACTGTCAATTCTGCACAGGAGGAATAAAACTTCAGCAGAAAATAAAATCAGAATTGAATCAGATGCATGCCGACTGTAACATAACTTTAGATAGGAGGAACAGTAAAAGTAGACAAAAATTCCAATCACTTTTTTTCTCTATATACATAAACATTCCAAAAGCTAAGCAAAGTATTAACAAGAAAATTTCATTAAAAACAAGTGTTCTGAACTGAGAAATGGCAGTGAATGCTGGACAATCACCTCAGATGAAGAGAAGATTGGAAGCAACAGAAAGGATACTTTTACTCAGAATAAGAAAAAGGTGGCAGAAATTTCTTTGACACATGATGAGGAAAGAGGGTTTGTGTCATGGGACATATCAGAGGCAAAAGGGACAAGGTGGTATCAAGCCACGTACCTGATCAGCTTGTGTGAATGGATGCTGGAATGTGGGGTGGGAGAGATGGCAAAAAGACAGATTACTAAGAGCAGGAAGTTGTGAAGTCATAACTGCCTATGTCTTGAAGGAACATGGCACATGGAAGATATGGCTTGAAATATTAAAAAAAAAAAATTATTATTGAAGACAATCAAAATCATATATTTTGTCCTTAACAAAAGTATGAACATAAATATTCATCACTTTCTCATTATCTTTTTTCTCCACTAACAGAAAAACAAAATGATTTATAATTTATAACAAATTAATACTGTAATTTGCAAACTATATCTGTTCTTTCAAACTTTAAGTTTTTGAAAAAAAAATTTTCAAATTAAAAAAAAAAAAAAAAGACTTGTTAGAAAAATCTTCATGCAAAAACCAGACGTGACTTGCTGCCATTTGGTTAGAAAAATGCTGCTGTGGCAAAATATCCATATATGAAGATATTGAAAGAACTATAATTATGAGAAAAGCTTCCCCACAGAATTCATGGCCGATTGAATGTCTATTTCTTTTTACTTTTTATTTAACAGACCTAGCTGTTGTAATTATTATTGATACATTTCTATGAAATCAATCCAACATTTTTCTGGTTCCCTAGGTACTAGATTAATCAGATCTCTCTGCGTTTATTACCTCCTTTTTACAAGAAGCATTCATAAATGCATAATCCCAGACACTTCAGTGGCCAGCATGCATGAGTTTTTTTTTTCTTCAAAGGCTTTTTCCTTTTTCACTCCACTTCTGAATAATTGCAAATATATCCAACTCTCTCTTCTAACTAAAAAAAAAAAAAAAAAAAAATCCTGTACATGGTTGCTGTTTATCTCTAAAATTACTCTATAAGTCATTTCAAATGAAACCCATACATAAGCTTGCATTATTATTATTATTTATTATTATTATTAAACTAAGTTTGTGAAGGTTTGGCACAAGGTTCAAAAGAGAGTAATGAATTCAAGTTTTGGGAATATTAAACAAGAGGAAAGAATTTACTTTTATGAGCAATCTATTTTCAAGTTTTACTTAACATTGAAAAAAATTTGTTTAATTTGAAATTAAATCAATTTTTTTATTCTGTACGTTTGTGAGTGCATACTTTTAGAATATTAAAAACCATTGTATACATTAACCATTTTTAAATATGCTATAATTTAAACAGAAATTCTTATTTTTTTTATTTTATTTTCTTTTTTTTCTTTTTTTTTTTCTAGAATTCTGATTAGTCTCATTTTTAGTTTGGTTGTGTTTCATCACAACTATGCAGAATTTCATTCTAAAGTCATTAAATAACTTATGGTGTTACTGAAACTTTTTTGTTTTAACATAGTAGCTGCTTTATGAATTGAGCTTTGAATTATATTTGAGCTTCTGTAACTGCTAGTTTCTCTAGCTTAATCAATAATGTAACTGTCACATTGAAACAGGTTTCTTGAGGAAAAGGGACAAAAGTTAATTTTGGCAATTATAGCTTATTCATTTCCAATCTGCACTGTTAATGGCTGTAGAATGATTGAGAAGGTGTCATAAAAGGTGAAATCAAGATGAGTCAAAAGCTAATATCAGGAAGTATTGTTGTTAATTGAGTATATTTATCAGCCTATTTGTGTATTAATCTTTTCTCTTGCAGTTTGGTGTATTGATTGTTAATACATTACGATACATCTACATCAAAGGATTCATTGGTCATTGGACAGAAATGTTTTTAGTTCTGCCAGTAAGTCAGTGTTATTTTCTTGTGAATTATTGCTGTCATTTTTGCTCTTAGATTTTAATCAGAATGTCATCACATGTCAACTTGTAAGCAGCTGATACTGCAAAACATTTTTCTTTCATCTTCATTACTTTTTACATTGTTTCCAAATTACTCTACAGGGATCTTTCAAATTTAATATGCAAATTTATAAGCTATTATGAGCTTATAAATTAAGATAATTGAATAACTTTAATTCACAAGATCCAAATCCAATGCTGAATGTGTAATAGCATAATGGAACAAGATGCTGAATTTCATATCATGATTAACAAAAACTGTTTTGCACTCTGCATCTATTTGGCAAGGAGTTAGTGATGATTGAAGATCTAATATAGTTATGTCAATGTAGCTGGTCAAAGTCCCCATTTGTGCCTGAAAATAGCTTTTGGAAGGCTTGTAGCATTTGAGAAAAATCATGAAGGAAGGTTATCTTCTGATTAAATTCTAAGAGCAAAAATGACAGCAATTGATGAAAGAATCAATTAAAATATCTTAATTAGAACCCATTAGTGAATTGTAGAAACAGAACCAACAATGATCAAATTCTGGTTTAACTTGTAACTGGATTTACTTGATCCTCCTAACTAAAATTCACCCAATCCCTTTCCATCCTACCTACCTGGAGTTGACCTGATTAATGGTTCCTTAGATAACATGTAAGTTAGTTAACCTAATGAATGTGCTTAATTTTATACTATTCACTTAATTTTATGTAGGAAGGGTCAAATTTTTTTGTCTTGGGCCACTTGTCAGTATTAGGGCATCTGATTTTAAGATGATGAAAGAATCTTGAGAACATGGGATTAATTGTAAGAAATAATTGTATATCAATGTCAGGATTAAGGTAAAAATGTCTAAGGTATGTGTGGCGGACATGAGACAGAACCTGGGACCAGCACAACTGGTCGCGACTTGCCTTGTCCCCGCCAAAAAAGAGCCCGTATTTGCTTAGCATGTAAAGCTACTGCAGTTGAAATGAGGAGAAAAAAAAGCACTTACCGCTCTGCCGTAATCCGTCCTCGGCCAGATAACTTAAAAGAATGAGGGGGACTGGCATCGCATTTTTATGCAATAACGATGCAATGCATTATGGGACGTGGACGCAATGAATTATGGGATCACGTGAAGACGCAAGGGATTATGGGTATATGAACAATTATAAAAAGAACTACTTTTTTCCAAGTCGGAGAGTTATTCGAGAGACGTTCACGGTTGACGGCAAGAACGGGCAGTTAGTGTGATTTGGAGACAACTCAAGAAGGAACGACTCAAGTTTGAAATACCAGCTGGGAGAGCTTGAATTTACTCGCTGGTTACTATTTTCTTCATTCGCCACAGTATGACAAGAGAATTATGCAATCCAAAAGCTGTAAAGATCACTTTGTAGACAATGAATCCGCAGATATTTGCTTCACTGCAATATTGTCTCGGCATAAGTGAATGATATAAATCCCAGTACTTATCTTACTAGCTGTTCATATCTTTGTAATGAACAAAAATGTTATAGAACACTAGATGCATATTCTGTCATTATTGATTGTACATGGAAGTCTAAGATAGTCCATGGCATTCAAAAAAGCAAGCAATCAAAAAAATCTTTCATGTTATGCCACATATCCACAAACACCACAAATAGACCAACTGCCTATTTGTTAGGTACCGAGACTTTACAAACCATCACTATCAATAACAGGTGCAAGAATCAATAGTTGCAGCCCCGCACAAGATTATACAACTATTTAATTTTTTTAATCCTCGTTAATTTGATGTACATATATAGAAGTGGCAAATCCCTCCCCTCTATACAAGAAGTTGCCATTTACTTATATTGATAATGCTTTTCAAGTTTCTATAAAAACTGTACGTACACCTAAGTTTTCTACTTTTTCTTATTTTCAATCCTTTTTTAGGTGCATGCAGTGTTACCTTTGGTGCCCATGATATTTCCATTTTTTTGGAAATTACTTAACTATTATGGCCAGGCCAGGCTATTTGTTGCTTATGAAGTCTCAAAAGAAATTAAGGTGAGCACTGTACATTGAATATACATTTATTTGTTAATTTTCTTGTTTTTGGTTTTTCTTGTTTTTTTTTTTTTGTTTTTTTATTTCTCTTCAAGCAAGGCAATAAAGCCACTAAAATGCATGAGATTATTGAGTGTGATAGAATGAGAAAAAATCTGTATTAATGCCAAAAGATCTGGAAGAGTAACAATTCAAGATCACTTTCATTTTGCGATTTGATAAAATAAACACTCCTTTCAACTTGTGATGAAGGCTAGTATGTCAAACCCTGTCAAATGTCTTCAAGATATCAAAAGCAACAGCCCAAGTGTCACCATTCTTTAAAGCTTGATAGATGGTTTCAGCAAATTTTATTTATTGAAGTTTTTTTTAAATAATTGCCTTTGGTAGATATGTAACATCCCCTTGCAACAGGGTCATGATATAACATCTTTTGCTGCTGACTACACCCACTGGGGCAACCACATTTAGTGGTCCAGTCCTCAGGGTCTTATGATGATGCTTTAACCACAGACTATGCGCTGGTCCAAGCTGATTGCTGGTTGCTGGCCTCTTCTACCCACATCATGTCTGCCCATGTATTCTTGATCTCGGAGCAGTAGAAGATTGAAGATCGTAGTCTCACTGTGTTGGTCAAGCTGTGGTGGGTGCTATATTATGGAGGAAAAAATATCTTCACGATGAAAAAATAAAATGAGAGATTCATGGGGTTAATCTTCAACCAATCAATATAGCTCTTGGTACAAGAAAAACTAATGCTTCCCACATCTCTCTCTGGTGACACTGGGCTTTGTCTAAATTTCTGGAAGGCTGGGTTCAAAATCTTGGAATCAGGAATTGTTGTGGTAGCTGATATGTATTCCAGAAGCACTCAATGTAGCTTCTCAGCACAGTCTTCTGCTTATATGCACTTTGACCCATAACTGATGTGGGGCCAAAGGGTTCTGGGAATTAAGTGTTTCCCAATTTTCTTTAATTCAAATAAGTTTTCTTTGTTCCCTATTTCTCCTTTCTCAATCAATTTTCCAAATTTGGAGAATTATCCATCTTCTTTTGAAGTACCCACAGGGATTGCTTCACTTCACAACTTGCACCACTACTTCACACAGTCAGGCCAAAACTCTGCCCCTTCCTCCTTCCTTGATATTTTACCTCGGCCCACTTCCAGGTCATGCATAACTGTCTTTGACAAATCTAAATTTTAAAGCATGTAGGCTTAAGGGCAGTTCCATTACAGCCATTAATTTATATTTCTCCGAATCTTTTCTATTTTCCTGGAACTATCTCTGTCAAGCAAAAATACAAACCAGATCCCTGATGACTGAATTTGTTTTCATAAATCCAGCTTTAATTGTACAGTGCATGTACTGTTAAGACATTTGTTTTCATTTAACCTTCCCAGTGAGAAATAAAATTTATTTACCAATCTGTTTTGTCAATAAAAATATATGTTTACCTAAATTCACAACAAAGAGACTCTCCATTTTCCAACCCCACTCACAATCTCGGCAAAAACTCTACCCAGATCACCTTTTTAGTTTGACATGATTGATTTGCATGACTTCAATGATAAAAAAGGGGTTCGTCCTCTGTTTTTGTTTTCATCAACAATGAATGTGTTGCTCTAATTTCTCAAGAAAGAGATAAAGCCATCCCTCCGGTTCTGTTTTCATCTGCATGCCAGACACTCCATAGATAAGAAAAATAAACATTTTAGGCGAGATGAAATCCAGACGCATCATTTTCACTGAGGAAAATTGTCGGTCGCTGTCTGTCTGTCGCTGTCTGTCTGTCTGTCTGTCTGTCGGTCTGTCTGTCTATAATTTTGTCTCGTCGCTGTCTGTCTGTCTGTCTGTCTGTCTGTCTGTCGCTGTCTCTGTCTGTCTGTCTGTCTGTGTCGCTGTCTGTCTGTCTGTCTGTCTGTCGCTTTCGTCTGTCTGTCGCGCTCTCGTCTGTTCGTCTGTCGCTGTCTCTGTCTGTCTGTCGCCTCTCTGTCTGTCTGTCTGTCTCGTCTGTCTGTTCGTCTCTCTTCGTTCGTCTGTCTGTCTGTCTGTCGCTGTCTGTCTGTCTGTCGCTGTCTGTCTGTCTGTCGCTGTCTGTCTGTCTGTCGCTGTCTGTCTGTCTGTCGCTGTCTGTCTGTCTGTCGCTGTCTGTCTGTTCTGTCTGTTCGTTCGTCTGTCTGTCTGCTGTCTGTCTGTCTGTCTGTCTGTCTGTCATCTGTTCTGTCTGTCTGTCTGTCTGTCGCTCTCTGTCTGTCTGTCTGTCTGTCGTTCGTTCTCTTCTGTCTGTCTGTCTATAATTTTGGCTCTTTTCTGTCTGTCTCTGTCTGTCTGTCTGCCGCTCGCTCTCTGTCTGTCTGTCTGTCGCTCGCTCTGTCTGTCTGTCTCTGTCGCTCTCTCTCGCTGTCTGTCTGTCTGTCGCACTTCCTCTTCTCTCTCATATATAATTTTGGGTTAACCCTTATTTCCTGCTTAGAATTAACATTTAATCACAAAACCGCCTGAGTGTCACTGATGAAATTATCAGTTGCTTATATCTAGACAAGTTTTATTTTTTGAATAAAAGGGTTGTTGGAATAATTGACAGACAGATGGAAAAGTGCAAAATCAATTGGGAGATCTGGAATAATGGGTGTGGTGGGGGGATGGCCCCAAAATCAAATACTTGAGCAGACATGTCTTTTCTATTTGCGAGAGCGAAAAGTTATATTCATGTTTAAGTTGAATTTTTATTCCTATGTTTTTCCCAAAAGTATATCATCTTTTTATTTCCTCTTTCTACAAATTTCCCTCACTAAATTTCATTTTTCTTTTCCTCCAGAAAAGAGTACGTATTTTAATTAAAGCTGTTTACTTGAATGTGTTTTATTGATGCATGTTAGTTTTCCTCATGTTTTTTCAGCCGTCAGTATCTGAAGAAAGTTTTGACAGCGACAGCATCATCTCTGAAGATGAGGCCCGTGTCAATTTACCGTGGAAGAGGGTTCTACATTGGTTGATGGTAATTGCAACTGGTAATTCTCCAGTAGCTACATATAATATCAATTTAATGCATATATTGGGCAGTGTCACAGTAAGTTTGTGTTCATATTTTTTCTCTTACTTCTCTCCCCCCCCATGTTTTTCTTGTGTTACTTCTTGTTTAGTTGTTTTTTTTTTTTTTTATTACTTGTTACCTTTTTTTTTTTTTTTTTTTTTTTTTACTTAATAACAATGAAAATAATTCTCATAAAAATTCATAGTGTCCTTAATTTATCTTCATAAAAACAAAAGCTTTTCTAATTAAGTAATGTCTTAGTTTTTTTTTTTGTTGTTGTTTTGATTCACAGCAGATTTTTGGTAACTGGGGGTCCTTTTTTACAAAAAGAAATTGATAATTAAAATTTTCCAAGGAATTATGCTTTTAACTGATAAAATTGAGCTTTATAAAATTTACTATGCTAATTTATAGTCCACCCACTGCTGCAAGAAAAATGAGATTTTTAACCAAAATTTGGAATGTTTTAAAAAGGATTAAAAAATATAATTTAAATTGAAAATACTTGGTTTTTCCTCTTAACAAAGATTTTGATGGTTAAACTTTTATCATATTTTGACCATTTTTTTTTTTTTTTTTTTCATCCTATTATGCTCTTTTAGCAAATTAGTGGATATATGTAACTAATGTTTATTTTCTAAAATTCCTTTTGAAATTAAGCTGATTTACTTTCTTCCTTTTAAATCTTTTAACATTTTTTGTTTTTTATTTTAATTTCTTTTAGTGAGGTTGAATTTTTGAGATTTACTATACTGTACTTGGCTTGATTTTCGTTTCTTAATGTTTTGCATCAATCTTTTTATTTCTCCAGACTTTATGCTGTATTGATAAAAAAGGTATTCTATCTTGGCCCAACCCTTCAGCAGAGAAAGTCTTTTTCTTCTCTGATGTCAAACAGCCTACTCAACATAACAGCCCCCAGGATTCTCTGTGCTCTTTTTCAGAAGAAATGACTTTCTCCCAATACCCAGAACAAGATTCCACTCAGGACTGTGCCTATCATCATGGGGAAGAAGCACAAGTGCCCACTAATGGTACCTAAATATTTATCACTCTTAGATGCTTGTGTGTGGGGAGAGTTAGGGCAAAAATGCACCTCTCTCTCTTTCTCTCTCTTCTCTCCATTTTTCAACAATTTAGTGAGTGGCCAAAAGATGTGGTCGTTATATTGTTTGCCACTTTCTCTTACAGTCGAAATAAGATAATAATGTAATATAATGAAAAACATTTCTATTTCAGTTAATTTATTGAATGTAAAGTATTAAATAAAAGTAGAAATAGTCTACCTAACAGAATGATCTTTATAGCATTTGGATGGTCTAATTCCCTTGACATTTTAAAAAAAAAAAAAAAAAATCAAGGTAATCACTTTTTCTTTTTTCCTTCAGTGGACTTAGGAAGAACTTTATAATTGAAAAGACATTTTAATATTTTATGTTTTTAAAGGGTTCCTTGAACAGCCTGATAACTTTTCAGAATCCCTTTGTACATAGTTGGATACCTTTGTCTAACTTTTGTCAGATACCTTTCTCTAACTTGTTTTATATTTACTGAAAGATTGCAGAAGGCTGGTGTTCATTATTGATCAAATCTAACATTTTCAGATATTTTAACTGTTGGTAATCTTTCTTTTTTTTTTTTTTTTTTTTTTTTTTTTTTAGTGAATTACAAATTGCTTGGGGGGGAATGCATAGGGAAACTTATGGCAGTAGTAAAGTGACTAAAGCCAAGATGCCAGGTCATGACTGATAATAGTGCTGATTTTTCTTTGGATGTTATCAAGGATCTCTAAATACATAGAAACACCAGACCAGATGTGACAGGAATATTCAATGCATGGACAAATGATACTTATAAATATGTAAAATAGACAATCTGACATATGGTGGGCCAACGTTCACTTCATGTCAGCAGAAAATATTAGCCTGTGAAGGTGCAATGAGTAACTCTCTTGGAGGTTAGCATCAGCAATGTTAATGAAGGTGAAAAAAAGTTGTCTATGATTTTTTTTTTTTTTTTTATTTTTTTTTTTTTTAAAAAGAAAATGCAATTTCATTTTGGATGCATTAAAATTAACAAACCATTTCTTGCCCCAGTTAAGACTGCCATTTTGAATTTATCAAACTAATTAGACTTAAGACAGGCGTGAATTAATATGTAGAGTAACAGAACTTAAAATGACCCTTTCAAACTTGTTTCATGGATTTAACTGGATTACCTATTTAAAATTAGTTTTGATTGTGTGTGTGTGTGTATATATATATATATATATATAATCATAACAACTGCCCTAATTAAGTTTCTCCCCTGGTGCCCTGAATACATGAATTTAAGCATGCAACTTCTCCAAAATTTTCTTTTCTTGCACTTTCTGCCCATGGAACTCTGTTTAATTGCTTTCCTGATAACTACAATCTTCAAAAATTTAAATGCAAAGTCAGTTGCCATCTTATTGAATCCTGTTCATTTTGTGTCCTTTCCTCAATCTTCCCTGTACTCAGTTTTTGCTCTCACTTTCACTCCCTGTAGCCTCCTGCATACTAGTGGCATTCTTGCCTTGTTTGGGGTGAAATGATAATTTTTTTTTTTTCTTTAATAAAGAAAATGTACTCTTTGATAGGGTTTAAACATGTGCCCCCCCCTTTATATATATATATATATATATATATATATATATATATATATATATATATATATAGTTCATTTCTTTCTTATTAACAGTTAATAACAACATAAACAGGCATCTGATAAAAAATATTCACTGCCAGAATCTTTCCCAGAACAGATAACAATGCATGTGGAATTTGTCCCTATTCATTGATCATGATGAATCATATCTGCATTGTTGGGTGTGTTTCATACTGTGAGGAAATAGATATTCTTTATCTAACCTTGTTCTTTGTCACAGATGAGAATTCCTCTATTTCATATACAGATAAGTGAAGTGTAACCTGGAGGTTGTCTTTCTTTTACAAGAGAAAAGTAAACAGAAAAGTAAACAGAAAAAAAAAACCAAAAAAAACTTTCATATCTACAGTCAGGTTGTTATAAACCAGATCTTTATTCTTTCAGTTCTGTTTTATAATGTCAAGGACATTTAGTAGTTGGTATTCTGTGAGCATTCACAATAATTTTTCTCAAAATACTGTATCTTAAGAATTATTTTTGGTTTTGAAATTTGGTTTTTAACTTGAACTATTGACTTGAACAGTATTAGAACTTGGAATTTCTTCAGAAAATTCACATTCCTTCATATTGTTTTAACATTAATAAATCTTAATTTAATAAATTATATTAAGTCCCTTATTAACTACAAGGTTAACTTTAATTACAGAAATTTAAATGGAAATATTGAAATTATAAGTTTGTTTCTTCTCTTGCTACAGTTCCAAGGACTGGCTGTCATGTTGAGGTTTTGGATTTGACTCATGATACAAAAGTAAGAATTGTTTTATTTGTCTACCTTTTTGTCTATCATTACAGAATATTTAAGTTTTAATATGAAACTGAAAAATGTCTGAAAACCAGTAGTTCACTTGCAACAGTTGAGAAATCAACAGCTCTGATGTTGTCTGAGTCTTCCTCTCCCAGATTCATGGTAGAGAGAAAAGCCACCATGTGAAGAGGATAGGTAACTGGCTGATCTGTTCTCTCCAGTTCCTTCTTTGTTCCTCAAAGCTTACTATATCCCCTCTGAAAGTAAAATGAGTAAAATAAATACAAACATGAAAAAAAATTCTGTCATTGAGTTTGTCAATGCAGCATTGGGGTCTTTACTGAGGGATTGCCAATAGCCCACTAGAATCCAGGAATGACTTGCAGTATAATATTACCTATGAAATAAGTCATTTTATAATGACCTTTTTTTTTTTCTTTTCTTTTCTTTTTTTTAAGTATAAATAACTTTTAGAAATTTTTTTCCTCCCAAGTAGAAATGTTTAAAAAAAATTTATTTATTTTATTTATTTATTTTTTTTTTTTTTTTTTTTTTTTTTTTTTATGAAGAAAAGCTCTATTTCTTTTCAGAATTCATTTGGGCTCCAGTTTGATGATCCCTCTTGGAAAATACATCTTTCATCTTTAAAGCCTTTAGTAAGTATGTAATAATTCCTCTTAGTTATTCAGTTGAGATGGTACTATGTAAGTGTATGCATACGTATATATACATACATACATACAAAGAAAAATCAACTTAACATCAATTTAAAAAACAAAAAAAAAGCACATAAATTATTTTAACTTAGTATAAAAATAACAATAAAATTGACTAACATTTGTTATCTCCTAATGAGTAGACCAAATAATTACACAAAGGTTTGTTTACAAAACTATGCAGTAGAGGTCCTGAATATAACTCAATCAGCCAAGTGACAAATTTTATATTTGTATTAATCATATTTATATAAATCACAAGAGGTACTGAAATGTTCTCAAATTGACAAACATCCAAAAACCTGACCAAACATCAATATTTTTTATTTTATTTTTGATCCCTTTATGGCTGGACCAAAAACTTCTTAATATCCCCCTCATATATACAGTGTATATCAGGTAATTGAGAACAAATTATTATACAATTACAAAATTATTGTTCTTGACCTGATCCATTTCCCCATAACCAGTCTTTTGATTACCAAACATCAGAATTCACTTTTTTAAGGTTTCAGAGTCTGCATGGTCAATAAATGAATGTTAAATATCATCCGTTTCATGGTTCGAGGTAATTCTTATTGATCAGGCTCAGAACGTTTTGCCTTCTTGTCATATACTGAATAATATACTGAACAGACAAAACCATTACATTTTAAAAACGAAAAATATCTTTTACACATGTTCAACTTAGAAAAACAAAATGTTATTCAATAAAACCACCATCTGTGAGGAGTCTTGGAAATGACTGCATGCCTAAATCAGGTGATTCATATTCATGTTGGCTATCGTGTCTATAGTGGTAGTCATCAGTGTGTCCTTGGTAATATGAGGCTACTGGTTTGTTTCTTAATGACATCCCAGATATATCTGATTCAAATCAGTAGCACTATGAGGCCATAAGTTCCTTTATTTTAGATTCTTGTAATAAACCAACTTTTCATTGTCTATCTTTTCACTGAATAAACTTTTTTTGTTTTGTAAAAGTGTTTAAATATAAACCAATGTGTTTTTTTTTATATATATATATATATATATATATATATATATATATATATAATCCCATTTTTGTAAATCATATAAGGCATTTGACTGATTGCTGAAGCAATAAAAATCAGTAACCTGCTTGGACATTTATAAGTTTTCTTTGACTTTGTGCCAAACACAGCATTGAGAAACTTACATCAATTTAATGTTACATAAAAGAAAAATAAAAAATGAAGATACTTGTATGGATTATCAAATTCAGTGGGATTTCATAAAACTCACTTAATATTTTTCTCAAACTATAACCATTCAATGGTAATACTAGCTGTTTCCTTGTAAGGAAACATTTGGCATTCATTGATCAATCGGCCACTACTGCTGCCAGTTGAAATTTATGAAATCTTTCTCTTAAAACAATTTTTCAAGAAAATAGGATTCTTAAATCCAGTAGTTGTTTCTCCTATTTACAATATTGATGGGAATTTCGTTTCTAAACTTTTATTTGTAGTGTGAAAAAAAAAAAAAAAACTAAAATCTGAATCTGATTTCAATTGTATAAAAGAAATAATGATGACTGAAATGCAGAAGCAGATAAAATATATATATTTTTTTATCTTGGTATTTAGTATTAATCATTGCTTTGATTTGCTCTCTTGCTTGCTATTATACTTGTTGCCATCCTTATTGTTGAGGGTTGAAGAACATGTACAGTTGTTTTGAATTCTTCTTGACTAGCGAGCCTAGTCTACCTTACTATTTAATCCATATCTGGGGTGGATGAAAAGAGAAGAGATGGTTTTATATCTTTTAAGTGTATTTACACATAAGTGAATCTATGAACCTAACTAAAATTCACTCTGCTCTCCAATTTTTCATTCTGAGCTGCTATTCATTACACCACCTGCACAACCATAAGATCTGTGATCCTTATTGGTGGCAGGGTGGGTGATATAATCTTGAGGTAAAGAAGTTCTTCTTTAAGATCAAAGACTAGGAAATATATATAGACCTTGCAAGCGGTGAAATTTCTTTAAAAAAAAAAATGTAAAGTTTCAGATAGCAGAAAAAAAAAACAAACAATATCAGTGCATTTTCTATTTTTTTCTCTTGTGTTTGACAAGAGCAGCTGCTGCAGAATTTTTGCTTCTGTTCAAAATGTATTTTCTTTTTTTATGGTAGTTTGTTGAGCAGCAGATTTGGAAGCCCATGATGCTTAGTTTAAAACTTTCTCTTATCGATCATAGAGCAGCTTACTTGATAAACCTGCAATCTTGAAACCTTACATTCAGTTTAAAAAAAAAAAAACAAAAAAAAACTCTTATTTCTTTGAAAGTCATTCTGGAGACATGCTTGTGTCACTTACCAAGCTTTAAAGAAAACAAAACTTTATCATTATAGATTTTAAGAATTAGTTATTGGTAGGAGACTAAAAGTAATAAATTTAGTGGTACAAAAGAAAAAAAATGGTCTCAAACCAAATTCCTGACATCTGTGCTATATAGAAGTATGTGATATTCAGAAAGAAATAAAGTTTAATAGAGGAATAATGTCTTACTCTTTGCCAGTCAATCTAATAGTAATGCACTCATACACCCACTAATTTACATGCAGACTATTTTTATTTATTTTTTTAATCATTTCGCCCTAAGCAAGGCAGTAATGCCAATAGTATGCAGGGGGTTACAGGGAGTGAAAGAAGACTGAGAATAGGGAGGATTGAAGAAAGGACTAATGATGAATAGGGTTTCAAGAAGTCAGAAGATGGCAGTTGACATTACATTTAAATTTTTTGAAGATTGTAGTTATCAGAGAACCAAAGAAACTGAAGAGTTCCAAGGGCGGGAAGTGCGAGAAATTCTGTTTGAATAGAAGTGGTGGTTGCATTTAGCTATTTCAACAGTAAAATTGTCCTTGTTATCATGTTTCAACCATGGTGTCCTTTGGTCTTTATCAGGTTGTCAATCTAGGTAACCTTCAGGGAATTTTAATCTATGGTAGTAGATTTTTCTTGTTCCACTGATTATGTCTATGGATATCTCGTCTAGTTCTAATACTGCTTGGTTATTGCCCACCCCATTTCCACTGAGTCCAAGTATTGAACTCATAATTACTATGTTACCAAATTCCTGAACACTTTAATACTGAGTGGAGAACTTGGAGCTTTAAACTTAACCTGCCTGTTGATGAGTTCTGCTATTGTTCCACTTGATTGCACTCAATGACATTTCTCTTTTCTGTTGTGGTGACTGCTGCTGCTGTTGAAGCTTAGTTGTCATTTCTATTTTTACTAACAGCTCTCATATATTTGTTGTAATTTTGTTTTGAATGACCAAAACTATTCATCAGTAAAACTTTTTCATCTGTCTGCTCTGCTGACATATTGAAATATTATGCTATGCAAATTTTAAGTATCAGCAGACACCACTTTTTCAGCACTTTTTTTTTTTTTTTTTTTTTTCTTGAATACACAAACTAATGTCTGAATTTCAGAGATAAGGAGTTATCATTATTTACATGTGGACTATTGTCCTCTTCTGTCGTATTTTATCTGTTGTGCCCTCTGGGGACAATAGACTAGACAATAGTTTAATTCATTGGTTCATGAATTTGGTGACATAATTGTGAGTTCTATCTCAGGAGTGAACAGTGTATACTTGGACTTAGTGGAGACAAGGAGAGCAGTAATTGATCAGTGGTGAAATAAGAGCTATCTCTAGACATGTTCAGCAAAACATAGAATAGATGAAGATTTCAGTTTGAAATTCTCCTAAGGTTACCCAGATCGATAAGCATGTGATGAAGTCCAGAGGGCACAACAACAAAGATAAAGACCATTTAAATAATTGTATTTAAATTGTAAATCTTGCAACATTATTTTCTTTATCTTTCCAGTAAGGATCTAAAAAACAATCAATGAGCCATAGCCTAACATAGTTATTAGCTGAATTTTGATCTAAAATTTTCACTGTATAATGTTCGATTTTCATGATTAATATTCCTTGAATTAAATACTTAAAGAGATTGTGTTAAAAAAAATGAATATTTGCTATGTAAGCTAGTTGTCGTTCTTTGGTGGGTATGTGTGTGTATGAGAAAGAGAAGGGGTGGATGCATGCATAGTATAGTAGATATTGGTATAACAAGTGGAATTGGTATGTGAAGTTCAAATTCCAGCCAATGCTGTTGTGTTCATTTTTGTACAAATACCCTTGGAAAGATAAGCCCAAAGTGAGGGGATTGCATAACAGCAGGACAGACTAGTTACTAACCAAAACTAGTCCAATCTAGAAGGATAGTTCTGAATTCAAAACTGGTTGGACTAACTCCATCTTGTAAAAGCTTACTTGCTATAGAAGCCACAAACCACAACAGCAACACCTAGTGTGAAGTTGTGGCCATATACTTTGAGTAATTTACAGTTAAAACACATGTTTTGCTATTATGATCTGGATGTAATGATCTGATTATTAATCATTTGGTGCCTAATTGAAGTGGTGTGTGTTTTATTTTTATTATATTTATTTATTTTTTTGTGGTGGGGAGGGGATTTCAAAGCCACCTGTTTATTAATTTCAGTTTTTTTTTTTTTTTTTTTTTTTTTTGAATCTTTAGATGGTTATCCAATGCCCATTTTTAAGATTCTCATTTATTACATATTGAGAAAAATTCTGGCCCCCACCCCACCTACACTCATACTTTTTCCTTGTATTAGGCACCCAAGAACATAACAATGTTTATACCTCAGGGTTCCTAAGAAGAGAAAAGAGAAAGATGCTTCTTTTTTGCTCTCCTATTTAATTTTAAGATTAATTATTAAATTGAATAATTTTAGCATATTATAATCCATTACAGGCTTTGGGCTCTTTTATTCATTCATTTTTTTTTTTTTTTTTTTTTTTAAGTAGCTCTTGCAAATAAAGATGTTTTGTTCTACATGAACCATGTGATGACTCACCAAATTAACTTTTTATATTATTTCATACTCTTTTAATTGTACTGAGAATGGGCTAATTTAGCTAAAAACAATGAATCTAAATCTAAAAAAGCATTCAATGTAGAATGTTCTCTTTTTGTTCAGGGTCTTAACATTTTGGCTAACACGTGTAATACAAGCACTGCTAATTGGTATTCCCAATTCACTGACCATGTGGCATCTGCTGCTCTGGAGGATGAGGGCACTGTTGCAGTCTTGAATAGAAGGTAAGCACGTAAATTATTAAGTAAAAACAAATTTCCCATTTCCCTTTGATTTTGTCTTTGTTTATATTGGAAGCATAATGATTTGGCTTAATTTTATGTTTGAATGTTTGAAGTCAAATGTTTTCAAGTTCAATTTGTAAAAATTAAAATGGTCAGATTTAACTTAAGTCTCTGTAATGGGTTCAAGCATATAATTTCTGTCGTCATCAGGATTTAAGAGTTTCATGTACAGCAGCAAAATGCATGTCATAATTGAATCTTTATGAAATATTATAGTCTCCGTTTTGTTAGAAGTTAAATTTAATCTTATTTTGAATCCTATTTTAATTTATCTTTTAACTTGGTAAAACATCTTTGAAAATGTCTGAAATAAATTCAAAAATTGATCAGTATATCACTTTTTTTTATTTTTTTTATTTTTTTTACTGATTATTCATCGTCTTCAATATAAATTGAATAGCTAATAGTTTTAGAAATCAAATCCTTTCAGTTTCACCTGTTAAAGTTTCTATACATGTAGATTTCTGAATTTTATTTATATATTTATTTGGAGGCACAGTGGAGTAATGGATAGTGGCTCGAATTGAGGAGTTGAGTTCATTACATTCACTTATGTGCAAATACCCTTGGGGAAGGTATGAATCTATCATTTCTTCCCCAGCTATGGGTAAATAGCAGGACAGACTGGGTCCTATTGCCTTGAGTAGCAACTGATTTAGAACAACTCCGAATGTTTTCAAAACTTGTGTAGTTTAGGGACTTTGACACACTCTGAACCAGTTCTCTGTAATTGGCTCTTCCAAAAAGTGTGGTTGGTTCTGCACAAGCCTTCACCATTATAATCAAATATGTGCAGGTAGTCTGGCTGTTTGGTTCTAAGAACTGAGTTCTTTTACCCTCATAGATAAAAAAAAATGATGAGTGTGTGTGTGTGTGTGTGTGTGTGTGTGTGTGTGTGTGTGTGTGTGTGTGTGTATATATATATATATATATATATATATATATATATATATATGAATGAAAAAATGTCTGCACAAAACATTGATTATATGAACATAATAATAAACATATCAATCGTTCAAATGTTCAAACTGTTTGACTCTGTTGTTCACACGCTCCACTTTACCAGTGTTGTGGAGGCTTGTATTTTCACTAAGTCGGTCCTAAATTAGGTTCGGCATACAAAACGTTAGGAACTTGCAATAATAGTTAATGACGCGGCAATCTAGTTGTGGGGCTCGTACTTTAATGTCCGACATCGACTGACTCACACAACTCGCTTGAGCCCACTCGCGACTGCTACTACTACTACTACTACTACTTATCTGTGGGAGAGTCTATTTACAATAGAATAGGTACGTCCTGGTATAACAACCTGCAAAACATTTATTTATTAAAAAATAAAAATTATAATGAAAATAAAAATATTAATGATTTTAATGAATTAACTGAATTCTAGTATTAAATGAATCCAAGAAACACTGTTATAATATTGGTATAACACCTACTGTATCCCTAATTTTGCAGACCCCCTTTCTGTGTATACTGTGTGTAAAAATTGAGTAATTTGTAAAAAGGTAATATAATAAAGACAAAAGGAAAACTATTCTTTACCAGTGAGTTTCGGCCTATGCTGGATTTTGCTGAAACATATTAGTAAAGAATAGTTTATTCTCTTGTCTTTATTCTTTTTAACACATGAAAAATGTAACTTGTATTGATCATAATATGCCATGAAATTGTATTTCTTGTGAATTAGTATTTAAAATACTTCATAGAGTTGAACATTTGGCAAATTTCTAAGATAGAATCCTATGCTCTAGAGATTCTTGACAAAATTCAGAGAGGGGTCTGTAGTGTAATCCTGACCTGGCATCTCGACTTCAGCCACTTTCTCACCACTGTGACATGGCTTCCCTCTGTCTTTTCTACAAATATTTTCATAGCAACTCTTCTGATGAGCTTTTCTTCTTGTAGCCTCAACTACATGCTACTAGATTGGCAACTACATCTCACCGTTTTACTGTTTCACTACCTAGATGTCTCACCATATGTTCTATTTTAATACTTTCTTTTCTCACACTTCTTGCCTGTGGAATTTTCATACTTTCCTGCCAACTACAATCTTCAAAAATGTCAATCACCATTTTCTTTCTTTCTAAATCCTGTCCTTCTCCACACTAAGGTCTTCTCCTTTTCTTTCACTCCCTGTAACTCCCTGCATCCTAGTAGCATTATCATTTTGCTTGGGCTGAGGGTGGAGATGATTAGGAAAAAAAAGATCCTATAAAGTCTTTTCTTCTAGTTTCCATTATATTCTCATGAGTCTTTGTTGATCTTTTCATAGTTAGAATTGTTTTTACAGGTGCCTGTGTGAACTTGCTAGGCAAATTGGTTTCTCCAACAATGCCCTAGATATATTTTCTAAGAAGCAGATTATTGGTGTCTACAGACAAGTAGTGAGTATGAAATTTGTAACAATGTAATTTATAAACAATGTATTTTAACTTTTTCTCTGATGCAAAAGGGAAGAAATTGTGCAATTTCGTAATCCTCATGGAAAATAGTTACAGGAAAATTTATGTGCAGGGTGCCCTACAAAAAAAAAACAGTAAATTTAGTACTGTTTATTTTATTGGAATTTTTGTGGGACATTGTTCCAAGCTTCTATCAATAGTTTTTAAGGATTGTGTGTCTGATCTCTCTCTCCTCTGTAATTGAAGTTGATGTAACAGTAAACCTCCACACGATAAAAATGTTTTTCATCATATAGTATATCTAAAATTTCCTGTTTTCTGTGGGGCACCTTGCAGTTTTAAACACTTTAATAAATGGAGATGAATAGCTTATATAAGCAATTCCATCTTGGAAGGGAATAGAAATAAAATAAAAAAAAAAAGAAAAAGGGGGTTAATTTGTATCTTTTAATTTTCTATAAAACCAATTTTAACTTGTTTTCTCTTTACACTACATATATTAACCAATACCTGCTTTTGTGATACTATGGACACCCATGTAGAAGGGGAATAGGTGTTTTTTTTTTGTTTTTTTTTTGTTTTTGTTTTTTTTATCTTCATCTTGTGTTTCTGTTTGATGAACCAACAGCTAATCCCTTTTGAAATTTGGTGTCTTAAGTGGCATCCACTTTGACTGAAGATCTTTTGTTTTATGGGATTTAAGAACCCATGAAGACATTGTTACTACTGTATTTCAAAAGCATCTTGCTGAGATCCACAAAGAAAATAAGCAACAGTAAATTTGCTCTCTTATATTTTTATATATATATATATATATATATATATTTAGTGGAATGAAAAATATATATGGCTCTGTTGAAGGGAAAAATTCTAAGCATGTGAAAGAACTTCTGCTTTAACAACACTTGTACACAATATGCAAAAGTAGTTTTTAATACCAATGTTGTTTTAGTCATATTTCATGCATCTTAAAACCTATATGGTTATAAAAGTCCTACCTTTAGTTATAGCGTATTTTTTTATATATATATATATATATATATATACACACACACACAGGGAACATCAAAACTACTTTTAAGTGCAGGTTCCTCACAGCAAAACAAGGACAAAAGTCCATATAAACATATATCTGCATCTGTTTATTTTTGAGCTATTAAGTTTAAAGAAAGTTTACAGTAGAATCATGGACCCAGCCCCCAAAGTTTGTAAAAAGTATTTTATATACACACACACACACATATATATATATATATATATATATATATATATATATATATATGAATCTTTTCTTAGAAACATTATAAAGAAATAAACAATTCCAGTTGACAAAAACAAGAAAATTAAATTATCTACTATAAAAAATTTAAAACTGCAAACCTCATCAAGATCCAAAATTACAGAGAACCAATATTATTTATGAATTCATATGTCCTGTGTTCCTGATTAATCCAATTTCATAAATAATTGGATATACTACAGCATTCCTAACAAGACTTGTTACATCTCTCTGACTACAGCTCAATTAGATCTCATTTAAATACACATGGAGACCTACCAAACTCCATTTGCAACATACTCATTGATAATACAAATATAATAGCCTCATTCACATGTAACAAAAAACATTCAAAATAATGGAAGCATTATTCATAAAAAAGAAAAAGCCAACACTCAATATCGACTATGAATGTTACCAAAATGTGCTGACTGTGTTTGGAAAATAAAACCTTTCTATAACTCTAGATATATACATAAAACAATCCATGCATTCAGTTAAAAGTAAAAATAAAATTATCCTTGATAATGACTAAAAGCGTAGCTAAAAGCACTTGGACATACAAAACATTTGGACAATTTCTACATAATTTATGTCCAGAAAAGAAAAATTATAAGAACACAAAAAAAATTAAATTAAGAAAACCACAGTACCTTGTCAGTTATTTTTAATGAAACTTGTATAAAAGAGGGACTGCTGCCCAAATACACAATTTTAAACGAGAGAAAACCTGAAAATCATGTAACTCAGAATATTAATTGTGTATAGTTTACTCCAACATTACATACAAGCATGTTTTCAGATAGCCTATCATCATTTAAATTTATCTCATAAGTATTACTCTATTTATTGCTTTATTAGTGAAAAATATTTATATTTTTTCGATATTATGAAATAAAAAGAAAAAAAAGAGGTATCAAATTGTTTTACTTAGTTTTTGTATTGAATTATAAATTCTTCCTAGTTTTAATGTGCTAAGAAAAAAAAACATAGTAGTGCTAGTAGTAAGAAAACAGTACTTGATGTATAATAACAGAAGTAATATTTATACTAATAAATATATGATTTTCCTGCAACCCTTTGTTTCATGTATAATGTAATCGTGAGGTGCGGATTGAAAACTCACTGTTGTAAAATTTAAATATTGATATTTATAAACTACTGTTATGAAGCAGTCCATTTATTTACATGAGGTGGGGGAGTATATCTAATTTTAAAAAATGGATTATAAAAAAACCCCTAAAATCTAACATATTCCAAATACAAGGATATAAATATCTATATCCACGCAACAAATGTAAACAAGTATACCAACATATACATATATATATATATATATATATATATATATATATATATATATATATATATACTTCAGTATATCCCGTCAATTCAAATATAATGCATGTGTACACCCAAATATCATTCACATATACAAATATATAAGTATATACATTACACTTATATACATATAAATAGGTACATACAATTTACACACACACACAAAAGATTTGCTAAAAAATGAGCATACATGATGAAAGAATGCCCCCAAACTTAAAAACAAAGTTTTATTGCCAAAATCTTTAAGAAGAAAGCTCAGGATTTTTTGATTTAATTATATTTTTTTAATCCTTTCAACAGATAAGTTGAACTGCTTTGTCTCGATCTTTGCCTCTAACTCAATGTTAGATGACAAAGACCATCCCCTCTCCAAGTTCCCACATCTCACCAAGCACAATCTCCATAATATTACCAGCACAAGAAGTCTCCAGACTTATCAATGGCCTTGACCCTAAGAAAGCCACTGGTCCAGATAAAATTCCAGTGGTTGTTCTTAAGAACATCAACCTGGAATTATCCCCAATCCTAGCAAAGCTATTCAACTGATGCTCGAAGGGGAAGTCTTTCCCAAGCCTATGGAAAGTGTCAAGTGTATCCCCAATTTTCAAGAACACTGGCATGTAATCTTCCCCCTCCCAATACAGACCCATCAGTTTTCTCAGGATCATGAGCAAACTCTTTGGGGCCATAATCAATAAGAGTCATCATGCACCTAAAAAAAAAAAAAAACCTCTTCAGTGACTAGCAGTGTTGGTTTCAGTCGCCTGATTCACTGCTGATGACCTAACTACCATCACTCACAGAATCGGTGAGGCTCTGGATTAAACACACACCTTGAGGACCATAGCACTAGTTATCTCAAAGGCCTTTGATAAGGTGTAGCATAAAGTCTTATAACAAAAGCTCTCCTATTATGGAATCACTGGAAGGGTTTTCTCAATCATAAAATCCTTCCTAACAGGTAGGTCCATGAAGGTAGCTATCAATAGCCAGTCTTTTGGAGCCATAGAGTTCAATGCAGTCATTTCCCAGGGGTCACTCCTTGGATCAACCCTCTTTTTGATCTTCATAAGGGATCTGCCTAAGAATATACTCAGATCATTTGTAAGTATCTATGCTGATGATATGACTATATATGGGCACACCTCTCAAACTCTCAATGGTCAGATATTGGTGATTGATCTCTCTTCCAATCTTACACAAACTACCCAATGGGGTAAAAACTGACTGGTTACATTCATTGCCTCGAAGACAAAACTAGTTACATTCCAGTATTTTGGGGTCAGATCAATCGGGATGAACGGAAGTCCTCTTAAGGAAACACCGTTCTTTGAAAGACTGGGCCTCAAATTTACACCTGACCTGAAGTGGAATTCTTGCATATAATCCATTGCTAAGGATGCAGGTAAAATGCTTGGCTCTCTGTACTGCTCTTGACTCCTTCTGCTATCCTCTACCTTTTACAAGAGACAGATGAGGCCAAAAATAAAATACTATTGTCATATTTGGTCGAGTGCTGTCCAGACCTCACTCTCCAGCCTTGACTGTTCAAAAGCATCTCAGAGCTCTTGTGGGTGACAAATTATTCTCCACCCTTCAACCCCTCTCCTACTGGCAGGATGTGGCAAGCCTCTCGCTGCTCTACCACTACTTTTACGGAAGTTGCTTGGATGAACTACATTCCTACATTCCCTGGTCCTGGCAAACCTTCACAAGAACACACCATGCCACTTAGTAACAAACTACCCACGTTCCCTCTGTATTCCGTTGGTGAGAAATAAGTTCCACTCAAGCAGCTTCTTCCTGTGAACCACTGCCCTGTGGAACCGACTCCCAACAAGATGTTTCCCCAATCACTGCAATAACGTCATCAATTTGGAAAATCTTGAAATAATCAAATAATTATCTGATTTTAATGATACTTTCAGGACTAATTCACAAATGAATGAAATTATTTTATGAACAATTTTCCTTATCTGTCTGTTTTTCTGAAATAAGATATTTTAATTATTTACATTGTTCAGATACTTATTCTCATCTTTATTGCCATATTCACAATGCTTCAGCTATTGTACGATCTGGCCTTCCTCAGGTGATTGGAATTTTGAGCTGAACCTTTTACTTCATCCACTGGGGTAGTGTTCAAGTTCCATGTGCCATGCCTCTTCCAGATGTCCCTGTTATTTCCCTTTAACTCAAATCTCCAAGTTTTAATTCACCACTGCAGTAGCCAGGTATTGAACTCACAACTCACAACTCTTTGGGTCAAGTCACTGGATATAACCAATGTTTTTACCCACTGGGATAATAGAAATAAAGAGTTCAGTTCGAAATTCCAATCACCTGAAGAAGTCCAGAGTGTACAATGGCTAAAACGTTGTGAATATGGCAATAAAGATGAGGACAACAGTTGGAATAATGTAGACCTTCTCCTCCCCGTCTCTTCTTTTGTTCCCCGTCTCTTCTTTTGTTCCCCGTCTCTTCTTTTGTTCCCCGTCTCTTCTTTTGTTCCCCGTCTCTTCTTTTTGTTCCCGTCTCTCTTCTTTTGTTTCTCTTCTTTTGTTCCCGTCTCTCTTTTGTTCCCGTCTCTTCTTTTTGTTCCCGTCTCTTCTTTTTTGTTCCCCGTCTCTTCTTTTGTTCCCGTCTCTTTTTTGTTCCCGTCTCTTCTTTTGTTCCCGTCTCTTCTTTTTTTTCCCCGTCTCTTCTTTTTGTTCCCGTCTCTTTTTTGTCTCTTCTTTTGTTCCCGTCTCTTTTTGTTCCCCGTCCTCTTCTTTTGTTCCCCCGTCTCTTCTTTTTTGTTCCCGTCTCTTCTTTTTTTTCTTCCCCGTCTCTTCTTTTTTTTCCTTTTTGTTCCCTTCTTTTTGTTCCCCGTCTCTTCTCTTCTTTTTTGTTCCCTCTCTTCTTTTGTTTCTCTTCTTTTGTTCCCGTCTCTTCTTTTTTGTTCCTTTTGTTCTCTTCTTTTTGTTCCCCGTCTCTTCTTTTTGTTTTCGTCCTTCTTTTGTTCTCTTCTTCTTTTTTGTTCCCGTCTCTTCTTTTGTTTCCCGTCTCTTCTTTTTGTTCCCCGTCTCTTCTTTTGTTCCCCGTCTCCCGTCTCTTTCTTTTGTTCCCCTTCTTTTTGTTCCCCGTCTCTTCTTTTGTTCCCCCGTCTCTTCTTTTGTTCCCCAATCTCTTCTTTTTTTGTTTTGTTCCCGTCTCTTTTTTGTTTCCCCGTCTCTTCTTTTGTTCCCCGTCTCTTCCCCGTCTCTTCTTTTGTTCCCCGTCTCTTCTTTTGTTCCCCGTCTCTTCTTTTGTTCCCCGTCTCTTCTTTTGTTCCCCGTCTCTTCTTTTGTTCCCCGTCTCTTCTTTTGTTCCCCGTCTCTTCTTTTGTTCCCCGTCTCTTCTTTTGTTCCCCGTCTCTTCTTTTTGTTCCCGTCTCTTCTTTTTGTTCCCGTCTTCTTCTTCTTTTGTTCCCGTCTCTTCTTTTTGTTCCCCGTCTCTTCTTTTGTTTCTCTTTTTGTTCCCGTCTCCTTTTGTTCCCGTCTCTTCTTTTGTTCCCCCGTCTCTTCTTTTGTTCCCCGTCTCTTCTTTTTGTTCCCGTCTCTTCTTTTGTCTCTCTTCTTTTGTTCCCCCCTTCTTTTGTTCCCTCTCTTCTTTTGTTCCCCGTCTCTTCTTTTGTTCCCCGTCTCTTCTTTTGTTCCCCGTCTCTTCTTTTGTTCCCCGTCTCTTCTTTTGTTCCCCGTCTCTTCTTTTGTTACTTTGTAACCCTCTACCTACAGTGGCTCATGTGCCTTGTACAGGACAGACATCATTGTTTAAAAAAAAAAAAAATAAAATAAAAAATCACCAACATATAAAAGAGTGCTGAAAAGTTTTTGGCCTAACCAAGAATGGATTCTCTCCAAAATTGTTTAGTTTGGGAAAAGTGAGAATTTTTTCATCACTCTTCCCCCACCTTGTGTATGTATATCTACTTACACATTTCAGTCTTGTGTAATAAAATTATTTTTCCAATGATGCTAAATAATTAACAAGACCTAAAGTAACTTTTTTTTCCATGTTTTTTTTTTTTTTTTTTTTTATTTTTTTATTAAATAAAAATAAATTAAATGTTTACTTATTTTGTCCCTGCTCTTCTTTTTAACACAATCTTTGTTATATATTAATTGAAAATTCTGCTTATTTCAGTTTGTTTGAAATTACTTAAAAAGTAAATAGATAAAATTTCCCCTTTGAGAAACCTCTTTATTTTTTTCTCTTCAGCTAGAAGAGAGGGCTGCAAAAGAAAGGTTACAGAGAGCCCGATCAAATGTACGCCACAGGATACCAATGCCAAATTTGGTATCTATTGTTGTGAAAGAAAAAAATTCAGGTAATTAACTCTTATCCATTTACTACCCACCTTTATAATTGTGGTTGTTGTTCTGCCATCCATTTATTCAAACTTGTCAAGTAATTACTTGATGTTTTTCCCTTGCTTTTATATATACCCTGTGAGTGTGAAATTCTCTAAGCCTTCTTTCCTCGTATCTCCTCCAGATTTCAGTTGTTTCTTTTTGATTGTTAGCATCAGTTACATTTTAGTTTCTATTCTCTTTAAAACTTCCCTGTTTCTCACATGCTCTGTCCATAGTATTCTCAGCATTTATTGATAGAACTACATCTTTGTCACTTCACATTTCTTCATCTGTGGGAAAATTATCATGTATTTGTTGTTATATAGGAGAATAAATATTACATAGCAGTCTTGCTCTCTTTAGTACATTTTAATTTTCTCTTAAGTACATTTTCCATCCCGTAATATATTGCTCAGTTACTGAAAGTGATATTTAGCTATTTGTAAGCACTGTTTGATTTCAGCTTTACACTTGCTGTTACTTGTTCCTGTATTAACCAGATAGTTATATTTCTGCATTGGCTTGATTTTTTTTTTTTTTTTTTACATTCTTAATATGTAACTTGGACAGACTCCATGCATTTTTTTCTTAATGGCTAGTCCTCTCTTGGTCTACATTGTCTAATATTTCCTTTTTTTTCTTCTAAGTCAACTGTTTAAATAAGTATCCGACAACATACAGCACATGTGGCATGCTAAGCAATTACCAATGGCAAGCAGATGCAAAGGATATCACATATTCCAAACCAATAACTACAACACAAGATATAAAGCTGTTTCAATTTTAATATATACTAATATATATATATATATATATATAAACTACATAAAATGTTGTAGAACAGGTGTATTGACCTTGACTTGTATAAAAATACGCATGCTGTTGGCACATAGTTAGCAAAAGTTTGCCGACCCCTGCTCTAGACCCTCTTTTGTAATGTGACCCAGTAATTTTATCCATCTGCTTTTCATTGCAAGTTTCCTTGTAGTTCCTATTCTCTTTAAAAACTTCCTCGTTGCTCACAGGTTCTGACCATGGTATTCTCAACATTTTTTAAGAATTATGGAGAACTCTCTGACCTCTCAAATTATTGCCGTATTAGTCTCTTACCACTTTTTGGCAAAGTATTTTAAGCTCTAATTAATGCTGAAAAAGTTAAGCGTCTTGCTTCTCACCACCTCCTCTCAGACAAACTCTACTGCTGATGTGTTAACAGCCATCACTGAATTTCTACATCAAGCACTGGATACGAATGGTAAAGCTTGATATGTGGCTCTTGATATCTCAAAGTGAATGGGCTTGCTTTCAGATCCATTCGCATGAATGCAGATGTTCCCCCTCCAAGGCTCTATTCTAGGGTCCTATGCTATTTCTGATCTTCATTAATGATCTCCCCAAATTAATCAGTTCTCAAGTAGGTATTTATGCAGATGACACTATTCTTTACTCCTGTCTCAATAGCAAATCCAATATACCTGACAAAGTAAACCTGGCTGCTGCTGATCTTGAAAAGGACATCCAATCAGTGGTTAACTGGAGGCAAGAAACAAAACTGCTTTCATTTAACCACCATAGTGAATCTGGCTGATGCTAAACACCAGGAGAGCAATATACTGTTGTTTTTTTTTTTTTTTTTTTTTTTTTTTTTGGCCTTATGTTTTCCACTGACTTTAAATGGAGTGCCTACGTTGAATCAATAGTTGCAAGGAAAGTTTGGTCAACATGCCGTACCAGAAAATTTTTCTCGTCTGAATCCATCTTGCATATCTACAAATCTTTCATTTGTTCGTGCATTGAATACTGTTGCCATATCTGGTTTGTTGCTCCTGCTGCACATCTCTAGATTCTTGACAAAATCCAAAGAAAGATTTGTAATGTAATTGATCCTGACTAGGCATCTTGACTTCAGTCACTTTCTTGACATGTGTCTTCCCTCTGTTTTTTCTACAAACATTTTCATGGCAATTCATTTGATGAGCATTTTTCCCTGGTTTCTCTGAAGAAACGAATTTTAGCATGCTACTAGATTGTCATCTAAGTCCCACCCCTTTTACTGTTGAAATAGCTAAATGCAACTGCCACTGCTACTCCAACAGTTTCTTTCCTGTGGAACTCCCTTCCATTTACTTGCTTCTCTGATAACTACAATCTTCAAAAATTTAAATTCAACATCAATTGTCATCTTCTGTATTCTTGAATCCCATTCATCTTTTGTCCTTTCCTCAATCCTTCCTATTCTCAGTCTTTTCTTTCACTTTCACTCTTGTAACCCCCTGTGCAAAAAAAAAAAAAAAAAAAATTATTGATAGAACCACATTTGTCACTTCAAGTCTTGTCATCTGTAGAATACATGACTTTCACCTTGGGCTATCTGTTTTGTTGATAACCATGTAGTTTTTCTTAGTTAATGGTTTATCCTCTCTTGCTCTGCAGGACTACAAGGAATATGGCTATATCGTGTTGAAACATTGATTTTAGTACGATCAAGCCTGGTTAGTACCTAGATGACCGCTTGGGAATACCAGGTGTTGTAAGCATGGATGTACAAGTGGTGTAATGAATAATGGCTTGAAATCAGAGATCAGTTCCAATTCCAGTCTGGTTTGTTATATTCATTTACGTACAAAATACCCTTTGGAGAGGTATGAATCTACCTCTTCTCCCTCCATCTATGAGTTAATTAGTAGGACTTGTATCAGTAAATCATTATCTCCAAAAAGAATTCTTATAATCTAAAAATATTTTGCAGACTTTAAAAAAACATGCAAAAAGGTTAAACAGTTAAAAAAAAAAAAAAAAATCGATCTTGGACTACATTGTTTACTAATTCATTTTCTTTCTAAATCTATCAGCACACTATCATATGTATAATACCTGTTAATTCAATTCACTGTACAGAATAATCAATCAGAATAGTCAATTCACTGTACAGAATAAATAAATCCGGTGAAAACACATTCTTGTTGTACTCCTCTTTCATTTCTGAATTTGTGCATTCTTTGTCTGCATTAAAACTGTTTGTTTTCAATAGAAGTTACAGATTATTTGAATCTTTTCTGGACAAGTCAAGTTTCCCTAAACTTTCAAAGATTTCTGTGTTGTATTTTTGTCAAATGTCTTTGTAATCTATGAAATGTCAGCATAGATATTTCTGCAGTTATATCCCTTGCTCTGGTGACATTCTAATTTTTAAAATTGCAAATTGTTCTAGTGAACAAAGCTATAGTATTCTTGTTGAATTTCTGGCCTGATTCTTTAATAAACTCTACTAGAATTTGAATTCTTACTTACCTGGCTTATCCAGCTGATTGTTTGGAATTCACAATTGTTTGCACCTAATTTCTTTGGCTGCATTATGTTGATCTGTGGTGGGTTTTTTTTTTTTTTTTTTTTTTTCTTTTCTTGTATTCTAATGTTGTCATAAAATGTTTATCACTTTGGTAACCTTATCAAACATAAAATTGTCTAAAGCTGTCATTACAATCTCATCTGGTCTTGCTGTTTTGTTCACCTCACACACTGCTTAAGATTTCTGCTCAGATCTTATGATTCTTTCTATATTTTTATATATTGTAGGTTCTCTCTTATATTGCTATGAAAGAGCTCTTCTGTGTATTTATTTCATCCCTGTAGTACTTTTTTTTTTTTTTTTTTTTCTTCCATTATGATCTTTTGATTTCATACATAATGCTAATGCAGTTTCATTTTCCTTCGTATTTTAAATTTATGTTGACCAGTTTAAATGTGAGTTTGATATTTCAGAAATGTTAATAAATTCTGCATTATTCATATTGTCAACTGTTCCCAAAGAAGCACTTCAGATTTGTAATAAATTTTATTGCAGGTATGTTCCAGCTTCTTTGTCAAGGTACAGCAGACTTGATCCTGGATTGTTGCAGTGATTATTGGAATGGACAAGATTTGTGTCCTCTTACTGACTCTGATAGGTAAGAAAGGTTTTTTTTTGGGGGGGGGGGTATGTGTATTTGTATATCATCTATTGATGACTTTGAAAATGATGATTTCAATGGATTAAAATTACAAACTTATATTTAAGCCCATCTAGTGTTAATTAAAGAACTAGCAACTTAGTTTCTCTAATCTTATTGAGATGAATTTGGGATTCATTTACATTTCATGGTTAAATACTTAGGCAATTTTCCCAGAACACAAGCTTTTCTTGTTTTGATATACCTTGTTGTGAGAAATGCTTGTTTATGTAGAAAATGCATCTCCTGGTATTATTCTTTCCTGTAACAATTATTGTGGACTCTAATGTGAATCTGAGTAATGAGTAACACAAAACAATATTGTTAATATATTAACAAAAGTATCACAATTATGTGAAAGGAAAACCTGTAAAGATTACTTTCATAAAGTATTTAAATTAGTGTGTTGGGGCAGGGTGAGGTGCAGGCTGGCCTATGTAATAGACACGTGTCTGAAAGAGTACAAAAAGTCACAAGAGAAAAGTAAGACATTCAATATGAACATGCCCCAGTGGGTGGGTAGGGATACTTTTTTTCCATGTGCAACTCTGTAAAAGGAAAAATGTGAATATTTATAGGCTTTTTTTTTTTTTTTTTTTTTTTTTTTTTTTTTTAAGGAAAGTCAAGTGGGATAACCCACAAACTAGTCATATTTTATCACTTGTTTTTTATTTATATCAATGATAATTTAATTTTAAATTGGTTGTATCTATCCTATTGTCATTTACAAAATACCTGAATTTTTTTTACCTCTTATTTTATACATATTACTTTCTGATTACAAAAGTTTCTATAATACTAATAAATAGAATAGTTTTTGTTTTACTATTTTTAGATTTTGTTTTGTTTTTCCAAAAATCTTAAACTTTTCAGAATGCTTGTCATATTCTAATAATCTTTAAGTCCTTATGAAATGTAAAAATCTAATGAAAGATAAAAATAACTTTATAAATGTTAAACACTATAAAAATCATTAATTTTTCAACTTTGGTGACAAATTCTTTTGTCTAAGTTTTAGGTAGACTGACTTGTTAGATTCCATCACTCATTATTCTTGTCTTCAATTATTGTAGTCATTAGTTACATATTTTTTTTAAATAGCTATGACATTGTCATAATTAAATTCTCTCTAATTTTAAAGTTTTGCTTTGCTATTTTCACAAATAACTTAACCATGTTACTTTTTACCTTTTCTCTTGGCTTCTACTCAGTTCCTATTGAAATAGAAAACTAATTTTTAGCATTAAAATATGAAAAGGTTTTACAGTTGCTCTTTAATAAAATCAAGCAACAAGATATGAATAACTTAATTCTTGACAACTGACAAATATTCCTTTGTGATTTTTCTTTCTATAATAGATTTTTTTTGCCAAAACTAATAAAAACAAATTGTTAAAATTTGATGGATTAAGTATTTCAGTAATTTTTCCCTCCTTACAGTCATCAATATTTAGATTTATCAAAAATGCGTAAAGTAAAAGGGTTTTGGTGATGGATTAGTTGTAAAGTCAGTGAGATACAACAAGCTTAAACCTTGCTCATGTACATCAGGTTGAAATACAGTCAACACTAATATACAGCAATGATTGTTTCAATTCCTGGCCTCACCAGAATTTTTATCAATACATATGTGTAATGAGTCTTGACCTATCTAATTAATTCTACTGACGTTGTCAATGGCTAGTTTCTACTGAAACGGCAATATACAACACCTGATATAGAGTGGGGACTCCAGCATAGCAAAATGTTTAGTGAGCTAGTCTGTGGTTGATCATTTGAGTAATGAATTTGACCCTCACTAGGTGTCTCATAGTTATGCCTTTGTGTCAAACTGAGTTGTCTGATAAGAAGGCTACATTTTTATAAAACAAAAATTATGCTTTTGGCATTAAATCATTTTTACTTGGAAGTATAAACCTTTTTTTCCCTTTTTTGTCTTTGTATTTCCCTTTTTTTTTTTTTTTTTTTTTTTTTTTTTTTTTTTTTTTTTTTTGGGCTTTTCTCTTTCTTTGTCTTTTCTCCATCAATCTATCCTGCCCTAGGCATCACTTCTGCTATAACTGCAACACAGATGATACTCCAATGACCCCAATGGTTTATGGAGTTGGTTATGTGACAGTACCCCATATATTATGTGTTACTAATTTAAAAAAAAAAAATTGATATTTTTCTTTTTGCAGAAAAAAGGTTTTAGATTTTTACCACAGGACCAGCATAGCCTCCTACTGTACAGCATTTTCCTATCGCCCCCTCACCACTCAGATCACTTCACCATTGAAAGACATGTACATTGAGCTACCAGCTGATTCATCTGCAATGTGCCAAATTCAGAATGTTGCAACAAGGTACAATTTTTTTCTATAACCATGTAAATTTTACTCATTCTCTGCTTGTTCACTAGATTTTGTAATTCTGTCTGGTGACGAACGTTTGATGTTTAAAAAAAAATACTCTCTTAATTTTTAAAATTTCTAATGCTTTTACTCTTTTAGTTTCTGTTCAAACTATTTTGATGATTAGATTTGACATTTGTATCACTCATTTGTTAGATTTGATATTAAATTCAGTTTAATGAGAACAAAAGACCAAATAACCATTTTGGTCTATCATGTCATACCTTTATTTACCTGAACACTTACTTTGTCCTAATTAGGCAACTAGATCAGAAGTAAACAGAACACAATTTTATTGTATTACATATTATTCAATATTGCTGATAAGATTTTAAAATAAATCTTAGGGGTTGGGGAGTAAATGTTTTCACAAGATCAATTTTGAATCTTTGCATATTATTTTAAATTCCCAGAAATAAAGTTGTGATTGCAAAGTAAATTCCTGTCTTTTCATCTTCTGGTGTATGGACAATGTCTACAATTTGAAGTAGGAACCTCTGGTTTAAAACTTTTTAATAAGGTATTTAAAATAATTTTTATCTCCATATTAAAAACATCTAAGTTCTTTCTTTTTGTCTCTGTCTCATTCCAGAGTGAATGAATCTGTAAAAATGGACTCCAGCAAGCTGACAAAGCAACCATGGTGCTTTAGTGCTGATTCTCTTGTCACTGAAAATGATGGCCCCTATTCTTCTGATAGTGTTCCTGCGTGTTTCCAAATGCAATGCAGCCAGATCTTCATTGGAATGGTATCCATGCAGTATCAGGCACGATTGGTAGGTACAATTCTTTGATCAGAAAGAAAAGTCCTTATTACCACGTGGGGGTATAGGGCCTGTGGAGTAATTGGTCATGGTTAAGTGTAAATGGCAAAATGCTTAACAGAATAACACACACACCCAAGCTAAATTTACGTTTTGTTTTGTTTAACACCATATCAACTCCTTATGGGTCATTTAATGCCAAAATGTAATGTTATTCTGCTTTCACAACTGAGTATATGGTAGATGATACCCAGTTTTTCACACACATGCATAGCTGTGTGGACAGGATTAGAAGAGGCAGTGATATGTGTGTTTTATATTTCAGTTTTGTTGAAGTTATATTTTGGAATATAGTTTGATTTCTTTAAGAAATTGTATGATATTATATAGATTAATGTCATGAATGAGTTCTTTCATGTTGGTTGTTTGGTTGATTTTGTTTAGTGGCATATCAACCTCTACAGGTTATTTAATGCTGAAATCTAAATATTTTGAATATAATTGCATGCCTTCAACTGTAGATAAAATATATTCCTGGTCAGTTTTCTATAACTATGTATTGCTGGTCAATTTACTATAAAAAAATGTATTTTTATACTTTCATAGTGTTTTGTTTTTGTTTTGTGTGTGTGTGGGGGGGGGTCACTATTTGTCCATAGCTGGGACTCTAACAGGTACTATCATCCCAGGTCAGGTTGGACCTGGGAACAACAGCAATTAGGAGGTGGTTCTATGCTCCTCAAAATCTCCAATCTCTTGATCAGAAGTCTTGCTGCCAGATGTAGTTTATCATCATACCCAGGACTATTAAAGATTAAAAAAACAAAACAAAAGTTTACAAAGTTAGAATTGTGTTCACATGCAAAAAGAATAACCAAGTGATTGTAGCATTCTGACTTCAAGAAAAGAACGAACAAAAAAACTATGGCGAATGAGACCGAGAATTGGTCCATTTTTTTTATTTGTTAGTAAGAAATCCCAGCATGCATCTGTAGGATTTGGAGAGGGGATGTTTTTAACAATCATTCGATAGATCGGAACTATCAGGATTACATCCTCATCATGCTAGTGGGACTTTTCCATAACAAGCGTGCTTTTTATGGGATTAAGTTGCCAACCCCACACTAAACTATTTTTGTTTTTTTAATTCACTTATCCTTCTGACTGGTTACCAACCAAAGGTTAAAGAGTCTAGTTAGTCATACAATTTAACCTGTAACTGGAGAGAGAAGAAATGGATTCATACCTTTCCCAATGGTATTTGTGCGAAAGTAAATGTAATGACCACAGATGCAATTTGAATTCTGTCTGCCAGTCTCAATTTCTGCATAGATAACCACTGATTTGCACACATCTCTGATTATAATTCTATCTAAAATCTTTTTAAAATTGTTGCTCATTTTTAACTTTAAAAACAAAGGAAACATTAAGATTGTAACAAAAAATATTGTTCAAGTGTCAACAACTTTTATTATTAGAAGAATTTAATTTTTTTTAAGTTATGGAAATGTTCATAAATTTTTTGTGAATTTTTTTTTTTTTCTTAAAAAAATTTTTTTATTAGTTAATTTTCAAACCTCTGTACCATGTCCTTGATGAAAAATGGGACATTGAAATCCAAAGGTGCATTTAAATAAAAAAAGATGCCTTCCAAAAAGTAAAAGTTTGAGAAACAACAAAAAGAATGCTGAACTGCTATGTAATATCAATTGTCCAGAAAGTGCTGACCATTTCCTCCTGGAAAAAGAAAACATGAGGCTACAGAAATGTGGTTCTTCAAAAGGATGTTGAGAATATTAGGGACAGAATATATAAGCAACAAGGAAACTTTAAGGATAATGAGAACAAAATATATCTTTTGTACTTAGAATAAGAGACAGTTGAAATTTCTAGGACACATGATGAGGATAGACTTGTCATATGCCATATTGAGACAGTGTGGGACAGCAAGTAACCTACCTAATAAGCTTGTGTAAGGGGATGGCAGAACAGGGAGTGATAGAAAAAAAACACAAACATTAAGCAATGGATAGGAAGTTGTAGAAAGCCTTTATTGCCTATGTCTTAAGACATAGCACATAGAAGTTCAAACATTAACATATTAAAAAGTTGTTTTTTTTTTTGTTTTTTTTTCATAAAAATCACATGACCTGTTCTTAGACGAACATTGTATAATGTTAACTACATCACCTTTTCCGAATCTTAAATGTTATTTATTCTAATTGATAGTTTGATGCTTCCTTTCAGCTATTCTCAGTTATTGAATTAATCTTTAGTCTAAATTTAATTTATATATATATATATATATATATATATATATATATACACACACACACATAATTTTATAATGTATATTTGGGCAGCAACCTTTCTTTTAAATGTCTTTCATTAAATATGGCAGACAAGGATGATTTATCTTTATTTAGTTTTTCACATATTCTTACATTTTCAGTTTTATAGGAGTAACAGAGTACAAAAATGTTCTATACTTTACATTGTCCCAAGTGCTTTCAGCCACTTTAGCCATTTTCAAGGTGATTTTTGTTGGTGTTAGTTTTTCATGTTTTGACTGTTGCTTTGAAAGTTATATTTTTTTTTTTGTGTATATATATATATATATATATATATATATATATATATATATATATATATATATATATAATTTTCTAGAAAGAAGAGGAAATATAAAATTAAGATTTTAATTATCAATTGACCTAAATTGCACCTCAAAATATGTACAAATTGATTGACTCGTATTTTTTGTTTCTTTTTATTTCAGGAATTTGTTCAAATGATTGATAAACTTGAAACAGCTTTCATCAGATTTGTTCATTTTTCTAATGAAAATGAATTAAGAAGTCGAGTAAGTAATTTGTTTTTTCAGCAAGATAAATAATATGAATGTCTATTTTAGGGTTGAAATTATTTTGTATGACTTTGGAAATAACTTGTATTTTAACTTTTAGGAGAAACCTTATATATTTTTACTATGAAGTTGCCTCTTTTTGTACAAAAATGGCCACTGACATGAAAATTTGAATATGAAAAAAAGGAAAAAAAATACGTGATACTTACAGATGTTTTTCCTTAAATTATTAAGTAGGAAAATTAACTAAATTTTTAGCAAATTGTAACTTAGAAAAATAATTATTAGGCCCAGTTTTGAGTTTTTCTATAAATTCTATAACTGTTATTAGTTATCTAGTCTTTGGCAAAAATTTGTATAGTTCACAACTTACCAATTACTCATTTTTAACTTTAATTCTGAAAAGAAGAGAATAAAATATTTATAAGAGTTGTCTAACATATTTAACATAACCTGATGCATATGCACATACACTTAACATAATTTTGCATATAAAAAAATTCACACATACAAAAAGTAAACTCTTTCAACACCCAAACAAAAAGACTATTTGACATTTGGGTTGTCAAATAACTGACAATATTTCTTTACTTATTTCCATGTTTGCAATTATACCATTCTGTTTATGTGCATTTTAAAATATAAATTAAATTTATAAAAATTTCACCTTTTTGGTTTTCCACAATTTTATTCTTTTACAAAATTGGCAGCCTACAAGTTGCTGATTTATGTATGAGATTTATGAATAGATTGAATAAAAACTTTAAATGAAAGCAATAATAATTTCCATTCATTAGGCACTCTTATATTTATATATCATTTTTAATATAAACATTTGTAATTTTTATTTGCTAATAAATAATTAATGAAAGCAGATTGACTAAAGCTTGACACATTTTTTGCCTAACTTTTATAAAGATATCAAAGTTATAAAAATAAATTATTTTGTAAATCTCTCCTGTAGGTATTTTCAGAAAAAATGGGTTTGGAAGCTGGTTGGAATTGCCACATTTCTCTGGCTTCCCCAATTAAATCAGAAGAATTATCAGTGCCTGGTACCTCACAGGGCGAACTTTCTCACCGTACATCGAAATATTCAAGCCGCCACTCTAATGACACCATTGGACGTGAGTCACATGCATGGAACACTAAACTGAAACAGCAGCAGCAGCAACAACAGCAACACCATCATCCCCATCCTGCTGTAGGTGAATCCTTGCACACCCGCTGCTACAGTGCACCAAGTGTCATCAATCTAGATATGTGTCTTGTTAAGTTTGATGACAATTCTTCTACAAACCAAACAAATGGTGATATGCCAACATTTTGCATCAACCCTGATTTCCCCAAGGAAATAGTGATCGATCGGGACAGCTTGCTAGGAGAAAACATGGATGATTCAACTGAATTGTTGGCCAATTCCAGTGCCACTGCTCCTGCTGCAACTTCTGTTGCTGGCACTCCTGTGGGTGGTGCAGCCTCTTCTTCAGATTGTAATGATGGGAGTGGAGAACCTTGCTCAGAGAGCCACCTGACCTCAAGTTGTGAGACGGAAAACACAGAATTTAGTTTACCAGGAGTACCAGACAATAGGGTAAGCAACACTTTCATAGATAAGTGAAAAATATTAAGGCTTTCTCTCTGTTTGCTGTATATTTGTAGCCTTTCATTTTTATTATTATTGATATTTATTATTGTTGCTTTTGATTTCTGTTGTATACTTATTTCCTTCTGGTGCCAACAAGAGACCTAAGATCAGAAATGGCATCATGATATTTTCTACTAAACATTTGATTAAAATGATAAAAATAAAAATAAAAAAACCTAAGAACATACATTTTGCATAAATAAAACCGTTTTGTAAAGTGAGCTGTATTTGTAAGAACAATTTATTTTGTATTTCTCTAAGGCATGGGCTGCTAGGGATTTCTTTCAATTTGACTATAAGAAACTTTCCAATCAAACCCAGGGCCCCAAGCACACCAGGAATTATCAATGTCTTCATTTTTTTGAGGTTACCACTTCATGATCCATGTATTTTGTTTTTTTTTAAAGATTTTTAAAGCAACATTATTCTCATATATATATATATATATATATATATATCTCAAATCCGTAAGTAGAAAGGACAATCCAAATGGTTCTTTTTAATATAAAATATTAAAAAGATGGATCCAAAAAGAGAGCTCAATGTATAGAATACATAGCAATATTATATACATCAAAGAAAAGCTTAACATATCTCGAAAATACGGTTATAAATTATGATTTATTTTGAAAAGTTATTGATACCTGTCTCATCAAACTGAAAATATAAATGGTCTGAATTTATCCAGATAATATTTAAAAGAAAAAAAAAACATGTGGGGGTGGGGAAGAATAATAACAGGCAAAAAGGTAACAGGAAGTCAAGGTGTCTGACCCAGAAAATTTATTTTCAGGGTATTGGAAGCCATCAGCCAATGCTTATGTGTGGGGAATACTAGAAACTCTAGAGAAATATATTAACATAAAGACATAAATACACACACATGTATATACACATATATATACATACACACACACACACAGATAGATATATATATATATATATATATATATATATATATATATATATATATATATATATATCTCCTTTTAATGATGGACTATAAGTTTTCTATTGTATTTATATCTGGAGGGGCTGAAAGCTATTCTATAAATATAGTGTCTTTGAAATAGATAAAGGACATAGGATCATATATTTGATTAACACAATATCTTATATACATAAATTGTTTTACATGTCTTTTATCCAGTGATTTTTATCTTTGCTACTGTTTTGTCTTGGCAGCAATTTTTATTGATTCCCAGAGATCTTCTTTGTTTGAATATTGTTTTCTATTATCTTTTGATGGACTACAAGTTTTCTATTGGATTAACATCTGGAAATAATTTGGGTCGTTGATTGTCAGCCCTTGTATTATTTAGTGTCAAATTTTGTATTGAAGACCCAGTGAGGATTAAACTATGTAGTTGTTAAATATTAAACCATGCTGGGGTACCTATTAATTTGGGTGTGTTTGTGATCTTTTTTAGCAATTGTGAGTATTGTCTTGGAGGAATATACTGTTTAACTTGAAGTTTCTTTGGTATGAGTTGTACATTTTTAGAAATGTTTTTCATGAACTTCTTCACTCAATTTAAACTTTTCTCTTTATGATGTTTTCTTAAAGGTGGTAGTTTGGTTGCTTTCATCTCTTTAGTCAGTCTTAATTCTACATCTTTTCTCTTTGTTTACATCCTGAACACCATCTTCAAATACATTTTCTTGTTGTTTAATTTGCTTTTCTTGCTTATTGGTCTTTATTTCTTAAAATGAGATTTTATTTTATTTTTTTATTTTATTTTTTTCAACTTCTGTCTATATTTCTGAGATGAAGTATTGTAATTATTTACATTGTTCAGAACCAGTAATATGGAGTACTGGAGAAAAACAATAAATTGTAATATGAGCTCTGGTAAGAAATGACTGGGACATTTATAAATCCCAAAAGTTTATACATTGATGTCATCAAGGACACATGGCCCAATGAATAAAAGCATTGGTTGAATCCAGTGACTTGACCCAAAAGAGTTGTGAGTTCAATACCTGGCTATCTGATAGCAGAGGTGAACAAAAACTTGGAGAGTCAAGTTAAAGGGAAATAATTGATATTGAGATATCTGTAAGAGTCATGGCACGTGGAACTAGAAAAATCTACCCCAGTGGGCAAAATAAAAGGTTCGATGCAAAATTCCAATCACCTGAAGAAGGCTGGCATATACAGTAGCTGAAAATTTGTGAATATGACAACAAAGGACAACAGTCAAACAATGTAAAGGTTTTCAACTTCTTTGATTGTTCTTTTAATGCCTGTTCAACTTTTTCAATTTCCAATGTTGTTTCCATCATTCAATAACTTTACAATATTTTGTTTTTTGGGGTTATATCTTTCTTAAAACCATAGTAATCTTTATAGATCTAGCAATTAAAAATATCATTAACTGTATTTACTATATGATAAACAACCATTATGTTGCATAATAAAATCTCATGTCACCAAATAAATCATAACTACTTCTGATAAAACTAGATATAAGCTGAAATTTAATGTGGCATATTTAAGATAACTATAACCTGATATAAATATATTTGATATAAATATAACCTGAATTTTTCATTTCTTTTTTTCTTTTTTTTCCTTTTTCTTTTTTTTTATATAAACATCAGTTGGTAATTTTATTGTGAAAGCATTGATTTGCCTAATAAATTTTGACATTGTGTAGTTTTTATTTTAGCAATAATTCATCCTTCACACTTTAAAATGAATTGATGTTTTTGTTTAAGGTATCAAAAAAAAAAAAAAAAAATCCTCCCTCCAAAATTATGAATGTAAAAAATACCTGATTATTAACCCACCTGAAGTCAGTCATTTATTACAGTTTTGTATTTCTCCTAGGCTCAGCTTCCAAGAGGCATAGAGAACATCCGACCGCATCTTGAAAAAGTGGACAATGTGCCTTTACTCGTTAATCTCTTCACTGACTGCACTCCTGAAAGTAAGTTTTCAAAAGATTTTTCTTGTTTTGTTTTTGAAAAATGCTGTGTTGGGTAGGAGAATTCTTTTAAAGTGCTTTTGGTGTGGGTCTCCTGATTTTTTTTTTTTTCTTTGTTCAGTGAATTCAGATATCCAGTACTTTAATGTGAATTCTTCATAGATTTTTTTTTAATCTTATTCAAATACAATTATTCTTGGAAATATTTTTGTCAAATTTAATTCACTTGTATTTATTATGCATTTAATTTTATATAATAATTTTATAAATTGTCTTATTGATTCCCATTGATTATAAGTCTTGCTTTTTAACCAAAATAATTATGAAATGTTTTTTTTTTTTTTCTTTCCCATCCATGTCTTTTTTTTCTTTCCAATCCGTGTGTCTTTTTTTTTTTTCTTTCCCTTTCATCTTTTTTTTTTTTCTTTCCCATCCGTCTTTTTTTTTTTTTTTTTTTTTTAAACACTACTAACAAAACAGCTGGTAATAAGCAGTTATATTTGTCAGACCTCAATATCGGATTGTTTTATATCAAAGTACAAATAAATGTGCAAGGTAAAAACATATATTAGGTTATTTTCCAGGTACTTAAATGTATTTTCTCTTATCAGAGAAATTTAAAGACCTGCAGGCAAGAACATTTACAAATTTATCTTCATTGGACTTCCATAGAAGGAAATGTTAGAATTGCTTAAATTCTTTTAATCTTTCTTACAAAATAGATTTGAAATTTCCTCACTTTGTTAAACCAAAAAGCACAATCTTAGTACTTTTTCAATATTAATAGACTTTTGAGTTTATTAACATTTTAATTGGTTCTTCCACTTTTCTCCTGATTTCCAAGATTTTCAGATATTTCTTTTACACTTTTGTGATTGGGTTTTTATTTTATTTTAGCCACAAAGGAGATGATAAAAATTATGCAAGAGTATGGTGAGGTTGTGTTGTGTGTGGGCAGCTCCCTTAATGTGAAAAATACTGGCATTTTTCTACAAGCAGACTGTAGGTAAGTAGGTAGATTTCAGCTCTATTATTTTTTAACTCTTTATGCCAAGAAGTAAATAAATAAAAAAAAAAATAAAAACATTATCTAAGACTTGTATTTTTGCCAGCTCATTTCAAAAGAAATTTTTTTTTTTTATTTAATTTAAATATTTAATTAACATATGGAGAGATATTTAATCGAAGTTGCATGTAAATTTTGGTTTATGGTCATATTATGTTGAAACATCCAATCATTGAAGTTAAGCAATGTAGAACCTGGTCAGTACCTAGATGCGTGACCACTTGGGAATACCAAATACTATAAGCTTGGATGTACAGAGATGATCTAATGGATACCAGTTTGGGATGAGAAATCGGTTCGATTTCCAGTCAGGCTCATTGCATTCACAACTACCCTTGGGTGATCATGAATCGAAAGGGTAGGGTAATGGCCCATTCCTCCCTATGAATTTAGGGAAGGCCTATGTCCAACAAAGGACCTTCACAGGCTGTTGAATGAATGAAGACGTAAAGATTGAAATCTAAATTGTATTTCTCAAAGGCAACATGTAAATAACCCAAGTATATGTAACAAATTAAAAAACTGTTAAAGGAAGAGGTCTTATTTATAATTACCTTGAGATGGTAAAGGTACCAAATCAACATTTTTTATTGGTTAATTTAGTACTAGGTCAGTATAAAACATGAGGCTATTTGGGGAAGAATATAATTTTAAATTTTTTTAATTGTAATGTTCTTTTTTGGGGAATTGTTGCCCATCTTTATTTGATACACTTGTCAAATTGTTTCAGTTGATAGGCAGAATCAGTTTTGCTAAATTTTTTGGATCATAAAAGCATTTTAAAGTAATTAAGGGATTTTTTTTTTTTAAATCCAACATTACTTATTATAAATGTTATATTTAGTGAATACACATTTTTGAGTAGTTATAATTTATTTTTCTTTAAAAAGGTGAAATTAATATTTATCAGCATAGATATCAAGTCCTAGTTAAGAAAAAATGTATCCCTCCACAGGAATTGAACCTGTATTTCTTTTTCAATCAGAGAAACTGCTTTTAAGCTTTGACTTGATGTAATGGCTTCCCATGGCTTAATGGTAAATCAGAATGAGCTTAAAAGTAGTTTCTCTGATTGAATATTGGGAATACAGTTTAAATTCCTTTTGAGAGATGCATTTTCTTTAAAACTCTCTACTCCTAAACTGGTAGAATTAATTTCACTTTTTTTTTCTTTACTAAATATACCATAAAAAAGCATATATAATTTTGTTTTTTGTTTTATTAAAATTTAATTTTCATGTTTTTAATTTTCCTTGAAAGTTTATTTCTATTTTTTCCAGTTTGGCTATTGAACCTTTGTATCCCCAGTTGTGTCGCAGCGAGCCACTGAATATTGAACCAGGGGCAATCCATGCACATCTGACACCCATGCACTTAGCTAGCTCCTTGTTGTCGAGCCCATGTCCATTGCTGTTCAGAAACCATGAGAATATCAGTCTCATCCAGCTCATTGCAGAGGTAGTTCTCCCAGCCCATTTTTACTTTTTATTTTCCTTTTAAATAGCTCTTTATAACTACTGGTGTATCATTTCACTTTTTCATTCTTATATTTAGTTAAACAAATATCTTAACAATTATAGCATAAAGGAGCAGATTTGTTCAAAAGAAGTGTAAACCATCTTAAGTGTCTAGCTTTTTAACCGACTCTTATCAAAGAGGATCATTGATAAATTTAAAATATTAAATAAAAAATAAAATGAAATTACCAATAAAATAAAAATAAAAAAAGACAAGGATTAATTTTATAAATTTTCCTGTCATCTCAAAAAAAAAAAAATCAGGACAGCTTAAATTATACAAATTAATTTTAAGGAATAAAAAAAATCTTTTGGTTACAGAGACACATCAGAAACTCTCAGGGTATATGAAATATTGTAGTTTGATGTGACGAGCCATTATTAATAATAATTATTGATTTAGAATTTGTCTAATTGAAAAATCAACTTTAATTTTTTCCAATCCTTTTGTTATTCAATGATATCAAGAATAACTTAAAAAGTTTTCCAAAAAAAAAAAATGAATGCTGATATTTTTTGAATTTTTATTTTCTCCTTGTAGGCCCGTAACCATGTCTTATCAATGGGCAATTGTTTCAAATTCTTGCTGTGTTGTCACCTGTCACTCACTTTGGTGCAGGTCTTGGCCACTCTAATTCTGTTGCCTCCACCTTTGAGTGGCCACCAATTGTTGTGGCTAATTTTTATTGTGGTGCCCTTGCTCAGCCTCAGTTTGATGGGCAACCCTGTTGATCCTCGCAATATGACCCTAGCCACTGCAAAGAACTGTGATCATATTAACAAACAGGTAAGTGAACATAAGCACCTACTTCCTTAATAATTTTGTTTAGATATTATTATACTTACATATATAGTAAAATTGTGATTGATGCAAGTTTGATTGGGTGGTGTAGATTAAAAATTATTTTCTTGAATTTATTATTTAGGTATTTGTGCAAAAGTGAATGCAACAGAATTGAACCAGGTTCATTGATTCAGTTTTCTATGCCAATATACATGACACTACTCACACAGAAATCCTACTTACATAGGAAAACTGCCCATTCAGTAAGAACAGGTTTCAAGGCTAAACTCTGGATAAGGTTCCAATATACTTGCCATAACCAGTAATTCATGACTAACAGCTTTGTTGCATTTTTATCAATTGCAAAACATAGAAGGAATATTCTTTCAGTTTTGTAAAAATGAGAATGGTTATGCTTTTTTTTATAAATGCAATCTATGTTGATTGTATCATGACAGTTATCTTTTTGAGAAAATAAACAACCTTAGGAAACTGTCTATATTTCTGAGATGAGGTATTGTAACTATTTACATTGTTTGAACTGTTGTCCTCATTTTTACTGTCATTCACATTTTGACTGTTCAAAATGTCAACAAATATTGCCTGATGAAGGCTAGAGCATACAATGTCTGAAACATCATGACTCTGACAATATGAGGATAACAGTCTAAACAATGTAAATAGTGTAAAGAACTTAGGAATGTTACCTTTTTCAATCACAAAAACAATTTTTTTTTTTTTTTTTTTTTTTTTATACCTGACCCAGTAGATCAAAATTATTTTTCAAAATAATGACTAAAAAAAAAAAATCATTTTTTCTTTTAGCTATTTGTTTTCACAATGCTTGTTCTGTTCAGTGCATGCATCTCTCTCTCTCTCTCTCTCATATTAATGTATTTGTTGTCTCCTTGTAGATGCTGCTGCATTTTGTGCTGTCTTTCATCTTCAGATTTGTCCCTCCTGTCACTGTGACCCTCATTACTTTTGCTTTGATTCTCTACTTTATCTGTGATGTCTTCCATGAATCACGGCCTTGCTACCCATTTGATCTGAGCCAACAGTGAGTCGATTACTTTCTCTTTGCTATTTCATCTTTAATTAATCCTTTCAAATTTTCAGGTCTTTGGATGAAGGAAATGTTAAGGAAAGAAAATATAAAGCTCCCTGTGAGATAACGATATATATTTTCATATATCGGGAACAATATTGGGGGGGGGTTGAAGATGTATAACAAAGTGGAAAAAGTGGAAATAGCTAAATTTAATCATTTAGCTTTCAATTAAAGCTTCTGAAATGCTTTTTCATTTTAAACCTTGGGTATCAAAACTCATTGGAGGTGCCTATTATAGAGTATGATGGCAGACAGGGGAATGAATCCTGAGATTACAATGCCAAACATTGTGAGCCTGACAACCAAGATGAAAATGCTGGTCAGAATAGCAAGGGCATATGGCATTGATAATCCCTCATCTCAGAGATTTCAACATGATTTAGATCCAATAATCTATAGAAATTGTATTTCCGATTCTAAAATTATTATTGCAAGGAAGGAAATTCAGTGGCAAAATATACATTTGATGAAGAGCAAATGTTAATGAATAGTTTTATTTTCTCTTTTTATCTCTAAAACCTCAGTCCTTTGCTTCTCTATTTGACAGATTATGCTTAAAATTTAATTTTCATTCTGATCCAACATTATACCTTTGTCATATCAAGATAGATGTGCAGTAAACTTGCTGACAAAGTATTTTAAAAATGGGAAAGGAAATTGATTGTCATCTTGTCACTTCTGGTTAAGCAAACTCTTGTCCATAATGAGGAAGTAAATTACATCACCAGGATTTAGAAATATACTTTTTCATTAATGTGCTAAGCTGATGTTTTGAGTCCATAAAATTCCTTCAGTCCTAAAAAAAAAAAAAATATATTCTGTTGGATGAATGTGATATCATTTTCCATGTTTTGCTTACCTAATTTCTTTAATTATCTTTTAGCAACCCATCTGGACTCTGGAACTCGTGGTATGGAGATAACTCTGCAGGATTCACCACTGCCCAGAACATTGTGCTATTTCAGATGGTGCTTTATTTTGGTAGGTGTGTTGATGAAAATTATACATGCAATGTGGTCTAGAATTGATAGAATTAATAAATATTTTCTCTAATGTATTTATCAAATGGATTTTATGCAAGATCTGACATGCTCCATAACTCTCCAATCATGTAACTGAGCTGATAGTTTCTTCAGTGACAACCTGCAATAGATGAGTTTTCAAATTTTCTTGCATCTTGCTGCTGATTGTTTGCTATTAACACTCACCTTGAACCAACATTTGATGGGCCTTCGAACAGAAGTACTAACTACTACCACTGATATTAGAAACCCTGTGTTTATCCTGGCAAATAGTAAAGCATTGTGAGGGTTCTTGATAGCAGATTTATCAAGCTTCCTATGAAATTTGATGCAGGCATATTGCTTCCATTTGTCAGTTGTAGAGACTGCAGTGCTGTTCCAATACAATTTAACATAATTGAACAGGAGCAGACTGACTCACTTGGCTGGGTACCAATAAGTGTTAGTTGCATGTGCTGTTCTGTCAGACAATAACATCTATAGTCTGAACTTTCCAATACCATTTCATATAAACAAACATACACAATTATTTCAGCCACCAAATGGTAAAGTATTCCTATCTGGCTCAAGTGGTTAGTATTTGGATGAGGACAAAGAGAGAAGTGGGGGTGGATAGGATTTTAAATTCTGATCTTCATAGCGCTACTGCCACACAATCTTCTAAACTCCCATTTACTCTTTTGCTGGATTAACCTGAACTTTGTATTAAAAAAAAGAGGAAAATTCCGTTAATTGAAGTAAGTCATATACTTATAAAATTTAGTACTTTTGTTACCATCAAGACTGATGTAGAAATCCAAATCAGGAACATTGATCAAGTTACACTGTATCAACTTACGACTTAAAATGAAAAAAAATAGAAGCATGAAATAAGCTTTGGTGTAAAATATTTACATTGTATAATAATAGTATAAATATATTTCTATTGTCAATATATATTATCTTAGTGATAAGGAAAATATTTTAATCTTTATTTATTTGACTTTTTTTTTCTTTTTCTTTAAACTGTTTCTTCAGTGTTTATATCTGGCAGTTTTGTCCATCGATCAGACCACATCTGGAAGGAGCCTCCTTACACCAACTGTCTGTGGCTCATCATTGTAATTTGTATGTAAGTTAAAGATTTTATATCTCTTTTCAAGGTTGTCTGTTATTGATACCTCTTAGGTAGGTGCTATTATTAAATTGTGCTGTCTGGACTGAGAAAATAGTGTTTACAAAATAAACTTGGTAATCAGACCATTATAAGAAAGGATAATATTTTTAGATATTAAAATAAAGTACACTTTAATCAGCCATGCTGCCTGGTTTAAAACTTTCTTCATGCAGCTACTAGCAACTATGTCCAAAAAAAAAAAAAAAAATAATAAATTCTAAATTTATTTACTGTTGATTTAGATGGAGCCACAGTGATGTAATGGATATCAGCTCTGGTTGAGGAATTGAATTTCAGTAGAGTTCATCACATGCACTTCTGCACAAATACCTTTTGGGAAAGGTACAAATCCTTCTCCCCCCACCCCCAGCTATGTATAAATAGCAGGACAGACTGGTTGCCACCCAAGGCTACAGGACCCAATCTAGAAGGACAACTCTGAATTCAAAACCACCAACTATGGCTTAAATAGCCTCACCAACTTGCAACAATTGCCCAAGTGTTGGAGTGAGAATGTTCTGGATTTGGATTCTCTCAGATATGAAAACACTCTATAAGCAATACTAATATTTTTGGTGAACTCCAAAATGGTTGTTGATGCTTCTTTTAAGAGTAATGCTTGTTGAATGCTATCCCTTGCTCAAGTATCGGTTCTCTTGTACAAAACTGAAAAGCATTAGAATTGGTTTGGAAGATGAATAAATAGCTGTCCAAATAAATAGCATCTCTTAAAATTGATTTGTTTATTTACACCTGGATGTGCAGGTGGTGTAATGGTTAGAAGCGCAGATGGAGAAATTAGCAAGCAGTTTGAATTCCAGTCAAGATAATTACATTGAATTTTGCACAAATAGCCTTGAGATAGGTATGAATCCATCTCTTCTTCTCAGCTATTAGTCTAATCTACCCTGCTTTTTAACCATGTGGCAACCAGTATAGAAGGAAAGATCTGAATTTTGTAATATAAACCTCAGGTTGGTTCTGTGGGTTTTGAAGAATCACGAATGGTTTTGAGCAGGTTTGGAAACCAGCAGCTATACTGAAGCTGGAGGCACACTGCAAATCTGTGATTTCTCAAGTTGAAACATCTATGATAACTATAGAAACACTTTAAATGCATAATCAGATATAAATATGCATTTAAAGTTTTTATCAAAGCAAAGGAGATAGAATGTGCAAAATAAACCAAATTGATGTGCCAAAAATATTATTCTACTCTTTCATAGGAAAATAATTGATACTTTTTTTTTTTCTCCCACCAGACTGATTTTTCAGCTCATTTTTTTTCTTTGTGACACTGGAATCTATGGAGGGTTCCAAAAGAACTGGCTGTCTCACATTCATCCCGCCATTTGGGTCATCTCTTTCATTTGGCCCCTTGTGACTCTCGCGTTCAGTGAATTGGTCAAGCGTTATGAAATAAAGTAAGAAAAATATTTATAATATATTTATGAAAAAAAAAACTTATACTGTAACTGTGTGTGTGTATGAAGAAAAATATACTGAAAAAACAAACAAAAATCCTAATATGTGATTATGTTGTTTTAATGTCAACATCGGACGTTTCGGTCTAATAGACCATCTTCAGGACATATTCATAAAACATAATTAACATAGACCATATACAATTCAACATGAAAAAGACGATCATAATTTTGATTCTGTGAAGATTTTAAAATATTTTCATAATAAAAATCTTAGATATTATGCCTGCTTCATAAATCTGCCTATCTCACGCACGGTGAATACTAGACCTGGCTTCTTTAATATTTCCCCTTTTCTAGCAAGATTAATGCTCGACAAACATGCATATAAGTTTTAGATCAAAATAAAATTCTTTTCGTTTTTCATTCAAAATACTCAAATTTTAGGAATACGTTTTCACAACATTGCCCACGTGACGACGACGTGATCATATTTAAACGGAACGCTGATCTTATATAAAAAATTTCAGTTATGTTTGGATTAATTGTGCTCTTATGTCCATCTTCTTTTCATGTTGAATTTTATGTTCTAATGTTAATTATGTTTAATGAATATGTCCGGATGGTCTAAAATAGACGGAAACGTCCGACGTTGACTTTATATTAACATTAATACAGCATAATTGCATATTAAGATTTTTGTTTGTTTTTTTCAGTATATTTTTTTTTATATATATATATATATATATATATATATAAATTACTGTATAGGATTTTTTTGTGATTGGGGATAACTTCACATTTGTTAGCTTTACTCTTTTTCTTTCTAGTTTTCACTGATAAATTATTAATGGCAATTTACAAGGTGTTTAAAGAAATCAGATTTTGTACCCCCCCGTGTATTTGAAACAAACTCTCATAATATAACAAATGAACTTTTTTATCAAAATTCTCTTGATTTACATTAAGAAAATGCATTCACTCAAATTAACCTGAAACTTTTTTTTCTTTGTAGGCTCAACGTTCGCTACCAGAAGAGAGCCCATCTAGCCTTCGAAACCAAACTGGGCATGAACTCGCCATTTTGAATGTGCATCTTGTTCCATTTTTAAAAAAATAATAAACAAAAACGGGGGTGGGGGTGAAGAAAGATTACTGACTCATTATGTAGTGGGATTTGCTGTGGTTTTGATAGCTTCTCTCGCTCGTCTTCCATCCCTACATTGTGCACATCTGCTGCTGTGGTTAGGAGGATGTGGCACAGCATATGGCTTTGTGTTGTTGGCAAGCAGACACTTACATAGCAAACAACAAAAATGAAAAAGGGACTAAGCCAGCATCGCCGACCTGGTTTTAATGTGATAACTCCTGGATGTAAAGAGTTGTTTTTTTTCCCCCCCTTTAATGAACATACAATTGTGGGTTTAAAATGAGGTTGAATTTTTTTTCTCTCTCTCTCTCTCTCTCCTATTTTAATGCAGGTACCACTGCCCACAACTCCCCTCACATTGTTTTGTTTCTCAATCTTAAAGTTTCCCACCCATCCACAAAAGCCTAAGCCCACATCTCCCAAGGAGGGCCCCCCCACTTATTTACTGGCAGTGCTTCCCACCCCCCTTGCCCCCTTACTGCTGTGTAGAGCCAGACACAAAATAATAAACACAGCATTTCAATGTCACTCTTCCTTCATACCATTTCTATCACACCTATCTTCACTTAATAAAAATTATTCAAATAAAAAACAAAAAAAAGAAATTTGTTCTGCCAATTTGTTGGGAGGGTCCAGAACAGTGTCTTTGGGACCATATATATATATATATATATATATATATATATATATATATATATATATATATATATATATATATCACACCCTCATCTTTTATAATTTTGTTGTGTGTGGGTTTTTATTTCTCCACCACATTTGTTTATTTATATACTTTTCAAGAGTGTTGTGGCAAATCAGTAACACTTTTATAACTGACTCCTGAAATTTTTGAAAGCTTTTTGAGGAAGAAAAAAAAAAAAATCATTTTTCTCAGCTTTATTTTAATTATTATATACAATAAAATATTTCAAATTCCCCACTCATCTATCAAATGATAAAAGGTTGTTGGAGTTGCTTTTTGAATAGCTTAGGACAGGGACTTTTTTTTTTCTCTCTCTCTCTCTCTCTCTTAGGGTCTTTCAACTGGATTATTGGGATTCTTAATTGATTGGCATATCCATTACTTTTGTTCTTGTAATTTATAAATATAATACTATATAGTAAGACATGCTAAAATTTAAAAAAAAAAAAAAAAAATTTTACTATAAGTTAAATTCTAGGTATCTTCACTAATTCGCAGACAAAAGATGAAAAAAGTGCCCCAGACTTGACAAAAATTGCCAAAATATTATTAAGAGGAAAGATCAAAGTATCTTAATTTTTTTATCTTTTTTTTTTTAATTCATTTTAGAACATTCGAAATTGATTTTATAAAAAAAAAAAAAATCTTTTTCTTCTATTAGCAGATGGACTAAATTAGCATGTTTTTCTCCACAAAAAAGACACTACTTAGAAATTCTTGCAAAAATCAATTGCTGGATAAGTTTTGGATTTCAATGAAACTTTCAGGACTTATTCAAAAATGAACTTATTTCAGATTTTTTTAACGTTTCTCTCTACTTCGTTTTATGAAAACTAAAATTCAACAAGAATTTTTAGTGACTACATTAGTTGAAAGTAAAACTTTTGGGAGAATATTTTTTTTTTTTTTTATAAATAAGACCCATGTCTTACTGAAAACTTGCTCTAAAAAAAATATTTAATTAAATTTTAATTGCTTTTATGAAACTAGTTTGACAACCCAGTCTTTTTAAAAAGAATTTTGAATTGGCAATATGTATAAACATGCCAATTTTTGTAGATACAGGTGATCATATATGACATCAGAAAATAAGAGCAATAACTATAGTAAATTTAAAGCCAAAACTCTAAAATTTAATAATCCATTAGATTATGGAGAATGTTTAGAAAATTTAAGATTACCAACTACTTCTTCATTTACATTATATTCATTTTTTTTTTTTTTTCTTTGGATAAAGCTGCTGTCAATATAAATAAACAGCTACTACAGTGTTAGAAAAATGTATTTCTGCGATATTTTAAACTCTAAGTAATAGTTGTTCTAAATCAGATGATTTATACTTTACTTTAAATCAGCTAATATTCCTCAAATAAAATTTCAGTAAAGTAAATTTTATTTTTGCTAAAAATGGCACAATTTAAAAAAAAAAAAAAAAAAAACTCCTTCCAGTCAATTTAAATTAGTTTTGAAATTAAAACTAAAATAAAAGCTTTAAGATTTTTTGCTTTTAAAGTAACTTAAACACCCACTACTTAACTATAGAAATAAAATAAACCAGTCTGTTTAAAGAATTTTGATAGTGCAATGCAGCTCTGATTTGTCGATTTTTGCTTTCTATTGCATTACAAATATATTCTACTTACAAAGAAAACAATGCTGCTTTTTTTTTTTTTGTTTGTTCTAAAATTTCTTTATTCACTTTTTCCAGAATTCATCTAATTCTACTCCAACAAACAAGTATACAATCACAATTCAAGTTCATGAACAAGTGAACTAACTAATTTATCCATGGTTGGCTCCTCTCCCAATAAATCTGAAAATAAATTTAAAGAAAATAGTCAAGTCATCTTGCAATGAAATTGTCAGTTTGAATAACAAGAATCAAACAATATACAGAAGACATTTTAGGCAATATTTTAAATGTCTATCTTCCCTCTTTGAAAAAAAAAAAAAAACACAATGGGGATATCAGCCTAATCAAGTAACAAAATAAGATTTTTTTTCATATTTTCTCTTTGACAAATCTAGCATAATTTTTGAATCTTTCAAGTAAATTTTAAATCTTCACAAATGCTCAATTTACAATAGTATGTAAATATGCATCTAATGATTAAGGTTAGAAAGAACAAGGATTCATTGTGATTATTTAATTTCTTTTTTTCTTAAATGACCCGCATGCATGGTTGGAGATTGATGAATTTTAAGTGAGAATTTTTTGCTCCGTAGGGAATACCTTAGACTGAAACAATAGAGAAATTTCCAATTTGCTTTGTGCTGCTTAACACAAGAAGGAATCTACCCCCCCCTTCACCTAGTGAAGAGATATCAAATTTGATTTCAAGTTAGTGAAAGAAATAAACCAATATTGGTCCTGAGAGGGCCAACAAAAACAAGCGTGATGACGCCAACAACTCTGTCCATGGCTAAACAAATACCCCTTGTGAGCTATGATCGCCATTCATATAAAGAAATTGGTGGTATAAGTTGTACAGAAATGGTTTCAAGAACATGAGGGAAACTTCCCTAGCAAACAAACTCCTCAATCTTGTTGGTTCAACATATACCATAAGTGATCAATAAGTTAACTCGTTGCAGTTAAAGTGTTTTTTGTGAAGATCCCGGGATTTTACAGGAAATAGAGTAAGAAAATATTTTGTGAAAATGGAAAACTGTTCATATTTTTCTATTGATATATATTTTCCCTAATTAAAATGGTGTATCAGCAGAAAAATAGTTCAAATTTCAGTTGTGTTTAAAGCTTTTTGGAAAGGCACAAATAAATCTCCAAGTACAAGAGGAGAAAAAAAAAAAAGCTTATCACTTGTTGACAGAAGAGGGTGTGTACTTAAGGTAGTTATGAGAGAATAGTTTTCTTAATATCACAGTGTGAATCAAAAATGAAATTTTTTGGAACAAAGAGTAAATTAAACAAACTTGCTGAGAAATGATTTAATGGTTTCAAAATAATCACAAAATAGATTTGTTACATATTAAAAGGAAAAAAAAAACAAATTGCACTTACTTTTAATCAATTCACTTGGTGGTTTCCCACCACCATGAGATAACAAATTCTGACGGTAATGTTCACCCATAGTCCTAAAAAAAAAAAGCGTAAAACTTTTCTAGAAAATAACTACATAAACTTTATTAATCTGTATATGACTTCATTTGCTGTATGAAAAGTTTAACCTACAATTGAAGGTGACTGATCCATGAACAATAGTGTTTGAATTTCAGTTGTCATATCCAGCTATGGCAACAGAAAATAATTTTGAGTGAAATTAACAATACGGCTACTGCAATTGAGAGACCTTGAAGAAGAATGCAGTGGAAAGAGAAGTAATATTAATAATGCAGTGTTAAAGATTAAGAAAAATAAAATTCGGGTCCATAGCAAATTCATTTTAACTAAGATCCATTTAAAGATGCTTTCGAATTTAGTGTTTTTTTTTTTTTGTTTTTTTTCTCTCTCTCTTGCATTTCTAATATATTTATCACCAGATTCCTACTTGGTTGGAGACCCCTAGTAAGTTTTAAATTCATAAAACCCTTCCAAATTCAACTGATTACACAGAATTGGTCTGTTCTGTTCAGTCTTTTTAACAACACTTGCATCCACTTTTGTTACCTTACTTACCGACTGAAAGGATCATCTTTGAAGCATTTCTCCCAGATGCGAGATGCTACTGCACGAGACAAAAGGTAGGAATAATAACGTGCTCCATATCCGACAAGGTGGACAAACCTCAACTGCCAAGCCTGCATGGAAAAATAATAGATCATCCATATTTTGTTGGTATGGGGGAAGAAAGTCAAGTCAATTTGTAATCTTTAGACAAACAAAAAAAAAAAACAATCCCTCTAATATTGCAGAAAAATGACCACAAGACAATAAAAATTCAGGTTAGTAATTATTAAAAATAAACTGAAAATCTAATATGAATTAAAAGCTTTCAGGTTGTATGAGAACAATGTCATATGTTTTGTGGGAAACTAAATATATATTTATGTAGGATATCAAGAACAGTTTTGAAAGAAAGATGTATGGAAAAAATTTTTGTGACACATTTCATCACCTAGTCCAATGGTGTCCTAACAGATGAATTGCATCACAAGACCTTTTTTCCAATTTTTACTTTTTTTTTTTTCCAAAAATATATATCTGGTTTAAAAAAAAAAAAAAAGTGAAATAATTTCAGATCAGTTTTATTGTTTATCTGTTTTCTAGGATGCTAAAGGTTTTGATTTGACTACTGTTTACAAAATACATGGTCCTGGAGGAAAATGATAACTTGAATAAAACTGTCAACTAAGTGGAATTAATAAACAGAATACATAAAAAAAATAAACTAATAATAATTTAAATAAGATAACCCCGTAATATTGTGCTAAATTCACCTTCAATAAGCAATTATACTTGACTTAATTACAATTAAGTAGATAAAGTAGTAACAATAGTTCAATTATGGCAATCCAGTTTTTAATGAGACCTAAGGTGTACTTGTGAAAATATTGCAAATTACCATTTTAGTTAATTAGGCTTGTTCTATTTAGTCAACTGCTTTAATTGAAATTTTCTACCTCCAGGACTTTGGACTCAGTAAACAGTAGTCAAACTAAGGAATATTTTTCAGTCAATTAGAAATTACAAAGATAAATTTGAAGTAAAAATCAACACTTACTATTCAATTAATAATTGGTTTCATATTTACAACTGAGCACATAAATCAAAAAGTACCCCCATGTAATGCATCTCCTACCTATGAGAAATGATTAAATTCTGTGGGTATTGGTGTATGTCTGCAATCACACTTTGAAATCAAGCATATTTAGTACTACTTTGTTTCCATAGTGAACATTGTCAAAGAAAAGAAAACATCTCGGCAAACAGCAATAAACCTATACAGACAATGAATAGTTTTATTATGGCAATCACTGACATTTATTTTGACTTCTCATACAACTCTTTGTTTACGAGAAAAGCTATCTCTGAAACTAATATATGGTAAGAAAACAGAGTTAACATACAATAGGGTGGGGAGGAATCTTCCAAGAATCAATCCCATATGGATCCAATTTAATAACCCGATACAAAAAAAAAAAAAAAAAAGGGACAAGACTAGGACCATAGAATTTTCACGGAATATGACAATAATTTAAAAACAGACGAACAAGTAAATATATTCTATAGCAAAAATTGTAACTGCAAACAGTGGCGTATTCATTTCTGGTAGATAAGATACTCAATTTTCAAGAAATTTAAAAAAAAAAAAAAAAACTTTTTTTTCTCAGTTTAAGAAACTTCTCTGTTCAAGACAATTACTCTACACAATGTCAGATTTAATGAAGCAAATCAATATTTTCACAATTGGTATTAACCAATGAATGTTGATACAATTATCAGATTATCTTTATATAATTATACATATTAATTTCAACTTAAAATATCTGATTTTATAAGATATATTTACAATAACTCATTTGGTGCTGTGAGATTTCATTGTAGGTCTTGGGTTGTTAATCATGTTGCGTGTATATCATTTCATCCCAAGCAAGGCAATAGTGCCACTAAAATGCATGGGGGTCACCAGAAGTGGAAAAGATTTTAAAAGGAACCGGAAACCCAATTCTAAACAGGAAACAATAGATAAAATAAACTTCTATCCTGTTCAAAAGACAGTGGAGTGTGTGTGTGTGCATGTGCGTGAGTATATATATATATATATATATTTTGATTATAGGTTCAGTTCAATTTATAATTACATGAATCATTCATCCAAAAAACAAATATAGAGGTTAATGAATTAAATGGCGAGAATACATCTTCGCAAACAATTTCAATAAGGTACACTAACCCCAAACCTGTATATGAATGATATGATCCCTGTTTTATGATTACTAGGAGTCATAAGAATGACTTAGTTTCAAAAGCGAAACAAGATACAGTGATACCTCGGCTTAAGTCATTTTCAAAGATACATCTGTTTTTCTTAAATATTATAAGGTAAAATAAAACTGGCCTTAGGTCATTTTACTCAAGTTTACATCGGTTGTTAAAAATATTAGAAACCCCAAAACACTAAAATAACAATAAACACATATAAAATCATATTTAAATAAATTTAAAAATAATAATATGTATAATATATCATAAAATCATCAAAAACCAAAAATTAGCATAATAAAGTATGTTTATCAGATGTTCTTATTTCAAATTCCTGTTGACAGATGGCACTCATGTGTTGTTTTCCGCTCCAACACTGATTTTGTGATTTTGAATTCAGATTTGTTTACATTTGTGCTCTGCCATTGACATCCTTTCAATGTCCTCAGCAAAATCCAAAGATGGACATGCAATGTGATTGGCCCTGATCTGGCATCTCGTTTACAGTCGCTCTCACACAGATGTGCCATCGCTTCCCTCTGTCTTTTCTACAAATACTTTTTACGGTAACTGCTCCAACAAGCTACTTTTACTGGTTCCCAAACTGCATGAATTTAAACATGCTACTAGGTTGGCATCTTAGTCCCACCCTTTCACTGTCGAAACAGTTAAATGTAGCTGTCTCTTCTACTCCAATAGCTTCATGTGGAACCCCCCTTCCTCTTACTTATTTCCTTGATAGCTATAATCTCCAACTATTCAAATGCAATCGACATCTCCAGATGCCTTGATATATTCCCTGTCCTTCATCACGCCTCTTTACACTTGCTCCCACTCTGTAACACCTTGTGTGCTAGTGGCACTCCTGCCTTGCTTAAAAAGAAAAAAAGAAAAGAAAATCTCAACTATGAATAACTCCGTCATCAGCATAGCTCCTCCACCCACATCATCATCAGCACATTGGCTGCGGTAGGAAAAGCAAGAATTCCTGTTTTCTATTACTAGATTCGTTTGCAGTGTTGTATGGAATACTTAAATGACCAGTACCCATCTCTTCACATCTGTGCTTGTATATGTGCAAAGCATAGTCTAGGAAGAGATTAAATAAACTATGGCTTTCATTTCCTCCTCCTCGTACTGTTGATGAATATAGTAGGGATATAAACATGTTAAAATTATAATATTAAATATTTATAACATCAACTTCTTACTGTGCCAGGAACATATTTTATGCCATAATATTTGTTCTGCACTTCAGCCAAAATGTCTGTAGTGGATGTTCCAGGAGGAGGTAGTTTCCCATGATACATTTGGTCAAGAATGGAATAAAAGACCTGCAGTTGAAGATCCTGAAAAATACAAAACAAAATGCCAAGATTTATATACTTGAAAGGTAGGATTAAGGGTAACAGGACTGTTTTATTTGCAAATGTACTGATAAATGACTAATTTTAGTAATTATTTTCATACATACTAACACCCGACACTTAAAATTGAAATTTCTTTATGTTAGATAATAATGAAAATCATTATTTTTATCTTTCAAACAAATCAGTAAAATCAGAAACAAATTAGCAAAACTTGAAATACAATAAACAAAAAATGCTACATTTGTATTGTGTAAATATGCAAGAAAGCCTTCACTCAGCTTTTTACTGACTGGACACAACCCCATGTTGCATCTCTATTCTCTCCTGCATCAATGTGTACAAAAACTGGCAAAAGTGTTGTATGCACACAAGGAAAACAAAAGGTAAAAATAAATGCTATAGTGAGAAATGATAAACTTGAATCCTGTTTCAATGGTTTATTTCAGGAATTCACTTGCATGTTCTGGACGGATAGGTAGGTGGCACTTGGGACAATGACTGTCATGTAAGAGTCTAACAAATCAACTTTTCCCATCTGAATATCCTACCACCCTTCTGGCCATCTCTACAACATGATGTGCATCTTCAGAATTTTCTCTTGACAGACAGCATGCATCCAGAACTACTGTCATGGCCAGTCCATCCCCTGCCAACAGGCAGTTCAGAACTATCATCAATCCCAACTGTGACTTTATATAAGCCTGTGAATGGAAATCTCTAACATCCAGTTAAGCATCACTTAATCCTAAACATTTTCATTTATTCATCTTATTCCCTTTTGGTTAAGTGGGTGACTACTGTGAAGACCCCACATCTCTTCATAAAAAATACAACACTTAAAATTGAGATAAAAACATTTACCATCCTCTCCAACATACGTGTTGAATCACAGCTGCAGTGTCACAATTGATCAGCTTAGTGCAATAAAACTTATAGTCTCTCCTTTTTAATAAATGATCCAGTTAAGTTTAATAAAAAAAAAACGTAGAGTATTTTAAAACTTTGAATGGCCACTCTTTCGTACTAATGCAGGTGTCCCGCAGGGCTCTACACTTGCTCCTACATTGTTTTTTGGTTTTCATTAATGACCTTTCTGATGGTGTCAGCTTTCAACCTGGTATATATGCTGATGATACAATCATTTACCTTGTCTCAATAGTAAGTGATCAGTTCAATAAGGTCAAATTGGCAGCTGATGTCAAAAACAAGCTAGTCTGTTGTTAATCAGGGTAAAGAATGGCTTGTTAATTTTAACGCCTCCAAAACAAAACTATTCTCTATTAATCATCCTTTTCTATATTCCTTCAGCATAGCTGATGCTAACCTCCAGGAGAGTGACTCGTTGCAGCTTCTTGGGCTAACATTCTCGGTTGACATCAAGTGGAAAGACTATATTGAATCATTTGTTAGATCAGCCGCTAAGAAATTCGGTTCACTATGTTGTGTGAGATGATTTTTATCTCCAGTATCTATCTTACATATCTCTAAGTCTTCATCCATGCTTTAAATATTGCTGCCACATATGGTCTGTTGCTTCTGCTGTCTATTTAGAGATTTTTGATAAAATCCAAAGAATAATCAGCAATATTATTAGTCCTGACCTAGCCTCTCTGCTACAATCAATTTCCCACTTCCGTAAAGTTGTTTACCTGTGCCTTTTCTATAAATACTTTCATGGTAATTATTCAGATGAGCTCTTTGCTATGGTACCTAGACTTTATGAATTTAAGCGCAGTACCAGATTGGCAGCAAGGTCTCTTAAATTTACAGTTGAAATGGCTAGATGTAACCATAAGTTCTATGCTAACAGTTTATTTTCTCCCACTTACTTGTGGAACTCACTTCTGGCTTCATGCTTTCAATGATGCTTCTCCCATCTTTACAATCTTAACTTCTTCAAGTCTAGGGTCAATTGTTACCTATTCTATATATCCTCATAATATTCACTTCTTATTCCCTCTTTGTACACCATTACAACAACCTCATTTAATAGGCCCTCAACTTTGAGTGGCTCTTAGGCCTTGTATTCATTGAATTATGGTATAAAAATATATACTGATTGTATAGTGTCCAAGTTTATTTCATTTTATACTCTTAAATTCAAAGTGATTAACATTGTTTACATTCTTCTTTTTCTTCTATATAACAACACATGCTACGGACAAAGATGAATTTTAAAAACAATGGACATGTTAAAAATTAAAGAAAGAAAATAATTTCACTCACTGAAGCTGCAAACATTTTTTTGGCTGCAGAAAGATTGTTGATTGCTTTCATGGGCAGTGGTTCTCCTGTTTTATAATGTCGGGCAAAAGTTGACAAAACCTGAGATAATAAAATTATAAAATTAGATCATTAACCCTGCATTAGTCACATGGAGTGTTTTGTTACCCTCAAATTTTGAAAGTACTCATAATTTCTTGTTGGCAACGGGTTTCTTTTGCTCCCTCCCACTACTGTCCTGACTTGGTGAGGGTGTATAGCACGTGGTGTGGTGCTGTTGTAACTCAGTTGCCGTGGGAGGCAGATACCAGGGGATTTTGGAAATCTGAAGTAACTAATGTAGGCTTAAGAAAAAATTCAGTAACAAGTAATGGTAGATGCAAGAAATAGTATATATTTTTTAGTGGACCCATGTTCCTACTGTATGTGACACAAGGTCAAGTTTTAAAGTGGGTTTAATAGCAATAATGTGGAAAAATTGCCCAAATCCCCACAGCACTTCCCCTTTTGAGGACACCTCAAGCAATGGGCAATAAACCCAGCCCCCTCCCAAAGGAGAGGTACTTGCTGAGTGGGGGGGGGGGGTCTTGGGGCATGGGCTTAATATTTTTGACACTTCCCCAGATGTAAGAAATAGAAAATGAAAACATTTACAGATACAAACACTTTAAACAATTCAGATGCCTTTGTGTTATTAATAACTAAATTTTATTTAAAATCATTTGCAAACTGATTAAATTTTACTTACAAATCTCAGTGATATTAACCAATCTGATTCAAGTTTCAGTCAAACAAAAAAAAAATGTATTTCAGAAAGACAACAATATTCAAAAAGAACAAGATGAGTGTAATAAAAAAAAACCCTGCAGTCAGTAAAGAACTTACTCTTGGGTCTGAAGCAAAATACTCCATCAGAACAGAAGGAACTTCTGCAAAATCAGTTGAACATCTCGTCCCTGTAAAATAGATAAAGCAAGAGAAAAAATTAAAATTTAGAATAATACCTAATAATCATCGGCAATAACTCTGGAAAATAGAACCTTATGTTTTTGATTCAATCACAAAGATAACTTGCAAAAAAAAAAAAAAAAAAAAAAAAAAAAAAATTGTTTTCAAATAAATGCAAATTATGCCCATTATTTTAGCAGAAGTGGATAAAATGAAGTTTCTGGGTACATGCATTGCAGAGGGCCTTTCCTGGACTAGTAATACCATCATAATATCCACTGGTGTGCTTTCTTGACTATCTACTGAGAATTCTCTGAAAAAGTAATTTCTAAAGGGAGCTGTTGATGACCTACTTCTGCTCTATTGAGAGTGTGCTGACATACTGCAACATTGTTTGGCATGCCAGCTGCTCAGCAGTGGACAAAAGAGCCCTGCAAAGGATTGTAGATGTTGCTCAGGAAAATAATCAGCTGCTTGTTGCCCTTCTTATTGGACATTTCTAATTATTATTGTTACAACAGAACAAAAAACATAATGAAAGACAGCAGATTTCGGCTATGACTTGGGTCCCATTTAAAGAAACTCTGCTGCATGCTGACAATTTTCAACATATTTTAAACATTATTATTTTTCTTCATGTGAAGCGTATGCTATATTTTTTTTGCATTGTGTGTGTATAGGTGCACTTGGGGTCTGCTGGTCCAATGTCACTGTGCACTTCACAGTGACAAGAAAAATAAATAAATAATGTAATCAAACAGCGAGAGATTTTCCTTAGTAAAACAGGTGATTTGAAAAGAAGGGCTGAACTGCTATCAAAATAATAATAATAGCTGGCCACTCATATTCGAGGATACCCGTCTTTTAGGCAGTTAGTCAATCCCTATTGCAGACGCCTGCCCAGGCACATTTGTGTTTGTTCAACATCCACAGAGCCCACTTGTGGTTTATACTGCAACTATGCTGAGCAGACGTTAGTTCCAGTTTCTGGGAGAGTGTGTGTTATCTAGCATGATCAACAATCTGAACAAGGCTAGCATGCTCAAGTCCTCAGTCATGATGACTTGTGACTTTGTGCTAGCAGAGCCATCAACAGCCTCCAAGGGTTCCGTCTACCCACTTTCACTCACAAGGCCTGGGTCAACTCTTCGTATGGTTTTCAGGCACTTTTCCAAAAGTGACACATGCTGAGATTGCCCCCTCCAGACCAATAACATCAGGAAGTCACCTTCCTGACAAATCGACCATGGTGAAATTCAAACCCAAGTCTCATAGTCAGAAAGCGAACGTTCTAACCACTGAGCCATGTGCTATCAAAATATAAGTATGAAAATAACTCACTGTATGTTACCTGCCTAAGTGTTTATGTTTGGTAGGTGGCTATGATTCACACAACTAAGGAAATTAAAAAAATCATTTTAAATCATTTTGACTCAAACAAGGCAATAAAAGCTGCCAAAACGCAAGGGGTTATTAAGAATGAAAGAAATAGAGAGTACAGTAAAAAAAAAAAAAAAAACAGGACTCAAGGAGACAGATGACAATTGATATTGCTTTTAAATTTTTTTAAAATCATAGTTGACTGGAAAGCAAGAACCCAGAAGAGAAGTGCAGAAGAAAATATCAGTATAGAGTTTACAGTTATCTCCAACAATTTCACTAATGCACTTAAATTTTGTGTGTGTGTGTGTGTTTACAAGATTGAATTCAATGCAAAGAGACAGCAGCAATACCCCAATAGAATTTGATTTACCAACGCCATGTTTTCCAACAACTTTACCCCAGGATAGTGTGTCACATCCAACATGAGCATTGAAGTCCCGCATCACATAAAGTTCGCCACAAAATGACATCCACTTTAGAAGTTCACAAGGGTTGCAGTAAAAGAGTTCTTTTACCTCCTCAGTAGAGTAGGAGCATAAGTGGCATGCTTATTCCTACTGATAGGTAAGTGAAAAGACATTAGCCTGTCAGAAATACCAAATGGAAGTTATTCCAGTCATGACACAGGATCGTTTCTAATAACAAATCCTATGCCAGATTCTCTTTTCGCCATCCTACCCAGAAGAAGGTGTAGCCACTTTCCACTTCTTTGAACTGCCCTCTGTCTGGTTTCAGATAGAGCAGCAATACAGATCTTGTTCTGTTTAAGTACTTTTGCAATAATTGCTGTTCTGCATTCAGGGTTTTTCTTATTGTCCTTACATTCCAAGATGCTATAAACATTAAGTTTTTTATTTTCTGAAATTTCGGGTGTGCATTTTGGATGCCCAGCCATACGCACCATATGACAATGTCATGCACGGACATGCAATTTTTAGGTCGCCTTTTATTGACCCTTCCTCATAAAAGGAAACCAATGTCATTCCTAAATAAGGCTGTTTTGTTATGAGAGGAGGACACGAAGTGCAACAATGACCAATTTTGTGCTGCACAACAGACATCTACCTCTCACCACCCATGTGTGAAATTCAAGCTAATGACTGCCAATGGCATCTCCCTCGTCATGGGATTTCTGTTTTGCATGTATTTGTGTTGATCTATTAGCCATCAAGCTACTGATCAACCTGTACTAAGATTTGTTTAAAGTGGTCAGTTGCTTGTGAAGCAATTTATTATAAAATAAAAATCATTGTATACCACAACTTAACTTAAAGATAAAGAAATATGCATATAAGATTTTAAGAATATATTAAATAAATGCATAATAATATAACAGATATTATAATATAACAAAGAAAAATAAAAGAATAACGGATAGTTATAAAATTCAATACTTTCCTTTTAAAAATATGACATCGCTTTCTTTGAACAATGAAAAAAATAGGTCTGTCTGTTTCACGATAAATCACACACACACACACACATATATATATATATATATATATATAACGTCCTCCACAGACAGACTGTTTCGCTGTTTCACAGCTCATCAGTGCAGCTAGACATCCGGTTGCCTCTAGCTAGGGTCAAAACCCGACTGAATTGGTGTCGGTCAGAGATTTTAACCATTAAGCCGTCGGTGCACGGTAGGAATGAAGGTGGATTTTTAGCGTATTTATTTTTAGAAACACACCCAGTGACCGACAGTGACTCGATTCGCTTTTGTGAAGAGTCTCGCTATATAGCTATAAATAGTCACTGTTTACCAACCCACACCTCCTCCCCAGAGAGCTCAACTGAAATTAATTTTTCAGGAGCCAATATAATATATATATATATATATATATATATATATATATATATATATATATATATGTGTGATTTATCGTAAAACTGGCCATTATACATCAAAGTTTGTAGAGATGGGGATTTTATTCATTTTAAAGGTGTTTTTAAAAATATTGGTGTATATCAGACATTATATATTTCTATAATTAATGTATAAGGTTTCTTATGAGAATATTTTATAATACATTAAATAATAGTGGTGAAAAGGTACATGCACAAAATAACAGAGCCTGATTGATTTGCAATGCAAGATAACATTTATTAAACAAAATAACAAAAGGAAAGTTTAAGAATAAAAAATTGTTAATGAATGTATTTGAGTGAGAGTTGTCAGTGTAAGTGTATTTGTGCGTGAAGTATCCACAGCCCCTTTTTCTTCAGTGGAAAAATTTAATGGCACACACTTTGAAAGGAGGGAAAACAGGAATAGAGAGCTACTTAAGGGTTCATCTGTTTTCATACCCTCAGGTCTGCTGCTGACAGTATGTTTTATTAAGCCACTACACACACACACAAATATATATATATATATATATATATATATATATTGGGGTGAGGCAAATTATACAAATTAAACCTATACACTGTAAATTATAGGCCATACCTAGTAATCATTTATATGCTCTAATAAAATTGAAATATTAAGTTTCACATTTAAAAACTATTTTAAAAACGATGGTCTTTTTGTGGGCTTGACAACTTTATTTTTCTGTCAATCACAAAAACAGATAATTTTTTTCTCAATGAGACTCAATTTGGGCAGATCAACTAGCAACCCACTTTTCATGCATTCTGATTGGCCTGTTACATGAATCTCGTAACACAGATAATACATGGAGGTAGGGGGTGTCCCACTTGTTAAGAGGAGAGCCTCTCCCCATCTTATCCAACCTTTGCTTAGTGTTTATTTCTAGTTATCTATTTCCATTTCTACCACCCTTTTCATTCTTTTCTCTTAGGGTTGGTGGTACTTTTAAGTGAACTTGCTGACTCATTGGCCATTGAAAAAAAAGAAAAAGAAAACAGGTAGTAAGAGAAAAACTGTTTGGCTGCAGGTAAATCCAGTTCAGCACAGCCTAAAGAAAAAGCCATTTGTAACAAAAGAAAAAAAAAAAAAAGAAAAAGTCCTCACAATGAACAAAGGTAATACACCAAAATATGTCTCCGGTTGATTTCCCAATGGGAATGTATATTTATTTTGCTTTAAATACAAAATTTTGGCACACGGTCGAAGGGGGGTGGGAAAAGGCTGATACTCAGTAACTATGCTAGTTACAGTTAAACACAATCATGACCCATTCATTCAATACAATATACTCAATCACCACAAGAACTTGTCCATCACCTCTCAATCCTACATGTACTATAATACCACATATCCACAAGGGACCTACAAAACACCCCATGAAGTAACAATTTATAATGTTTTTTTGGAGTATTTTATTTTTTTCACAAAAATATATAAAAATTTATATAATAATGAAAATGATGGGGGAGGGAGAGAAAAACTGGAATACAAAAGTAAAGAATGGACCAAAAACAAACTAAAATACAACAGATGTTAGTAGGACCTGTCCATCCCTCAAAATAATGAGGCTGGCAGCACACTCACTAATGGAGTGGGGAAGGAAAAATTAAACAGTGGAGTGGGAAAAAACAAAGTCTGACCCAGCCAAGATGTAAAAAGTGGACAAAAACAAATTGAGGACGTTGGGAATATCGACATGATTCATAACAAAAAAAGAGCGCCGGGAACAATTATTCACATTAACTAGAAAAACATAAAACTGTAACTTAATCAAGGGAGGCTTCATAGAAAACCATCCCATTGTGCTCAAGAGGACTTAAAAGAGAAAATCAAGGCTAGCCCCGTTCATACAAACCAGGCTCACCACAGATACCCACCTTTCGCTGAAATCTGTCAACTCTCTATCAAATCTGATCTTCATCCTGATTCCCAAAGAATCCAACCAGATCCTGATGAGAATAACTCATATCGCAAGATTCCCTCCATTTGCAACATCCATACTACCATTCTTACCACAGCTAGCAATGTGAGAAACACCATTTCACCCTGAAGAATAGGGGCAACACATTGTCACAGGCGTACGTGAGATCAATGGACACAAGCTGATTGGGAACAATATGAGCTTTCAGTCCCAGAAAGGGTGCACCTGAGGACAATGGTAGAAGGCGTGTGAAACCATTTCTTCTAAACCAAGGTCACACCGATGACATTCTGGCAAATCCACCCAAACCCATCTGAAGGTTACATCACTGAGAGGTAGCACGTTACAAATCAATTGCCAGGTAAGTGAAAACTCAGGGTTGCTGAGGTAGTTTGCTGCTGGCACCCAAGACCAGAAGGAGTGTAACTCTGATGTTGACAGTCTGAGCGGGCCACATAGATAGTCCATCATGACCCCTGCCACTAAATCATGATACAATAGCCTATGAGGCCATAAAAGGTCACTGGACTGAGGAAGAGCCCTTAAGGCTGCCCGACACAATCACAGGAATATCAATTGATTTTGAGGCTTATGATGGCGCTCGGCTTCGGAAATGGAGAGAGTGATGATAATGCTAGGTAAAGCATCCCTAACACTCTCTTCTAAAATCGAATCTTCTGTACAGGAACACCAACCTTGAAGTGCAACAATGGCACAACAAGTGCAACATTCCCAGCCCAACCCGCCGACACAGACGTTGGGCAACAGTCTCTCTACAGATGAGCGCCTTCTTTCTGTTCTTGCAGAGAGGAAGTACAGCCAATCGATAAAGACATAAGTGGCACACGCCTCTACCTTACCCATTACGGACAACTGCTATCGAAATCAAGTCCAAACTGCCACTCTGACCTTTGACTGCATTTCAGACCAGTTCCTCGTCAAACCACACTCCAAGAATGCGGATGGGTCTGTCTGTCCATCTAAAGGGCCCCGGAAGCACAACACACTTCCAGGCACCTAACTGCAAGCTGGATTACGTTTTGCGATTAATTTTGGCACCTGTCACATTCTCGTTCTGCTCAAGCGCATTCTGTACTACTTCAATGTCGCTACGGCACGCCGCAAAAATAGACATGTCATTAGTGTACGTGGAAACCTTGGCTCAACCTCCAGGGACGGCAATTCCGTGTAGGGCAAGACTGCACACCCTCTCCCTTTAGCTAGTGAAGGAGGGGCTCCAATGTTAAGGGTAAAGTAAAGAGTATTAGCAGACAATCCTGATGAACTGACCTACACAGCACAAAAGCACTTGGCCACTCCCCGTTCACCTGTACCATAGCACTGGGTGAGCGATACAGGAGGCTGCAGAACTCATGTTTGAATCCAGCGGCCTGCAGGACAGCCACCAGGTACTGATGATTGACCCTATCGAATGCCTTGGACTGATCTAAATTGATCAGCTTCATTAGACATCTTGTTTAGCCTATGTTTAATTACTTGACCTTGACAATGCTTGCTAGTCTCATGCTCCAGAACCTGTCTAGCTAGTGTTATCTCTAGGGAATCTCCCACAGCCTCTGCCCAGGACTTTTCCAATGGGAATGATTGCAAAAGGTTTCCCCCTCCCCCTCTTATAGTCAGAAGGACACAGAATGAATGCCGGGATATTTTTCTGAGCCAATAAAATGGGATGGCTTGCGTTTTCACATGACTCAGTCTAGATCTGACGGTTCGGGCGTATGTGTCAAACTCTCTGCCTTCGAGCAAAGAGGAATTCTGATGAAACTATGCCAAAGGGCAGAGTCCCGTCTGGGGAGGTAGACAAACCCGACCCTGTATATGTGGGGTCTACAGTGAATTTTTGCCCAAGCCTACGGACTCAGAATTGCTCCACATAAAAAAAGGCCTTGTGCCACATCCTGCTTTGTCAGGAGGCAAGGTAAATAACCTCAGTCCAGACCTGCCTTAACTACTAGACAGACATATTGTGTTTGTTTGGTCGACCTTGCTTTTGTGCGCAAACACCAACCCCTAGTTTGTTAATTCTTTTGCTTTCTTACAAATTTTGATTTGCTTTAACTATATTGTTTGCTTGCTTGCATGCTTCTTCTTGTTTCATCTTTTTTTACCTTTTTTCTTTTTATTGCACACTTTATTAATTCTGATCATGTTATCTTGCACTTTAACAATGGCATCTGACTCATCACTTCCTTTATATCCACCTGGTGGTTTTACATAGAACTACATTGTATCCCAAATAATTTACATATCAAAAGTTGTCGAGGGCACCTTGATGTGGTTTAATGGTTAGAAAGCTTGTCTTGCTAGATAAATTACAAGTGAGTAGTGAGTTTGATCCTCACTGGGTGACCCATACTTTCAGCCTTGTGCCACATCTAAGCTGTGCTTAGAAAATCACTATCAACAGTGGTTTAGTAATGATTCTGGCTTTTGTCAGCTATCAAAAGGTGTTACTGTATGAGTTCGGTTAAATAAAATTTGCATTTTATTTTAACAATTTTTTTTCTCATTTTCCAGGCATTTTTTTTATTTGGTCTAACAACATGTCCAAATGAAAAAGCAAATTAACCAGAGTCCATATTAAAAAATTGACTGACCTGTCACATGTTGATATTTTGTCCTGCCTAACATTGAGTGCATTGCATGTCCAAACTCATGGAAAAGGTTCTCCATCATACCAGGAGTTAGAAGTGATGGAACACTTGTTTGTGGAATGGGGAAGTTGAGTTGAAGAACAACAATGGGGAGTTGGTAGCTGCCATCTTGACACTGCCTCCCACCTTGAATTGTAAAATGGCAATCCTGTGAAAGAAAGAGATTGACTGATTTGTTACTTTATGGCTTATCAACCTCTTGCAGGTTATTTAAATCCAGAAAATATTTTTAGATTGTAAGAATTATTTTGAAGATAATAATGATACAAGTCTTACTAATTAACCCATAGCTAGAGAGGAGAGAAGAAGTAGATTCGTGTCTTTCCCAGGGGTATTTGCACATAAGTAAATATAACGGACCTGACTGGAATTAGAATTTGACTCTCTGATTTCCAATACCTAGCCATTATCCATTACACCACCCACACCCAAGCTTACAGCACTTGGTATTCCCAAGCAGTCACCCATTTAGGTACTGACCAGGCTCGATGTTGTTTTACATTGGTAATCAGACAAGAGCCACTATTTCAATGTGATATTGCCATAAGCCAAAAGAGAAGAGAAAAAGAAGAAAAAATAGAGGAGATTAAAGAATGAGATTCTTCAAATTATGTACAATAGGTGATCAAAATAAATAAAATTGCAAGAACATCTATCTTCACAAAATTACAGTTAACACTTTCATTGCTGCATTGTTATAATATTATCAGGGTTCCCACAAATCTGTGTAAAAAAAATTCCAGGACTAAGAGGTTTCAAGGACTGAAACTGATGCATGCATGATGTGAATGATCATCAAAAACACAAACTTAAATATTACTAAACAAACAACATTTTTCTTAAAGGACAATTTTTAGCTTGTAAAAGCCACATTTAAATTTAACACACACACACACACACACACACACACATATATATATATATGGGGATTTTTAATTCAATATTATTTCTTATTACTATAATTTTTTTTAGTGTATACACATGTTTAAGTTGCTATCCTAGTTTTTTTTGTTAATTAAACATTAAATTTAATAACAACCAGTCAAAAAACCACTTCTGGTGGAAAAAGGGATCCAGGTTTGATTCCTGTTGAGAGACACAATCTTTCAGGACCTAGACCAGTTGCTATTAAATTTCACTGTTTAAAAAGATAAAAAAAAAATTGCAGCAATTCAAACACTTTTACCCACTAAAAAGAAATAATGCTTATAGTAATTTTATATATATATATATATATATATATATATATATATATATATATATATATATAGTATATGACAGTATAGAGCAATTTTATATATATATATATATATATATATATATATATATATATGGGTGTGTATACAGTATATGACAGAGCAAGATCTTTAATATTACCTTCAAATATTACCCCATATTAACTTAACTAAAATTTAAGTAAAAGAGATTACCTATCTAGAAACAGTCACAAATTAAATTCATGAACAAAATTCAAACATATAGAGATGTCAACTTAATAATCAATAATAAAAAAATTTTAAAAAAAATAAAAAAGATTACTAGAAGTAAACTTATAAATTAAAATAAAATTTTATTCTTTTAATGTACTTTCTATGAATATTTTTCTAATCAACTATTTCAAAGAAAATCCCCAAAATGTTTAAAAAAATTTAAATCACTAACAAACATCAAATTAAATTCTTTGTAGACAGTTTAGACATTCAAATTTATATCAAACATTATAATCTTTATGAACCCCCAAAATAACACTTTCAAAGCAAAACGAAAATTAGTGACACCTTCTCTCATGACTTCCTTCTCTCTTTTTCTTTTTATGTGTTTTTTCTCCTCTACCCCTTCGATATCAATATATAACTTCCGTTAAGTTAACCGTTTAAATGTGTCAATGTCTGGACCTCTTCAAGTAAATTTAAGTATGAAAGAATAGAAATTTTAAATTACATCTTACTCACATGTCTTCTCTCTCCCCCCTCACTTCATTAATTTACATATGCTTAATACGGCCTGTCGAAAATGTGTAAATTTCTTTTTATTTTTTATTTTAACCTTTGGAAGTAAAGTCTGATGATCCGCAGTTCTTTAAAAGGGCTGTGGTGAAATAATTTATTATATGGAACCTTAAAGTGGTCTGTTTTTATTTAAATTATTTGCTCTGGATTTACATTGAGCTCTCTGGATTTTATCCTCCTTGGGTTTACACATACAGATTACCTAGTTTTTCACTATATAAATATATATATATATATATATATATATATATATATATAGTTCATAAAGGGTAAAAGGGTCATGGCAGGGGAGGAGCTGCAAAATTAGGGATACAGTAAGTATTATACTAGTATTATAATAGTGGTTCTAGGGCTCATTTAATTCATTAAAATTTTTTTAATATTTTTATTTTCATAATTTTTATTATAATGCATTTATTATAATTTTTGTTTTTTAATAAATAATAATAAATGTTTTGCAGGTAAAGTGGTAATTTAATGATGGTTGGTAATTTAACAGATGAGAAGCACAAATGGATTTTGAAACCATACTGGAAGACATTATTATTGATATGTTTGTATAATCAATACAATATGTTTTGCATGCACATTTTGTTTTTCATTACTGTATACCTACTTTTGCATATTCTGTATATTATATAGATAGATATATAAGATAATGAGACCCATTTAAGATATCCTGTTTATGCCATGCTATACTGACACATGCTACCCAAAGAGGTAAAAAAAAAAAAAAAAAAAAAAAAAAAAACACCTATTACCTGGACTGGTTTCCCAATCCTCTCAAAGAAATCACAATAAATGTAACCAAGAACACCTTCGGTTCCATGGACTACAGCCTGTAAAAGAACAAAAAACAATAAATCATTTTTTTTGTTCCAGTTTTTTTTTTTTTTATCAAATTCTGATGGCAAAATAGTTGACATAAATCACTGTTGTAAAATATATTTCATATTTTAGTTGACCAAATGTGACAACTGATCTCCTTTGATCACAATGTCTTCTAAAGATGTACTTGTTTGTAATGCAAAAGAACAAGTTAGTATAATCAACCGAGCACACAATGACAAATCATGAAACTGAATTTGCAATTAATAAACAAAATCTTTTTCAGAATCTGCTACATTTTGATTAGTTAACTGTTCAACTTCTCTTAGACTTATCAACTATTTGATAGAAATTTAATTATGGTACAAATTAGATAAATAATTAAGATTATATTACAATGATATTTGCATGCTCAAAATGATCCTTGAAATCAGTTATCAGGTCTCATTAAAAAGAAATACACTTCCCACTTTCAAAATGCAGGATCTTATATACACTCGAGACAGCCACATTTGGTCAAACAAAAATTTGTATAAACTGCTGGTCTTTTTAGAAACAAAATCTGGGTTTAGTCCCTAGTTACCATGAAATATGGGGACTATTTTGTTGAATGCGATTATAGAAGTTAACAGGTTACATGTTTGGGTGTATTTTTATGTGGGTGCATGTTCAATATATAAACAAAGAAGATAGAAGCATACAAAACTTGAGTTTCTACTATGGATGTTCATTCTTTTTATGGTGACTGTAGTGAGACTAAATTCTCAATGTTTCTTGGGTATGTCCATTTTCCTTTTTGTTTCAGAAATAAGTTAGGATAACAATGGTTAAAATGGTTGAGCTCAAGCCAGCTTTGCACTGAATTGGAACAACCAATTCACTTAATTCATGAGTAGGGTTGCCGAAACACATCCAAATGCTGTTACTGGAAGTGGAAATAGAAAAGATTCTGTCCTGAAGTGGGATCATAAAATAGTGCCTTTAACCAGAAAAACTTCTTGGCTCCTTTCATTATGGAAAAATTAATTTCTTTTTTCTTTTTTTATTATTTTATTTATTGGTTTTATTTCATTTTCCCACAAGCTAAGCCAGCCATTATTTTCTTCTTTGCTACACTCCCTCTCATGATCACAAACATGATGGCTTGAGATAGGGCTCTTGAGTCTGGTGCTCCTTCACAGTGAGATAGTGTCTCTTCTCTGGAGGAGTCATCTCACAAAGAACCATCAGATGCATCTGAATCAAGTTCCAATTTATCTGCATCTTGTCTGAAGAATTCTTAGATGCACTCAATTCAATCTTGAACACTCTTGCACTTCCTGAGGATATCCGGCTGGCATCACTCATCAATGTGCTAGAACTCATAAGGGAGCAAAGGACCTTCACATGGTGTGACATCTCATCAAACAGGATTTGATGCAGGCTGCTGAACTTAGTGACATGACCCACTTAAAACATCAATGTACACAGTCTTCCACTTCATTACATGTGCACATAAGCATATCTACATAAAACCCTACACACATCGAAACATATACATACACACTCATCTAAACAAATATACAACGTATATATATATATATACACACACACACACACAATCAAGCACATATGTGCACATAAACATATCTACATAAAACCCTACACACATCCAAACATATACATACACACTCATCTAAACAAATATACAACATTATATATATATATATATATATATATATATATATATATATATATACACACACACATAAATTAAAAGGTGAAAGGTAAAAAACACACATCCATCCATACATACATTTAACATATAAAACTAGATGGGTAGAATTAAACTAATTTGTACTTAAAAAACTACTGAGGAAGAAAACGTTAATAATATTAAAAACCCACAGAGTGATTAACACATATATATCTCTTAAGTCTACATATATACGTAGGTATATCAAATATAAAAATATCAGAAAACTATCAGATTTTGTATATCAGTTATTTAGGAAAACTTTTTACCTATATACCCACATACCAACAGATGAATAAAGTTTACTAGCACAAATTAAATGATCAAAAAAATATATAGAGCACCACATAAACACAGACAATGATATATATAAATAATCATAAGAGTCATTCCATTTCAATGTCATGTCTGATGTTAGTGATCCAAGATAGAACTGTTATAGGTAACAACACATTATAAAACCATGTTTATGTTTTAAAGCGTTTTTTTATGTCTACATTTGGAAAGGATCTCACTAGGAAGATTGAGCAACTCATCTTGATTTTTTATCTTTAATAATAAAAATTTTTTCCACAATGCATAGATCACACCAATCGCGGAAGTTATTAGGGGTTCTCGCTCTAGATAAGAATCTCTATTCGAAATGTGGGGTTAGTCCTTTATCCACCAGATCCCAGTAGTGTTTGGATAAGGAAGTTTGATTTTTAAGGTATCGATATTTAAAAGAGCGTCTATGGTTGCATAGACGCTGCTTCCAATTACCAGCGGATATACCTATATATCTTTTTTTCTGGTTGATATTTTCTCCGGGGAAGATTGTTGCTTTATATTATATTTTCCGATTTCTGTTTGAATTTGTATGTCTGATGAATTGAATTGTGATTACGATTCCAATGTAATAAATTATAACCATGGAATATTAGTGTTTGAGCCTTTTTTATTATATTATTACTCTGTTCAGGACATTGAGTTCTACCTGGATTCTATCCTCTTGGAAATTTATTTATATATATATATATATATATATATATATATATAGAGAGAGAGAGAGAATGTTAATTTAAAAGTACTTTTGAGAGGGAAATATTCTTTGTGTTATCTCATGATGAATAGTTGACTCTGTCAACCTGTCACAGAAGGTGTCTCAAGAAGTAATGAAGGGCTTAAGGAATATCCTGCTAATGATCATTAAAGAGTTAATATTTATTTTACTTACTAATTTGTGTACGTCATATGACCAAACTTCACCAGTCTCTACCTCAACTGGTTGCAGCTTGACATCAAATAACTGCTTAAACAAGTTGTTCAACCCTTCCATACAGCATCCCAATGAAAAATAAGGGGATAAATCTGAGTTGTTAATGTTACATCTGAAACCCGAAGAAAAAATAATTTTTAAATTAGAAAAATGACAGCATTAAAAACACAATAAAGAAAACTTCAGATATAAAGAGAGAAAATGAATAAAACTATTTTTGATAAGTCATTCTGATTACAACTGAATAATTTTCACATAGGAAAATTTTCTACCATCCAACTGCATAGTAAATATTTAAACATACCAAAATTGTTTGGTAAAAGTTTGTTACTGGTTTGTAAACTGACTTTATGATGTAGTAAAAAATACCAAAGGGAAGTAACAAATAACACTGATTTATGTGGCATTGCTGCTGCTACAGTATTAAAGAACAAGCAAAAGCAAACTTGACCACTGAAAACTATATATATATATTAGGTAGTATATCTTCATTCAGGCATGTCTCAGTAAATAATATAGATATTTTATGTCTATTTATTGTATAATAATCCTTTCTAGTTTTCTATTAACTTCTTCATGTGAAGTTAAAATTCATCAGGGAAGGTTCTGTATTTTTCGTTAACCCAAGAACTTTTGATCTCCTTTGAAATCATCCTCAGGGTGAATTGCGAAGACAAACTTAATGTAACTGTAATCATTGTGATAGTGTTGGTTGGTTAATTTTGATATAGAGGGCCTTGAAAATTTGAAGTTTTTGTCTATTATTTTCATGTAGTATATTAGTGTTGTCAACAAGTATTGCGAAGGTAGACAGGAATGTATCTTTAAATGTTGTGCAATAGAACTCTTATCCGACAAATGAAGTGTAAGACATCTTGATAATGTTGTGGTTTTCAAAAGCAACCAACCAACACTGAAAAAAATTTACTATGCATATAGTAGCAATGTTTTAAAATGTATTTGTGTTGGCTGACATTTAACACCATTTTGAAATTTACCAAGTTGCAGTATTACCATCTCTGGTTATTGCCCTTTGATTAGGAATGCTTGTTTCCAAAACATTCTAACCAGAATGGTTAATTTAAAAGTAATTATAGCAAAGCGTGTTTGCACAATCATTATCACAACGATTACAGTTACATTAAGTTTGTCTTTGCAATTCACCCCTGAGGATGATCTTGGAGGAGATTAAATATACTTGGGTTAACAAAAAATACAGCGCCTTCCTTGATGGAATTTCATTTTAACATCAAGAAGATAATTATATAACCCACTCCCCTGTGTTGCATTGGTCTTCAGGTTCCTTCAGATCACCATGGTTACCATCTAGTTGACTCCTCACTCATTAATGTATTGCTGATTTGTCGCTGGTATTGTGTTGATGAGCATGATTTCACTTGGTCTAGTTGGTGTTTATCTCTTTCACGATTCTTCACTTTTCTACCACATTGTGTTTTTGATCTCAGATGGTGAGAAAATCACTGATGAAGTAAACAGAAGTGAAGGACAGGTTGACGGCAAGGAGTTACACAAAAAAGAATTCTATGGAATAAAGAATTAACTCTGCCAGAAGCATCAAAAAATGGCTGTATAGATTTATTTTATAGAGAAATCAAATCTCCAGAAAAAGATAAAAAAATATTTAATTCTCTTTTCTTTCAGATCACATGGGATGCTTCTTCTAATCATTATCTTCAAATGAAAAATTATTATTCAAATCAGTGTCCTGTTTTAAGCCTGAACAAAACATGTTTTTCATCAATCTCAAACCACCTGAAATTGCTTCATAAAATCGACTCTTTGATCAGACAGTGGTTATTTTCGGCATAGTTTTAATATCCACTTAGAAATCTACATCTGTTGTCAATATCCTTTACAATTATTTTATGAAGATATCAAATCTCCAGAAAAAAAATAAAAGAAAAATATTTAATTCTCTTTTCTTTCAGGCCACATGCAATGCTTCCTCAAATCATTATCTTCAAGTGAAAAATTGTTATCCAAATCAGTGTCCTTTTTAAGCCTAAACGAAACAGATGTTTTTCATAAATCTCAACCAGTGGGTTTAAGTGTGTCCAGTCCGGAACACTTCAGTCAAGATTTAAATGTTATCTCAACCTGAGATAAGTGCTTTCTGAGTCAGCCCATCTGTCTGTCTGTTTCCTTTTTTTTTATTTATTAAACCCTGAGGTCCCAGTGTCACAATTAGAGGATTATTATAAAAATAGAATATGTCTATATTATTTCATGCAACATGCTTGAATATATATATATATATATATATATATATATATATATATATATATATATATAAATAAAAGATGTCCTTTGTACTTACATGAGAAACAATATATTACTAGGTTTATATAAAAAATAAAAGTTTACTAAATCAGTGAAATTAAGTAGCTATTTTTGCTGTCATTGTCATAAATTTTACTTAAATAATATTTAAATATAAAAAAAATTTGTGACCTAATAATATACATACTTGATGTGAAAATAATTCTACATACTGTAAGGGATTCTAATATATTTAATTGTTCTTAAAAGAAATATAGTATATTAAAAATTAAAAATTAAAAGTGAAAATATTTCAAATTGTAGTTAAATAAAATGTATTCTAACCTAAACACCCCCGCAAAAATCTTTAAATATACAAATAGAAAAAAAATGCCGTAAGAATTTTTGCCATTAACAATAAAATTTTAAAAAATCCAGACGACAAGCATATAACAGATGTTAGATTTCATTGAAAAATACATCCTTAGCCTCTACCAAAATGTAACTAATAACTGACACATCAAAATACAGACATAATGAACACGCAGACACCCCTTGTCTAGTGGAAGTGGATTTATCTGTGAACTTGGAAACGTAAATTATGATTTTAGCTGTTTTAAAAACCCAGTAATTTTAAAAGTTATTCCAAAATTCGCTTGAGATGAAATGGAACTAATGTCTTTAATTTAATTAAAAAATTAAATTCGGAGCTTTTAGCTTCCATTTCATTTTGAAACATGGTTAGAACTGTGTAGTGAAAAAAAAAACATATTTTAAATCAATTAATTTATAATATATATATATATATATATATAAAATTTAGTTTTAATGGTTAAGTTTAGCATTACGAGTGTTGACAAAAAATGAAACAATTTTTGTTTGTAATTATAAAATTAAAAAGAATATACACTAATAGCAACGAGCAAAAATTCAGTGAATATTTTTTTGCTGTTCTTGGTCTTCCCTTATCTGATTTATACATCCCAAAAAATATTATTTTGTCTGAAGAACTATTTGAATGTTAATGACCCTTATCAAAACTATATATCAAAATATTCCTTGTTTATGGTGAGATTTCTATCTTATTCAGGAATGTGACCCAGTTATTCCCATTTAGCCTCCTATTTTTTTTTTTTTTTTTTATACAGGTTATTTGCATATCTTTTTTAATACTCAAAATCCTATACTGTCTACCATTTTCTGTTCAGTTGCTCATCGTTCACCAGTGGGCAATATTGCGCAGGTTGAGTAACAATTTTCTTTTTAGGAAAAAAAAATAAAAAAAATAAAAAGAAATAATTCACTATTTGAAAAATGATGTTCTATAAATTACAAATTGAAGGCCTTGTACACATATAATCTATGCTTACCAAATTCATATAAATTACTAATTCACTTCTTTAAATTTGCAAGTAATGTGTGTCATATTTTCAGTCTTTCTAAATACAACCCTCTTCTTCTCAAATACATTGTCTTTTGTCAGAGTTTACACTACTACATGAATGGTTCTAATAGGATGGAAAAAAAGCTACTATTCAATGGTAATGCCAAACTTTTACTCAGGCTGAAATATGCCAATGATACTTTCTTTTGGTACTTTAGCTACAAAGAACAGGAAATTGTGGAGAGCCATGATCACCTGATACCTGAAGGGACATGGCACATAAAGAAGATAACTCCTTTTGTATTTAAACTGAATATAATTTCTAATAAAGCTACAAATGATTTAGATTTGAAATCTGATCATCTTGCCATCAGCAAAACAAGTACTAAACTGAACTAGTATAAACAAAATATGTAATGACTGGTAATACAAAGAGAAAATAATCTGTAATCTCTATAAACTGGATTCTGTAATGCTCAATGGTGATCAGTAAATAAGTATTAGTTTTAACAATATTGATAAAGTCGTATGATGAAACATGTCAGCAAGGACTAAGAACTATTTTTCAATCACAAGTAAATATAAAAAAACATCTTGTAAACAATAAAATTGGTATAATTTACCTTTCTTGGCGCCCAAGAGCTGCATAAAAAGGTGGATCCCATGGTTTCACAGAATACTGAAACAAAAATGAGGAAAAAATAAATAAAGGTGTTAATTTTTCCAGAGGAATTTAATTTCTCAGTATATGGCCACTAATTTTTATCTTTCTAAATTACTTGATTTCCATCAAATGTTTGAACTGTAGGATGAGTAAAATCACTGATTTATTTCTTAATATTAAGCACTTTATTTACAAAATCTTCTCACCTTAAATGTGTTATCCACTAGTAATTTTCTGGTTGACAGGCTTTGTTAGGCACAATCAGTCTTTATTATTACTTATTAATTATTATATATATGTAAAAGTAGATGCTGAGGTCAATAAGTGGTGACAGTCTGTTTCATGCTTCAAAACAATCTTCGGGCTTAAATATGTTCTATCTCTGATATTCAACACTTTTACCAATAAACATGGCATAACTTAAAACTATATTTTTAACATTTTATTTATATATATATACATATATATATGTGTGTGTGTGTGTGTATGTAGTGAGATAGATAAATTGTCATCTAAATTACACAAAAATGAAAATAACATTGACATCTCATTTTAACAGATATATTTACCAAAATTACACAAAAATATCTTGAAATACTAAAGAGTAAATTTATTCAATAAAATTGCCATTGGCTTCAACCACAACCTCCAGACAATTTTGAAATCTCCTGCAACTCTTCTGGATGGTCTCCTTGTTTAAGTTGGTGAATGCTGCCATAATCCTTACCTTCAGTTGATCTTTGGCGTTACAAGGAGTTTTGTTGGTCTCTCACTCAACTGCACCCCACACATAATAATCAAGGGAGTTAGAGTCTGGTGTGTTAGGTGGCCAGATATAAGTGGTGATGTGATCACAGAAATTTTCTGGCAGCCATGACTGGGTTCTCCTGCTTGCATGGCATGGTGCAGAGTCCTATTGTCAGATATAGGGCCTTCCAGCAGCCACCCTTTTGACACAGAGCAGAACTACCTCCTCAAGGAACTTCAGGTAGGTCTCTGTGAAGTCCGAGGTCCTGTGGGAAGATGAATAAAGGCATAATGTTGCCATCATAGTGACCACTTCAAACACCTTCATAATCACCATTAGACTCATCCAACACTTTGCAAATCTTCTTCACTATCCTCAGATTGACACCCAAACACTCTGAAATGTTTGTATTGGAGCTTCCAGTGCAAATGCCAAGTAGTACAACATACCATTCCAAAATTCCTGTTGGAATGTTGTCATGTATCATGGTGCTCTTTTTCTCACAGACGATGGCAAATTGACTATTATATTTTGCAGTCAACAAAATCAAAAACAAACAATGCACAAAATTAAAAATATAAAATGGCGACAATTTATCCATCACACCCTATATTCATATATATATATATATATATATATATATATATATATGCAGTGGTATTAGTCTTTACATGAGATAGAAGGAAATTTTTAAGAGGAAAAAATAAATGTATAAAGAGTTTTATTTTTTCATTCAATAGGTGATTGTTTTGTACACAAATATACTGCAATAAATTTGAGAGAGAATTTTTATTCTCAGTCATCTGAAACATATCCAAAAAGGATAAAGTCTGTTGGTCCTTAATAGCATGATCGAGAAAGTTCAAGTTTTCTCTTTATAGTTTTCAGTAGATTTGTTGCACCTCCATAAACCTAAAAGATATTTTCCCATGCACAGATGGATGTAGCCAGGATTAAATAATTAGTTAGTTTAGACATTTAGATGCCATAACGTAAAAGCCAGCAAATCAGAATTAAGGATACAATGTTGGTCACTCAAACATAACATCAAGAATCAAAGATTGTTTTCAGGTTAAGTCTATCTTTACTGATATAAGCCGAGGAGAATCAGCATTTAAACAGATAGTGGTATAGCGACAAAGGAGAAGCAACCACATCGACATCTCAACACATTGGCATTGTAAAGTTCCATTCACTATTGCTAGATGAGGAATTTGACATGAGAACTAATGCTCTGCCAATAGCTAATTGGATTTATTTCTAAGTACAAGATTTGCATATTATAACTCAAGGGTCGGCAACCTACGGCCCGCGGGCCGGATCTGGCCTGCAAAAGGCATTTTGACCGGCCCGCGAGCCTGATTACCAATGACTATTTTTAACATGAGAGACGAGGCTTTCAAATTAGACTATCTGCCAGTTATCTTTCATGAGACTTATTTTACCAAGTTTGCTGTTTACGTTTAATGTCAAATAATGGATACATATTTGTTATGACCCTTGGCTACATTAAAAGATAACAGAAGCGAAAGGAACGATAAAGTGAAAGAGGCCAGGGAGGGACTGACATGCGAGGTAGAAATCTAAAGACAGTTAAACATACGCGCATTATACATACATGCCTCATGAATGTGTGGATGATACCGCATGTGTATGTACGTAAGTGTATATGTTTGCAACTATTTGTACTTGTATGTATGGGTATATGTGCTTCGTTTTTGTTTGGTGTGTGTGTGTGGTTCGTTTGTGGAATAATTTTCAATAACAGTTTTAAACCTACATGTCATAATTTCATCCATTTTACTTTGGTTGATTTTTTTCACTTTGAAGTATTTTGACATTCCTTGAGGAAAAGTAATTTTTGTTAGGTGTTTTTTAATTTTAGATTGTCTTTTGTTTTTCTGATTTCTCAATGTTTATTTTCATCATGGTTTTAAACATTTAGGTTGACAGGGGTCTGCATATGTAATTTTCCTTAATTTTTCCTTAATGGCCTTCGTCCAGCCTGCGACCTGTCATTATAACACGATCCGGCCCGCGGGGCTGAATGAGTCGCCGACCCCTGTTATAACCAAATACACTCATGAAAAGCTTAAACGTATGCTTTATGACCAGTGTTTGTCGGTCCCACAATGAACTAATTACTCTTACAGAGGCTCATCTTTTTTTCTTTTCCAATGTGCCAGTGTTCCATCCAATAAATAGTTGTTATTGTTTGCTCTATAAATTCTTGTTTGTGTTTAGTAATGTTTCTATAGTTAGAGCCATCACACCTTCTATAGATTTCTTACAATGAGGGTTAAAGAAAAGAAATATATAATGGAATCACAGATGCTGGAAAAAAACAAAAGTGACAATAGAATTTTCTTCCTAAGAAAAATACAGATATAATGGAATATACATACACCTGTGTTCCCCCTCACTGGAATATGATTGGCTAGTGTCCGTCATAAATACAGACGGATGTGTAGGTACGACAGAGTTTAAGTCTATGACGATGCCCATTGGACTACACCATTGGCTATCCTATTAGTTTATACCTATTACCTGTGACTATGACGAGTACCAGTCGATTACTGCTACCGTGTACTACTTGGTTACAGTAGCCAAACCCACTTAGCTACTTCAATTAAATATATCCCTTTCTGGGACATATCAAATACAAACATTAAATCGTTATCTGTCATTATCTTGATTTATTTTTAAAATCGAATTCCCCCCCAAGCAAGGTCATAAAGCCACTAAGAGGTTACTGGGTGTAAAAGAATTAGAAAACAGAAACATTATTAAAGATTGAGAACAATAGTAGAGTGATCAGGAAGATCGTAAATAATGATTGAAGATCAAAGTTAGCTGGAATACATGAAGCCAAAAGAGTGTTCCACAAGCAAGAAAAGAAACTGCTAGCATCAAACTTATGGTTATATCTACCCGCCAGACACACACTGTGCTTAAATTCATAAAGTCTAGGTATCATAGCAAAGAGCTCATCTGAACAATTATCATGAAAGTATTTATAGAAAAGGCACAGGGAAGCAAGTTTACAGTGATGGGAAAATGACTGAAGCTGAGACTTAGCGTCTCGCTAAGTCCAGACTAATAATATTGCTGATTATTCTTTGGATTTTATCAAGAATCACTCTTCTATTGTTCTCACTCCTAAATAATGCTTTTTTTCTTATTCTTTCACATTCTGTAAGCTCTTGTGTCTTAGTGGCTTTGATGCCTTGCATGGGGTGAAATGATTAAAAAAAATCTTTTCTGTTTCCCCATCTATAGCTATTGAATACATATGAATAAAGCTAGAATAAAAATACTTACAGATTGGGGATGAGATGAATGTCTCATTTTCTGTTTGAGTATTTCAGCATAATCATCGTCAGCTCTGAAAGAAAATACATAATATTGTCAATAAAAATCTACAAAAAGTATGTTCAGATCAATTAATCATCAGCATTATTCATATTTCTTGCTTTGTTTTCATAACTGTCATTAAATAAGTAATTCAATGGTATATACAAAAAGTTTATTAACTTTCAAAATAAATTTTTAGGGGCATTACAAAAAATATTATCTCAAGATAAAGCTAAAAAATACATTTTTTAACAATTGAAAATAAATAAAATAAGAGAAGCTGGAAATTAGTTTTTAAGGTTTTGGATAAATATATTTTGGATAAAATTTAGCAGATAAATATACAAAACATTTTATTAGGAAATAGTGAGACATTTTTAAATTGTCCTGTCAATTCATCAGTGTTTCTCAACTGGTGTGCCCAGGTGCACTAATGCACCCTGAAAGGTACTAAGGTGCACCCCAAGTTAATAGAAGGGTAATTTATGAATATGTTGTAGAGTGGTTTTACAGTGGAGGCTTGTATTTGTACTAAGTCGGTCCTAAAATAGGTTCGATGTACAAAACGTTAGGAACTTGATATAATAGGTAATGACGTAGAGAAATCTAGTGGTGGTCGCTGATACTTTTAGTATCCGAGTAACAGTCATCCGACATCGACTGACTAACTCACTGAGCGACTATTACTACTCCTACTTATTATAGGAGCGAGAGTCTATTAACTATAGAATAGGTGTGCTCCACTATAACAGAATAATATTTATATTTAAAATTCTTTATTTTTAAAAAGCTGGAGACACCAAGCACATGGCTTCCATGTTTTTGTCATTTGATATTTTAAACTGGATTCTAAATTCCTTAATCTTTAAGAAGTGGATAATCCTTTCCTTTTTGCCTCCCTCAAAGGATATAAATCAGTCATTAAAAAAAAAAAGCAGATTCTTCATAAATCCATTTAAATGAAAACTGTACTGATAATCTTCTTTGAGAATTCTAAGCCAAACTTTCCTGACTAAGTTTTCATTATAAAAATTTAAAGTGTGCCCCAGAGTTTTAGTTATTCTACAAGTGCACCGTGAAGTAAAAAAGGTAGAGAAATACTGCTATACACAATTGTAACAATTTTGATATGAGGGCATGGTGAAAAGTTCTTGGCCTTACCCATTACTCAATTCAAAGTATGACCAAACATCAGATTTATTTTTTTATGGTCAGTCCAACAGATTTTCAGCACCTCCTCAAATATTGGTTTCAGTAACTTGAAGTAACAAAAAAAAAATATATATATATATATATATATATATACTTACTTCTTCATAACCATTTCAGCAAGAGTATCTAAAAAATTCATCACGTTTTCTGGAAAAGATAAAGATAAATCCTTAGAGAATTAAAATCTTTTTGTAATTTAAAAAAAAAAATAATTTTCACCAAATACAAGGCCTAAGAGCCACTTAAAGTAGAGGGTTACTCTGTGATGTTGTATGAGCATAAGATAAGGTAAGAAATGAAGTTAATGATGTTATGTAAGAAAGATAACAGTTAACCCTAGACTTGGAAAGGTCAAGATTGTAGTGATTGGGAAAACATACTGTCAGGATTTTATTGTACAAAGAAGCTGTCTGAGTGGATCTTACTTCTTATTCATGAAATACAAAGGAAATGAGGATGATCCTCTTGGTGTCTTTGGCAGGGCATGTCCCAGCTGCAAAAGATCAGGTCAGTGGAACAAAGCTTGTCAGAACACTTGCCATGGAAATATCAATAGAAAATTGCAATGTTTCATCCATGCGAAAGGTGTTGTAGAGAGGAAAATAATTCATCACTCACAAGGCTGCATAGACATTTTCAAACTCTATCAAGACAGCCAAGTAAGGACTGTGTAGTCCCAGCCCAGATATGGCAACAATACTCCATTTTCGGTTTGATCTGGCTGTTGTAAACAGAGTATATCAGGGAGAGTCAGATACTTACTGGAGTGGTACAAGGAACTGAACATTTTCCAGCACCTTTAGCAATATATATATATATATATATTCAAGGCAAGGAACCACTTTGATTGATTTGTTTCCTAAGGTTTATCAACCCTTTGCAACTTATTTAAAGCCAGAAAATATTTTTAGATTGTAAGAATAGTATGGAAATAATAATGATTTACTAATACAAGTTCTACTAATTAACTCATAGCTGGGGTGAGAAGAGGTGGATTCATACACTTCCCAAGAGTATTTGTGTCTAAGTGAATGTAACAAACCTGACTGGGTTGGAGATCACTCTTACCTGGGTTTTCTGCCAGAGTCCCTCTTAGTGACCGATGAGCAAATGTTGGAAATCCTACAAGTTGTGCTACAGCAAATCGAGCATGAAGTAAAGCATCCAATAATTCACTTTGATGTGAATTGTGCTGAAGAAATATTTTATAAGCAGCTTCACGTATCTAAATAAATGAAAAAAGTCATCCAATAATTATAAATAAATCCAAAAGATATAGTCCAAAAAAATATATTTAATTAACACAATATCTCATATATTAAATAAATTCTTACATTATTTTAATTTTATATGAGCGCCTTAACTTTTTTTTACAACCTTCATCAGACTTTTATGCATTGATTTTATTAACTTTTCTATTTATTCAATGTTAACATTACTTGCAGCCATTTTTAAATTATTCAAAGAGACCTTTGCTTGAATATTGTTTTACATTGACATGTACATATTTTTTTTAAGCTTCTTTAATATAACTTGTGCCACACTTGAAAAATGTCTTGTTAAAAAAACTTATAATTATTAGTATTTATCTTGATATCATCAACTTTGAAGGAGCCTATAGTTTTATCCTCATCAAAGCTGTTTCGACTTGAAGGTACACTGCTCATTTTTCATCTTTGCTCATTTAAAAGCATGCCTGTCAGCTCGAGGCCATTTGTGTTTCTTTAACACCCACAGTCAACCTGTGGTTTATACTACAACTATGTTTAGTGGACATTAGTTACAGTTTAAGTATGTGCCTTTTTCTTATACTGGTTGCTGACAGTGGCAAGAGAGACCAGTCTGCCCTGCTATGTAACCTGTGGCTGGCAGGGAGAAGAGATGGATTCATACCTTTCCCAAGGCTATTTGTGCAAAAATGAATGTAACTATCTCAACTGGCACTCAAACGCAGCTCGCCAATTACTTGTTCCAAGTCCTTAAATATTATATCATCTGTAAATCCAGTATAATTTCACTACCTGAAATATGAAACTAAAACATTATTTCAATGTTGTATTTTAAGTCATGTTGGATGACAATTTCCACGAACAAGTCAATCTCAAGCCCAGTCATCAGTTCCACATTCAGTTGAAAAATCGGTTTTCATTTATTTCTTTGCTCAATTTGCATGTTTCCATTTGTGATATTTACTTAGAGGTGTTAGTTTGGTTCCTTTCATGTCTTTAGGCAATCTTTTTAATATCCTGCATCTTTTCTTTTTGTTCACAACATCAGCTTCTAGAAATATTTTTTGGGCCGGGGTGGTCTCAATCTTTTTGCTTATTACCCTTTTTTAAATTTTCTCAAATTTCCTTTGTAGCATTCTTAAAGCCAGTCATCATCACTGATCAAAACCCAAATTTTGACTTATTGTAAGGAACAGATGTTCCTTCAGGGGGAGACTGTGCTTTGAGCATCTATTGGGACTTAAGTTCAACCCTGGCCTCAAGTGGAACTTATGCAATCAGTCACTGAAGAGGCTGGAAAAATGGTCAGTTCCCATTACTGCTGCAGTACTCTACCTTCACAAGGGCCAGATGAGGCTGAAAATGGAGTACTGCCTAGTTTTCACTTTCCAGTCATGATAGAGTCCAAAAGCATCTCTGCAGCCTCTTACCCACAGATGAAATGTTAAGGTATCTCACTGCTTTATTGCTATTTCCATAAAAAGTGTTCAGACAAACTACATTCCTTAATTCCAACCGTTCTAACCTTCACGTCTAAGACCCACCATACCCTGAACATTGTATCAAATCACCCTCAATCCCTTCATTGGTGAGATGCAAGTTCCACTCAAGCAGATTCTTCTCATGAACTACTGCTTTGTGGAACTGACTCCCAAGAGGATGCTTCCCTGGTCACTACAATCTTAACCTGTTCAAGTCTAGGGTTAACCATTATCTTCCCTACAAATCTCTATAAAATGTGCCTCTTACTCTGTAACCCTCTACCTCAAGTGGATCATGAGCCTTGTACATTATTATAAAAAAAATCTTGTCAATGATTTTTATTTCTTTTTTGATGGTTAAGATACCCACCATCTTTACAAGATGAAACAAACTAAAACCCATGCATTTTTCATGCTATGAAAAATTAAATAAAATTATCAGAAGCTTTTTACAATATTATAAAATTTAATGAACAGCTTACATTAAAGAAGCATAAGTCAATAGAAAACTTCAACAATTTTCATATTTATCAATAAGAAATAAAAAGAAAAAACATACCAAGTCACTATAGTGATCTGAAAATAGACCCGTTACCATCACACTGTCTCCATGCAAGTTGAAGCTATAAAACATAAAAAAAAAATTAAAAATCAGAAAATATTAGGTTGAATCAAAAGTAATTACAGTGGTTGGGAACCAATTGCAAAGACTAAAATGAATTCTTCTAGCTAACTGTTCCTTAAATATATCATAACAGGTGAGGTTGGTTGGTTCGGTTTTATAGCATATCAACCACTGTAGGTCATTTAATGCCAAATTAAGTTTATATATATATATATATATATATATATATATATATATTAGACAAGTGTTGTCTTAAGTGTTGTGTAAATTTTTTCCTTAACGTCTGATAAGTTTAATAACATTATCGTTGAACGAAGAAAGAAATTCACAATATTGATCCATATTTTTTTTAATACAATCTAAGCTTTCGGCTTACATAAGCCATTATCAAAGATGTCAATTATATATATATATATATATATATATATATTAAATATATAGTACTATTAAACGTATACCTGGCAACATTACTCCTTCAGAAACGTATAGCTGACAACATTATTTTTCCAAAAACGTATAGCTGGCAACATTATTTTTCCAAAAACATTATCTGAGGCCTTGCTGTTGGATGTAGTTTATCGTCATACTCAGGACACAGATGTAATTTATCGCCATACCCAGGACGCAGATGTAGTTTATCGCCATACCCAGGACGTGGGTAAGATCTGGAAAAAACTAGTAGTTCACTATTTGCCCATAGCTGGGACCCTAACAGGTGCTACCACCCCAGGCCAGCAATTAAGAGGTGATAACAAGTGAGGAAATATGGGTTATATACAACAGTGTTTAATGCAAAAAGCAGTGAACTAACAAGGATAAATCTCGACAACCAACCCTTAAAGCTGAGCTCCATGAAAGAAAGGTAATATTAGTAAATTTAGTACAAGTCAAACTAAACCATTCACTTCTTATTGCACTGAAAATATATATTATTTGATTGTGAATGTTGAACTTAAGTTATCTTCATTTATATAAGCCTGTTTGTAGTCTGGCTAGGAAGATGGCACTAACAGTTAATTTATATAGCTGTGTTGTTGTTGAGTGGTTGGCCAATCAGGGATAACCTCATCACTATATGTTGGCTGTTTTATGTGAAAAGGTGCAAATACTGGTTGCATTACAGAGTTCCATGCTAAAATTACATGTTGCTTGAATTATAAAAAAAGAAAAAAAAAATAGAATGAAAGTGGGTAAAGGAAGAAGATATGCTCTATTTACCAATGTCGTAGATTTTCTGGAAGTTGATTTTTGGATATTGGTGCTGGCTTTTGACATCCCTGAGCAAAATAAGTGCCCAACATTAAGATGCTTTCATTCAACTGGACAAACTGCTTTCTCTAAACAAAAAAAAAAAAAAAACAAAAAAAAAAACATTTGTTTTGTTTATTCAAAAGACAAAGTGTTAGAAAACATGAAGAAACTGCTTCAGTTAAAAATCATAGTTTTGACAAAATCCTCTTAGCTTCTAGCCTATAGTAGCTCTCTTATATGGGCATGTGGCTGAGTGGTTTCTTTCCAATCATGAAGCCCAGGTTCAAATCTCACCATGGTCGATTTATCAAGGTGATTTCTTAATGTTATCAGTCTGGGGAGGTGATCTCAGCATGCAGCACCTTTGGAAAGTGCCTGAAAACAATACCAAGCTTTAAGTGAAATTGGGTAGACAGAACTATTTCTGAGACATCAATGCTTCTTCTAGCAAGAAGTCACAAGTCATCATGACTAAGGGTTTGAGCGTACTAGCCTTGTTCAAACGGTTGACCACACCAAATAATGTGCTCTTTCCCAGGAATCCTAACTAAGGTCCGCTCAGAATAGTTGTAGTATAAACCCCAAGTGGGCTCTGTGGGTGTTGAACAAACACAAATGTGTCTAAGCATGCATCTGCAACAGAGATTGGTTAGCTGCCCTAGTAGATAGCTATACACAGATACAAGCAGCCAGCCACTACTAGTTTTCTTGTAACAAAATTTCTTGTAACTTCACTTATAAAATAATTTTATTTTAATCATTTTACCCCAAGCAAGGTGATAATGCCACTAAGACACAAAAGAGTGAAAGATAAAAAAGACTTTAGGAGAAGGGTCCAATCCTAAACAATTTTAGTCATTTACCTCACATCCCTATTGAGTGAGAATGTGACGTAAGTATTTTTTTTTTTTAAATATGAGGTGGGGGCATATCATACAAAGACAAAAACTGCCCAGACCCTGCAATCACTGTCACACTGACATTGATATAACACTGACTCCACTGATCTTACTGCAATGAGGAAAGTGCTGTTGCAGGGTTGGAATCTACAAGACGGAGTGCCTTCTCCCATCTTAAATGAGAGAACAGATACTACTCTTTGATTCCAGCTAAAAGATCAAGGCCATGAAAACAATAAAAGCTAGGATTTAAAAATAAGCATGCCATCATCCCTTGAAAGACTGTGTTGCACCAATAACCTTATCTCTGCTTTTTCTGGTGCCAGATGGGACTGATAATATATTTGTATTAATGAGCTGTGGACTAAAAATCAAAGCTGACTAAATGAAGAAACACATTTCAGTTATAATTTTTATAAGGTCCAGCAATTGAAGAGAACTTAAGGGCCTTGGGAATTAAAAATTATATTATTAAGTTGTTTATTAATTTTTATATAGAAAGTATGAATAAAAATCTTTAGGGACACACACAAAGCCTCAGATTATTAGTACATAACTGGAGATTTTTTTTAAGGGAGTAAAAGACAATGAGAAAACTTTAGAAAGAACTGGAAACCCAATCCTAAACAGATTTAGTTTAAATCTACTTTTCTATCTTAATCCCTAATGTACAATAATACAATTCTATAAAAATTAGGTGCAAAATATTAGACTGTCTCATTTTTTGGTAATATTTATAATTTTTGTTTTAGTTGTATCTGTAATTTTAAGTTGAAATATTGTGAATAAAACCAATTAAAGATGAGGATAGTTGTTCTAAAATCTACATTTTGGTGAATACTTGCTCTTTATTTACTTATCACAGAATAGAAAACAGTGAAAGAAAAAAGACATTTTATATTGTAATCCAACAAATATTATTGAATTGTCTAATCTTAAATTAAAAGTAACAAAATATAATTATCAAAACTTAATTATGTTTTTGAAGAAAGTATGCGGCTGTATAGGGGAGACAACTCCTTATTGACTTTATAAAATCTGTACAATTCCATTTACTTACTTTTCAACCAGAATGGACTGAACAAGATTGAGAACCCGACATAATCTGGTTACTCCCCAATGAGAATAAATTCAGCCAGAATTAAAAGGTGAACAGGAGAAATGACAGGTGGCTCAGCACAAACTGCATGTTCATATCATATAAAAACATTCATGGCATGTTTAATGGATAAAGTAGTTGCAGTTCTACTAGTCAGTATATATGACATCCCTACTAAGGCAGAATGTGACATATCATCATCCCCTTGACTTTTGTAATCTGAATGCAGAATCTGCACTAAATCTCCTCCACAATAGTCTAAAATGGTAGTCATCGGCAATTCTGGTATAGTCATATCTATCCATTATATGATGTAGTCTAACCAGTTTTTACATTGATGTCCTTTCCTACATCTACCTACCAGTGCCTTGCATGATGGTCTTGCACAGGCTGTCGTACCTTGTAATGTGTCCAAACCACGCCATTTTTCTCCGTTTGACAGTGGTAAGAAGAGATTCCTGGTGGCCCATAAAAATTTCAACCCTTTTCCGCACAAACTCATTGGTTTTATGTTCCCAATAGAAAATGCCAAGGAGTTTTCTCATGCATTTCTTCTCAAACGCTTGGATCCTTCTCTCCATTTCTGCCAACTGATGTGACAAGGTTTGTTTTTTGAAAATATGAGGGATAGGGAGGTATATGCATATATATATGCCAAAGACAAAAATATTTGTATACAACTGGATATGAATCCATTTTTAGAAAAATTGTTTGATCGATTGAGTCATTCATTTTCTATGGCTTATCAATCTTTTTTGGTGGTTATTTAGAAATTAGATTGTAAGAATTTTTTTTTATTTTGAGCTAATAACAGTTTACTGATACAAGTCTTTAATTAATCCATAGCTAAGGGTAGAAGAGATGGATTCATAGCTTTCCCAAGGGTATTTGCACATAAGTGAATATAATGAACCCAATGCAAATTGGAATTCAGCTCACCGGTCAACAATTCTGAGCTGTTATCCATACACCACCCACACACGCAAGTTTACAGCACCTGGTATTTCCAAGAAGTAACCCATCTTGGTACTAACCAAGCTTGACATTGCTTAACTTCAGTGACTCTACAGAAATCAGTGTTTCAATTTGATGTGACTGTAAACCCTTTGAAAAATTGTGTCATTCAATGAACAAAATAACCCTTAAAGAAGATGCAGACATCACTTTCAGTAGCAATAAAAGAGCAAATAGGGATTCACTTGAATCTAAATAGTATCACTGGAGAGCAGGTCTTAGTCATTGAAGTATGCAGAGGATAAAATAAAGATAAGGTGTGATTTTCAAAAAGAGGACATTACACCATTAATGTCTTTTGATGGTGAATGTCTTAAAGAATGTCAAATGAAAATCTGTGTAAGCCTGGAATGTGATATTTTTGCTTGTATGTTTACATTTTGATGGAGACAAATTACTACACTCAGAATAGAACAGCAATTAAGACATTCATTAAAGAAAAGTTTTTGAATTAAGGATTTATTATTTTTTGAAGAAAAAAAACAATGGCATGGTACTTGTAGAATGAGCAGCCATTGTTAAATGTAAAATAAATGACAAAACTGTGTCCTGATTTTTAGACAAGACAGACTTGGACCGAGTCAGATGAAACTGAGAACCAGCCTATTTTATTTGGAAAAAATCCCAGCATGCATATGTGTGCTTCTGCCTATAAATTAGGGAAGGGTGTCATTCCTATTCAGATTGAAACCAACACTTCTACTTTCTAACAGTCAATAAATAATAAAAAAATAAGATTCATATTATGTTTATAGTGAACATCATTATTAACAATGAAAATAAATCAGTTAAGGAATGTTTGATATAGAACCTTTTATTATTTATTTGATACAGAATCAGTTTACTTTTTTCTTTTTCTTTTTTAACCATTTCATCTCAAGGAAGGCAATAAAGCCACTAAAATGCAAAGGGTTATGGTGTGTGAAAGAATAAGAAAAAGAAAACATTATTAAGGAGCAAGAACAATAAAAGAGGAATCAAGAAGACAGTAGATGACAATTGACACTGCATTTAAATTTTTGAAGATCAAAGTTAGCTGGAAAGCAAGAAGCCAGAAAAGATTTCTACAGACAAAAGGAAGAGAAAATAAACTAGCCAATTCAACTGTAAAATGATGAGACCCTGTTGTCAATCTAGTATTATGCTTAAATTCATAAAGTCTAGGTACCATAAATAAAAATTACTATAGAAGTATTTATAGAATTGCACAAAGCTATGTTATAGTGGTGGGAGATGTGACTGAAGCTGAGATGCTAGATCAGGACCAATAACATTGCAGATTCTTTGGATTTTATTAAGAATCTCTAAATATATACCAGGAGCACCAGGCCAGATGTAGCAGAAATATTTGATTGTTTATCAATATTATCAATATTTATTGAACAAAAGTTGAAAACTTTCCTTTTCAACTGAGAGGAAAAAAAAAAAAGCATTTACCTTTGTCTCATCAAGATGAATTCCACTTTGTTCAAAATCAAAAATAAACAATTTGCCTACATGTTTGTCAACATCATCCATCGGAACAATGTCTCCATTTTCTAATGCCATTTTCAAGGTATTGTACAAGTCTACATTTGTATTCAAGCTACAAAAAAAGAAACAAAACGTAATTAGTCAAGCTCATATTCAAAGGCTACTTTTCCTTGTCAAAATTAATTTTATCAATATTTTTTTAAGCTTTAAGGTGGTAAGTTGAAGAAATTTATTTTAATTCTTTTATATTTCAATTTATTTAGTGCATTCATGTGCAGCTTTATAATTAAGAACTATGAAAAACACTGTCTTGCTTGAAAATTAATTGTACCTGTTCTTTTATTGAATAGTTGAAAAGTTTGTAAAGTTATGTAGAAAAATAAGGTAAGGTTGTGTTGAGGCTGGGGAAAAGCCTTAACAGATTGCTCTCTTAATTAAGGGGGAACAGGCAGAGCAGAGAGAGAGAGACAGAAAGAAATTAAAAAAACTGTATAATTAGGATTGAGGCCATTGCCTCAAAAACCACTGCATGGCAGGTGGTATGTAACTTCAAGACACTGAATCACCGATGATAGCAAAGCAAGTTTCACCAAAATCAGACTGTCAACTGCTGGCTTTTCCCGTCACTCTTATTGACATGAAACGTTCAAGAAATTGTAGAGAAGCCCCATCTCTTATTCCTAATGCTAAATTAAATGTCATTGTTTGTTTGTTTTTTTAACTTAGAAAGCACAAATAAAAAATTTTTAAAATTTTATTTTGTTTTAATCGATTCACCTCAATCAATGGGATAATTCAAGGAGCTACTGGAAGTGAAAGAGAATGAGAGGACTTAAAAAGGAACTGGAAACCCAATCCTAAATAGGAAACAAGGGAAAAACCTCTACTCCTGTTCAAAAGACTGGCGGCTTATGGCACAGGTTCCCATATGATCACAAAAGTTAAGCAATATTGAGCCTAGTCAGTACCTAGATGGGTGACCACTTCAGAATACACAGTAAGCTTGGATATGCATAAGGTAATGGCTCAGAATTGGAAATTGGAGAGCAAAGTTCCAATTTCTGTTGGGTTTATTATATTCACAAATACTCTTGGGAAAGGTATGAATCCACTCCTTCTTGGCCCAGCTATGGTTTAATTAGTAAGACTGGTATCCCTAAACCATTATTTTCTTTAAAAAAATTCTTACAATCTAAAAATATTTTCTAGTTTTAAATAACCTGCAAAGGATTGATAAGCTGTAGAAAATGAATTAATCAATCAATCAAAAAAGACTGGAGAGGAGTACGAACTGGGTGATAGGTGAACCTATCTACTAAGAAAAATTTTAAGAATAACACAGCTAAGTACCAGGGGTGGCCTGGGGATGTAACCGAAGCATAAACACAATATCCCTTGACACTTCATAACACAGCTTATACATATACCCTGAAGGTAGTTTTTTTTTATCAGCAAGTGCTTTATCACCATACACCTTTAAATATTTAATACCATGCATTTTCTTAAATTTCTGTAACCTGCCTGCTGAATATTCACAGTTACCTTCACTATTCAGTTCGCCATGATAGATCTTCAACTGTTTCATGATCAGCATTCCAGTAAGCAGCATATGTTCACTCCAACACTGATGAATCCACTCCATCAATACATGATCAAGATCATCATTTTTCCTCTGTGCAGTATTTTTCTATTTTTTTTATTCATTTCTGTTCATAACTTTCAGCATAAAACTCCTTCTGTTTCCTTAGGTCATATATGGTGGTTGTTCCAATGCCAAACTCCCCAGTCAGATGCTTCACAGTTAAATCTTGTCTAGTTTTTTCAATAGTTTGACTTTCTGTGATATTGATAAATATAAATGTTTTTTTTTTCTTTTCTTTACCCACATGGCTATCTGCATGACTTTGACATTTTGAATATCTTTACTGAGCACGAAACATCTGTTAAGTGATCCATGAACAAAGGTGTTGCTGTGACAATCGCAAACAAAAAACTGGCACCAAAGTGGCTGGGAGGCGGGGACCTCCCACCCAGGGCAGATGAGGTCACTTACAACAGCTGCACATCACCTAGGAACTTTCCCAGTACTTTCTGAAATTTTACATTTGTGGCAAGTCATATGAGCACCTAAAAAACTTTCAGATTTTGGAGGTTTTCCAATTTTGGAATTTTGGATAAAGAATACTCAACCTGTTTTTGAAATAAACATAAGAATTCTTCTTTGGATTTTGGGAAAGTTTAAAAGACCATAAATCTTGACTTAAGAGGCAAGTAGGTGGGTTGGGGAAAATCTAATCTTAGTAAATCTTAATGATTTTTACTTGGTTTATTTCAAATCTTTTTTAGAGCCTTCTCCAGACTAATTTTATGGCTTCTAATTATTATTTTAAATTCATTCATTCTTCTTCTCCTCAACACTTACCATATATTTCCATGTATAAGGCAACCTTTAAATAAGACGAGGTAAAAAAAAAAAAAAAAAAAAAAAATAGCAAATTTTCATGAATTTATTTTATACCTGTACTATAAGACAACTATTTATTGATTATATAAAGACAATGTTATTGGAAATGATGTTACTTACTGTATCATTAGAAATTTAAAATAAATGAAATAACAAAACCGATTCTATATCATATTTTTCCTACGTATATCCCCTAAAAGGGAAATCATTTTTTTGTTTACATTTCATCATGTGATCTCTGGCGAATACTAATTTTTCTTCTTCCTCCTCTTCTTTTCTTATATCTAAAGTTACAAACAGCCTGGTGTACTAATAGTCATTTACTTATACTTCATTGACAATCACCAGTATGATAATAGTACATTCCATTGCTGCAAATCATAACTCAATGTTTCATTTTCTCAGTTGAGCTTGCATAGATACAACTTGATTTCATTGATATGGAATTATCCTTCAAATAGACAATTTATTATGAAGTTATGCCAGTAATATATGAGGTGGAAATAGTTTTATTACTTTTATTATCAGTTTATTTGATAATGTGAATCTTTTCATGTACATTATTGGTTATTGCACCAGGGTAGAGGTTAGTGTACTGATAAACATCACTCAGAATTTAGGGTTCCTTTTTTTAGAATTGTAGTTAAGAAGACCCCCCCAATTTTTAAAGATGATTTTTGGATTTAAGGGTAGTCTTATATGTGGAATTACAGAGTGATTAATTTCTATGAGTTTTCTCAGTTTACTCTTGGTTATTTCCAGCTCTAAAACGTCATTAGGCATTCTCATGCAGCAAAACACTGAACTATGGTTACCACCCTGTTAAGTCCCTCATGCAATAAAATGCTGAACTATGGTTACCACCCTGTTATAGTTCCATTTAAGAAAAAAAACTCAAGTCAAAAAGGCAAGTTTGCAATCTTAAACAGTGAAATATAAACCTCGCCTTGTGAACATTGATCTAATATCAAATTATATATATCAGTTTGTGATACTATTTTTAAAAATTTATTTTCAGTGAAAATATGCATAGATTACAAGCACAGAGTTTCATATATATTACAAAAAATGTTTTAACAAGAGATAAGAAATAAAATAAGATAAAAAAAAAAAAATCAAAAATTAAAGTTTTTCACTTTGCAAAACTTACCGTTCCACAAGGCCAGACAAAGACATACAGCAATCTTCAGCAGCTTTAGCAAACTCCTCTTGTGGATGGGCAAGTCGTACAAATTCAGACTAAAAAACAAAGCTTTATTGTCAAATGTACAATATTTAAAATCTCAGTCAAAACAAGAACTTTAAAGATGTCTGCATTATTAATTGCTTTTACTTTGAAGAAAACAAACTGTTTCTCCTATTTTAACAAGTTGTAGTGAACATAATTGGAGCCTATAAGAGTTACACGATCTTCTACAAATCCAACATATTTATTTCCCGAGATTTATCAGACAGATATGTGGTTTCACTATTTGAGGAAAAAAAAAAAATTATAGTATCTTCTGATCTTATAGGATGTACTTTCCACCCCACAAAAAAAAATTATTTGTCTCTTCAGGTTGTTGGCAATCATGGCTCTCTACAATTTCCTGGGAAAGTTATGAATCAATCTCTTCCCCCTCCCACCAGCTATGAGTGGAATAATAGGGCAGACTGGGTCCTATAGCTTTGGTTGGCAACCAGTCTACAGAAAGAAACAGTAATCTATTGTGGGAAGATCCCCAGTTAGTCATGAATCGCCCAAGTGTGTATCATATATAGCACTTAACTGACTGAATAATCCATTAAGAACACAAATTGTTACTAATACCATTAATCACAATAAAATATTGGAAAACAAACCTAATTATGATAATATTGTAATGGTGGTTGGTTAGTGCTATTACTAATTAGCATGTAAATAGATGTCCTGTATAGGTGAGTTACGTAAGGTACTGGCAATAGTACTTGAACTGCAGAGCTAATAATGACTGCATACAACTGCAGTCACAACTTGGAATATCATAAGAAATATATTAGCAAATATGGTGAATTTGTTAAAGCTGTAAATCAAGATTTAGGAGTAATACTGAAAATGAATGATAGAAAGAAGGCCATATTTCACTGTATTTGCTTCCTCAGGATATATAAATCACACTAAGATATATACAGGGTGCAATGGGTAAATTTTCTCCATTTAATATTTTTAATTTTGCGCATGCACATTTAACTGCACAGTATAATAGGGTCAGTTGGGCAACATCTGAGAAAAAGAGCACCATGCTGCAATTCACTCCACCAGAAATAAGGAAATAGCATGCTGTACTGCATGGCATTTGTGCCGGAAACTCCAATATGAACATTTCAGAGCATTCTGATGTCAATCTGAGGACAGCGCAGAAGATTCAGAAAGAGTTGGATGAGTCTAATGGTGATTATCAAGGTATGGCAACTCGGAAAACTGATAAAAACTCCCAAATTTGTTGGGCACATGATGGAGGCCTACGTCAAGTGCCTTGAGGAGGAAGTGCTGCCCTAGGTTAAGAGGGTGGCTGGTGGAAAACCCAATGTCTAGCAACAGGACTCTGCACTATGCCACACAAGCAGGAGAACCCAGTCATGGCTGTCAGACAATTTCTGCAACCACATCACCCCTTACATCTGGCCACCTAAATCCCCAGACTGCAAACCCTTGATTATTATGTGTGGGGTCCAGCTGAATAGGAAACCAACAAAATTCCCTGTAACAACAAAGATGAAATGGAGGGAAGGCTTATGACAGCATTCACCAACTTAAATAAGGAGACTGTCCAGAGAAGTTGCAGGAGATTCTGATGTCGCCTGGAGACTGTGGTTGAAGCCAATGGCGATATTATTGAATAAATTTACTCTTTAGAATTTCAATATATTTTTATGTAATTTTGGTAAATATATCTGTTAAAATGAGATGTCAGTGTTATTTTCATTTTTGCCCAATTTTAGACGACAATTTATCCATCCTACCCTTTATTACGTTGAGTCTTTTTTTTTTTTTTTCTCTGCATGATTTGTAGTTAGGATAATATATTCATCATTACAGTTGGTTTCCTAAAACAGAAATTACTTATAATTCAACCTAATATATTTTACATAATCATATGACTGTGTTACTGTTAAGAATCATTTTTATTATTATCTAAATGGAAAAAAAGAAAGTTGTGAGAAAAAATGCTACAACTGCCAATAAGCCATTTGCAAATGATAATGCCATGTGTAGGTAATGCAATGGTTATTGACACAGAAAATGAAATCAGAGAGCCAAGTTCAAGTTTTGTCCAAGTCTATTGTGCTTCAGTTTGCATTAATGCTCTTGAAAAGGGCATAAATCCATCTCTTTTCCTTACTTTCAGCTATAACAAAATACACTGAGCTCTTTAACCTTGGCTGTTAGCCAGTTTAGGAGAACAACTCTGAATTCAAGACCATGGAGAAAGCAACAGGAAACCACTCTACTATCTTTCTTAACAAAATGTGGCAATTCAGAGATAATAAATGAAATTGTGGAGAGATCAACTACAACCTGAAGAGAGATGGCATTAAAAATGGCCACAACAAAAGTGTTGTGTTATATTTATTATGCTTTAATGACAGTTTCTGTTAGTCTGTTGCAGTCACTTTCACACAAATACTCTCGGGAAAGGTATAAATCCATTTCTTCTTCTCCCAGCTATAAGTTAAATAATAGGGCTGACTGGCCTCTAATGCCTTGAGGTAGTCATGAAAAAGAAAATCCAGCATGAAGATGATGGGGCTGTTTGGCTACCTTGCTCTGGACCTGACACTGCTGCTATGGCTACAATACATGCAGTGCCCAAATGACTTAGATTATAGGAATTATAACAAATGCTAAGTTCATACCAATTTCTATCAACATATTTGCATCAACATGTATCAATATTTGCTTTTCAGTCCTGATATATTTATTTTAATTTCAAGGTAAATAAATGAAACTATATGTGATTTTCTACTTGATTCGAATATATCTTGTACTTTCATCATCCAGTTCACACCCCTCTCTGATTTTTTGAACAGCTGTAGAGGTTTATCCCTTCTTTCCTGTTTGGGATTGGGTTTCTGGTTCCTTCTAAAGTATATTTCAACTATGAACTTCTAACATCTCTGCCTGAACTCTGAAATTTTATTTATTATTTATTTTTCCTCAAAAAGAGTAGATGGGTTCACCTGTCGTCCAGTTCACACTCCTCCCCAGTCTTTTGAACAGGAATAGAGATTTATCCCTTGTTTCCTGTTTAGGATTGGATTCCCAGTCCCTTCTAAGGTCTTCTTGTTCTCTTTCACTCCCAGTAGCTCCTTGCATCTTAGTGACATTATCGCCTTACTTGGGGTGAATTGATTAAAAAAAAAATATATTATAATATATATATATATATATATATATATATATATATAGAGAGAGAGAGAGAGAAAAGAAAGAGAGTTATGTACGTATGTATTCATGCATGCAAGTCCTGTAGGCTTCCCTATAGAATCTGGGGTCACAACCTCACCATGCTAGACATTGCTGCTATTGTTTCTGCTGTATGTAGATGTTTATGGTGTGGAATTACTTGCTTTATGCCCAACCAATTTGGAATTCAGCATTTTCCTTCTTCTAGACTGGTTGCCAACCAAAGCTAGAGTTCAGTCTTCCCTGCATGCCAATCTGATTTTACTGCACCAATAACTGCCATATTCTGTACACATCCTTTCTTATATTGACAGGTCATTTCTATGTTAGTCAAAAAACCCTCAAAATCACTTTCAGTACATGATAAAACAGGGTTGATTTTTCCACAAAATATTCTTTTAATCTCAAAGTGCATCTTACTGACAGTTAAATATGGTTCTTTAGTATAGAACAGCAAAAGATAATTTAACAATTTAATAGAAAAAATTAAAGTTGCAATGTTTATTGTATATACTACAGCAAATGTTGATTTTATTCAGGCAGATCTAAAATGGGGGACTTGCCATGAGGTTTTTGTAGTGGGGAGGGGAACTCACCATGTCAGCCACTCGACATAAAGAATCAGATAACTGGTCAAAAACTTCCACAATTTTCCTTGTTCGCCTTGGACCAAGAGCCTCTTCAACTAAACTCTCCACTTCATTTTCAACCCGTTCTTTGAGCAAATAAAAGCCACTGTAGTCGCGCAACTCCGGAATGCAGAACAATCCCTGAGGAAGAGAAAAGATGTGTAAAGGAAATATCAATGTTTTGATAGTTTGTCGGGTGGTGAACATATTAGATATTTTGAAAGATGTTTATATTTACAGATTATATATGAACATTTTCTAGCTGTCATCTGCCATTGCAAAGTTAAAAAAATACAAGTGAAGCCATAAAATATTGTAAGCTGGATTCTCTTAAATCAGTTTTTATGACTTAAAGTTTAACCAATAAAAAAATAAATCAAGTTAAATTTAAGCTAGTTCTGGTCATTGAATATATAGTAACAGCTGATATATATATATATATATATTAAAGGACAAAACTCAAACAGCAAAAAATTTCAATAAAGTAACATCTAATATTATTATATATTATTGGGTCAGAACAAAAGTTTGTAGCAGTTTTTAAATGAATTTCAATGACAATATTTAGATATTTGAATTTGTAACGTTATTGGTCTTGACCTGGCATCTCAACTTCAGTTACTTTCCCATCACCGTAATGTAGCTTCCCTGTGCCTTTTCTATAAATATTTTCATGGTAAATGTTCTGATGAACTTTCCTCTATGGCACCTAAACATTATGAATTTAAGCACTATAGTAGATTGGTGAACTCATCTTACAGTTGAAATGGCTAGATATAACCATAAGTTCTATGCTAACAGTTTCTTCATTTGCACTTCTCACCTGTGGAACTCTCTTCTGGCTTCTTGCTTCCCAATCAACTTTGTTCTTGGAAAATGTAAATGTAATGTCAATTGTTATCTTCTGTCTTCTTAATTCTTGTTCTTTTATTGTTTGCTCTCCTTAATAGTGTTTTTTTCTTATATTCTCTAACACTCAGTAATCCCTTGCATCTTAGTGTCTTTATTGTCTTGCTTGGGTTGAAATGATTAAAAAAAAAAAAAAATTTACATAGATTTATTCAACCACATATGTGCCATTTTGTTCCACTAATTTTCACCATCTTTGAAATAACTTCAGGATTCCATCCTCCCAAAACTTGGTATCTTTCTAGCTGATGAACTAGTCTAAGGGGTTTTTACAAGCTTTTGGAGACTTGACGTTCTTTCCATTAAGAGAATTTTACAGGGAGTGGAATAAGTGGTAATCTGAAGGTGCAAAGTCAGGTATGTATGGTGGGTAAAGTAGGACACCTCAGCCAAGCTGTAGAAAGGTGCTGCAAAGAGATGCCTATTGTTGTCAAGATAACACCCTCCCAATTAGCCAATTCCAGATGCTTCTCTTTATTTGTTGCTGCTAATTGGTCCAATTGGAACAGTATTTGTGGGAATTCAACATCTGATTTTGCAGACAGGGGTTTGTAATACCCAATGACCTTCCAATTCCACTACTAAATTCACAGCATTACATTCTTTATCATCTCATTTTCTCCAGGATTTTTCTTGCTCCACATTGTTGTAATCAATTGATTTTTCTTTGCTCGAGATTTTGCTCTTTTCAAAAATGGGTTTCTTTTGATGCACTTAAACAGAGAATCACAGATTATTTTTTTGTTAAATGATGAGATTTTAGCGATTCATATATCCAAATGTTTTCAGATGCTTTTTTTTTTTTTAATCTCTGCAATGTCCCATGTTGTGTGACGGAGATTATTTTTAAATTGATGTTTCAATTTGGACACCAACAATGGCTGTAAGCCTACTAGAACACTGTCTTTCAGACCAAAATTTCCACTTCTGAACTTAGTGAATCACTTATGCTATGGTACCATCACAATAAATGGCACTTATCTTTTTAGCCATTTGTTTTTAAAATTCACAATCTACACATGAATCTTAGAAAAAGTCATAGAAATGTCACTTTTCTGAATATGTATACATGACATCAATGTGTGAAATGAAATCTCATGTTCAAATACCACCTATTGAAAAATGCAACAAACTTTTTGTTCCAACGCCAATAGTAAATATGTGGAAAATATTTAAAATTTGAAAGGCGTTTTATATTTGCACCAATTTAATACAATTATCACTCTTCAATAACAATAATCAAAAAAGGAAAAGAAGAAAAGCAACTTACAGTACTTTCTTTTTTCAAACTGAATGCAAGTTTTTGCCTTGGTTTTGTGTTGAATGCTGCGGTTAATGATGACTGCTGTGTTGTATGGACATTGTTGTGTGATATTAAACCAAATGATTGCCGCAAAAAGTAATTAGCCAAAAGATCCTGCTTCTGACTCCTGAGGACATGTGAACCAAATGAGAAGAACCAGTGTTTCAAATTCATTTTGATTAATAAGTTTATGAAATCTTTACAAATATTGCAATTAGAACAGATTGGATATCACATCAGTATATGCTAGGTCCCAAATTTTTTAAACACCATCACCTGAAAAGAAATACATATATATGTATAAAAAAATTAAACCATTAGTTTTGCTTCTTTAATCATATGCAATTTTCTTTAATTTCATGAAAATATAGATTTAACTGCACAATCAAAAAATGATGACATTATTTAAATAATTGCTTGTTTACATTTTCTGTATGTGTAAGTGTTGTAGCATACCTACAGATGATAATGGGTATGTCCCCATTCACATAAATACAGTAGTAAATACTTTATGTTGGTCTGCAGTTGGAAATTCATTGTAGAATTCACTTGACTCACTTCTAGCAGTTGACTACATCTTCTATACACCATTGGCAAATCTTATATGTGTTGTTCTTGTCCTAAGTATTATCATTCATTACCAACCCTCATATGATTATTCTATTCAGTAACTTTTCCTAGGTTACAACAGTAAGATTTTCATCAATGCAATTAACTTTACTGTTGCAAGAAAGAAAAAAATTCTGCTTTTTATATCATCAAAATAAAAATATCCAAAGCTAATATGAAAGAAGATACTACTTAAGATATATATTTGTTTTAATCATTTCACTCCAAGCAAAGCAATAAGGCCACTAAGATGCAAGGAGTTACTGAAAATATGAGAAAAAAAACATTAAGGAGAGAGAATAATAAAAGAACAAGAATTAAGAAGACAGACATTAATTATTGACATTACATTTTTGAATATCAAAGTTGACTGGGAAGCAAGAAGATAGAAGAGAGTTCTATAAACAAGAAGTGCAAGATAACTGTTAGCATATAACTTAGTTACATCTAGCCATTTCAACTGTAATTTAGTACTGTGCTTAAATTCATAACAACTAGCTACCATTGAGGAAATTTTATTAGAAAGCATTTATAGAAAAGTCACAAGGAAGCTACATTACGGTAATGGGAAAGTCTGTGTTAGCTTACTGGTGTCAGGTGATACTTCCTTTTACTGTAACAATGGAATATCTCATTAGTAAGAAGGGGAGATCAGTCTGTGTGATTGATAAATTTATAAAGTTACATTGTTTTATAGAGTGTGCAGCAAAAATACCTCCCACAAAATGGTAAGAGACTAGTGGTGTGTTCATCCAGCTAATGTCTTACCATTATGTGGGTGGTGTATCTGTTGCACTCTGTATTATGAAAAAAAAAATTAGAACTAATATCACAGATCCAAATATTTATGATTGCTTCCATAGGAAATGTGTAAGCTATAAAAGATGCTCTTTTTTGTGAAAATAAAATTCAACCCTGATAAAAATCAAAATTAGATAAATATCCTGATCAGTTGATATCTATCTAACAAATTATGGACACTTCAGTAATCATATGAGAACCGACATTTTAACATGATATGGCCGTAAATCCCATAGTTTGTTGGTTGTCATGACCAGTAGCATCTGGTTGGAATTTTCTGTGGTAACAGAGAAGTAACACTTGCTTAAACCACATTCATATTTAATGCAGGTCAGTTCAATGTTCTTTAGCTTATATACAATATGAGAGCAGAAGACTCACTATCATGCCTCAGTTAACATCATGCACCCGAGCTCGGTGCCTCACTTTGGCTCATGACATTAACATCATGAACCTGGGCTCAGTGCCTCACTTTGGCTCATGACTACTAATTGGATCCTGAAGAACTAGCAACTTGTTGTGTGGTCCAATGAATCTCAATTCTAGTTGTTTTGAACTAATAATAGAATTTGAGTGTGGCACCATAGACCCCAGTTGTCAACAAAGCACAGAGAGGGCCGATTGTGGTTCCAGAATAGTGTGGCTGGTGAGTTAATGTGGTGCATATATCGGTTGGATCTATCTGTCTGCCTAAATGGGTCATTGACTTATAACCACTACATTCCACTGCTTCATGATCATTAGTGCCCGTTCATCGTCCCCATGTACTGCAACAATGATAGGTTATTCCAAGAATATAATGCCATTATCAGGGCAAAAATTTGTTTGAAAAGCATTCTGAAGAATTTCTGACAAAATGATGTGACCATTATGTTCACTAGACATGAGGCCAATCAAGCATTTATGGGATATGGTGGATAGGTCAATTTGGGGTGGTCAATTTCCTCACAAGATCCCAAATGGCTGTGGATGGTTATTGAGATAGCATTGATCAATATTTCTCTAGATATCTTTCAACCTCTAGTAGAATTGATGCCACATTGAGTTGCTGCTCTTTGCCAAGATAGAGGATGGTCCTATAAAACACTAGGGACCTATCCATAGCTTTTGACATGTCCATCTACTTCTTACATATCTTATGCATAAGGTGTTCAATGTCCTTGTAGAAGGATTATATACAAATGTCACAAGTTACCTAACAACCATTTCTTGGTTTGGATGATCTTGTTTAGTAGCATATCAACCTCTGTTGGTTATTTAATGCTGAAATGTAAATATTTTGAACATAATTTTATGATTTTAATTAAATATATTTTGAATGCAATTGTATGCTTTTGACTACAGATAAAATGTATTGCAAGTAATTTTACTATAAATATGTATTGTCGGTAATATTTTATATAATAATGTATTGTTAGTATTTTTACCATCAAAAACGTTATTTTTATACTTTCATAGTGTTTTGTTTGGGGGTTCACTATTTGCACATAGCTTGGACTCTTAACAAATGTTACCACCCTCAGGTCAGGGCGGACCTGGAAACAACAGTAGTTAGGTGGTTCCATGCCTCTCAAAACCCCCAATTTCCCCAATCAGAGGTCTTGATACCGGATGTAATTTATTGTCATACCCAGGACTAACAACCATTTCTTAATTCAAGGATATTATTAGAAGTTTTGTATGGAGTCTCTTTAATTATCATTAGATAACAATAGAATTTTTAATTGCAAGAACAGAGTTAATAAATTAAAAATGTTGCTTAGCAATGGATCCAAAATGGCTAATCTAAAATTACTTGAAGTAAAAAAATTGTAATTTACATTACAATGACTGATCTTCCCTAAAAAAAAAAAAAATTAAAAAGTGCACAATTTATGCCTGTATCATGGATTACAAAAGCTTGTCTTTGATTTGAGTTGGATGAATGCGGTTATATAAAAACAACTGATTATTAAAGACGATATATTGCTCTACAAGAAGGTGTAATTTGTTTTTGATCTGGTATTTAATCCACTAAAGTTTTCAACTTAGTAATTTTTTGCAAAAAACAAAAATAAACAACTCCAAACTCTATTTTAAGCCCACCAAATTAACAAGTGTTGTCTTTTCTTGTGACTACTTTTGATAAGTATAGAGACACACAACTCTGAATGCAGCAAGTTTGAAAAATACCAGCATGAAATTCTCAACTTTTTAAAAGTGTAGAAAAAAGTGTAAATAGTGACATAGTTTAAAGCAATGCGGAATAAAAATTAAACATCATACAAGAGAAATAATTGTATCTTTATAAAGAGAAAATATTAAATTTCACTATTGTTATGGGAACTTACCCATAATAATAATGGACTATTCCTGACATTATAAATACTGCACCTCTCAAGAGGTATGAGGGAGATTGTAAGACGAGGAGAGATAATTGAGAGCATATTGTAAGGACATTGGAATAGTGATACTTGTCGAGACAACATAGTTCACTCTAACCAAATCTGATAGTCATTACTAATACTTCTACTTCTTTGTATCATATTGTTGTAATATATCTTTGTATTCCATACCTGTGTTTGTGTTATTCTTTCATTGGTTCTAACCTTGGACCATCACTGTGGTACAAGAAACTTGGACCATCACCGTGGTACAAGGAACTTGGACCATAACAACTATTTTGACCCATTTTAGTAGTGTAAACTAGGGAGCTTTCGATACCTACTTTGAATGATTGTCAAATATTTAGAATATGAATCATTTCTTAATTTGTTATAGAATTCTATTCATTTTTTGAGAAATGAGTCAATAAATATTTAATGAACTGAGCCAACTTTAAAAAGCCTGATTTTGACAAACTGATTTAAATTTATTTCAAGCCATACAGCATCATATCAAAATCAATGAATGCTAATCTTACTATAATTCACTAAATATCTTTTCTGTCATTGTCTAACTCAAGATCAGCTAGAGCTATGGTTACCAATGGACACTTGAGGCATGTTTTGAGCATTTAGTTATTAAAAATTACAAAAAATAAAAATTCCAAAAGCTTTTAACAACAGTCTAAACCAAACCTTTATCTTTTTGTTTAATTGTATGAAATAAACATCCTGCTAAAAATTCTTAGCCAGAAACCAAAGTTATAACAGGTTTCTGGTTATTGTAAAAATCAAGACTTAAAAAAAAAACTGTTCTGTGTTTAGATTAGTAGTATAAACAATGACTGCATGAGGATGCAAATGTTAATCTTTCCATCATGTTTATTAGCTTATAAGTTGTCATAAAAATATAGTCCAATGTTATACCTGTGTTTATTGCTGCAATAAAAAAAAGATGTAGATTTCCAAAATATGGTAAAGTGAAATTTTTGTAAAATCTCTCCATATATTCAGTTAAATATGATCCAAGAGTTCATGATGGTGAGGATTTGTAAATATGGTATAATTCAATAAATGCACCGTTCGAACACACAATCACTTATTGAAGCCAAAGTCCCAGTTTGGCCTTCCAAAATAAAAGGCTTAAAATTTTGCTTGTAGGTTTTGAGTTAATATAATTTTATGTAGGATTGGAATAATGTAAATTGAAATAAAAGACCCTATTCAAAGACATAAGATAGTTATCTGATTAAGACAGAAGAGTACACAATGTGTGAAACATGTTGAAAGCAAGATGAAATCTTTGTCAATATCTTTGGGTATTAAGGTACAACAGCTGGCCAAAGTTAAAGATGTTGGTTAGTATGAATCCCAAGTCACTAACAAGCAAATTGCCGAAATTGTCAAACTTGATAGTTAAATACATTCTAACAATAACTTGTGATGATAATTAGATGGATATACACAAAAAACTTGACATGGTTTTCAGTTATGATACAAATT